TCTACATTCATCATCGTCTTCGACGCCACCATCATCGGCCTCAACCCTCGTCGCATCCAGGCGCTCCAACCACTCTGAGGTCTGGGAATTCTTCGAGCGGGAGATCACCTACTACACCAAGGCGCAGATTGAGAGCTTTGGCCCCCAGAGCAAGATCAGGAAGAGTGCCAGACCAGACGAAGAGAGTGGTGGATACAAGGTTGACCTTGCCTGGTGCAAACGTTGCACAGGCAAGAAGGCGTGCTACAACATGGCAAGCGGCAGCACAACCAATCTGTGGACACACTACGTTGGATCGATCCCGCCCGAGGACGTTGAGACGCGCTGGGACTCCAGGTATCGCCTCCTCCAGCATTTCCTCGACCACAAGGATGCCGTCATCACCTTCCTTGAGGAGTCCACCGACAAGACATTCCAAATCAACTGGGAGAAGCTGGAGGCCATCCAACCGACACTCGACATGTTTCATTAAGACTCTGAGGCCCACCACGACAGAGTGTTGACACCAAATACTATATGAACAATATTAACGGCCCAAGCTCATGGACATCAATAAGCTTGGGCTGTTAATATAGTTCATATAGTATTTGGTGACGAACTTGATGGTCACTGGAGTCCGAGAGACTGGCAGTATTGGGTGTGATAATGTCGTTCAGGTCTGAGAACGAAGTCTCGAGGAAAGTCGTGGCACCTTGCGCACCAAGATAGTCACGAGCTATCTTTGAAATTAGGGGAAAGGTAACAGAGTTGACGGCCCACCACGACAGAGTGTTGACACTGCTAGGGATGCGAGGATGGAACAAGAACCTTCTCAACTCTGAGCAGCATGACCAGCCCAACAATCGTAAATAAATCTTCAAGTCAATCGAATGAATCGAATATAAATAGAATGAATATGAACAACTGTTAACTTGTCAAATGATTATTTGTATTCATAACTCGTCGACAGTTATTCACCAATAATCGGGTCGGTTGGTCATCGTCCCAAAAATTAACTATATCCGATGAATAGGAGCCCTGAGTGCCAGAGGCCCTCGCAGACTATCGCCAAAACATGGGCAATGTTGACCAGAATGATGAGATGATAAAGTCCCATGCTTGGATTCATAAATCAAGGAGATGGTATATGTCAATATTTTGGTACCTGTTGGAAGCGACCATTTTAAATTCTTGGCGATTTAAAAAGCGTTATCAAGGTTGTAACCAAACGATAGATCAGTTCAGACACTCTCTCAAGACCGAAATGATCAATCGCGAGACCCTCCGAATGTGTGAGATATCAAACAATTACTTTCACATTGGCGAATACAGAAAAGTCCTGGTCGATAATGACAAGATTGAATACACCTATTATAATGTTGTAAAAAAACAAAAGAAATAATAAATATCTAGTACATCTAAAGTTATTAAATCCAATCATTTATTACTTCTGGACAATAATACAAATTAAAAACTATTATTTATATTAAATTTAGTGCTCAAAACAATCATGCAAAAGTTCGCGCCTTGAGGGTTAATTAATTAAAAAAATGATTTGATATGGAATGATTGGCGACTTGAGTATTTATATTATATATTATCCTCTGTACTTGTATATATACTTTTTTATTACAACTAGTATTCTCGGCAAATTTTTGCCCCGAAGTGTCGGGAAAACCTTCACTCGCGATCAATCAAACGAAAAGTTGTAGTTCTGATCGTTTAGTTTAATCAATATAGAATTGGGTGACGAATAAGTGCGATTAGTATAACCATTCTACAAATGGATAAACAACATTTATTAATATTATATTAATATTATTACTAGTAGTTTATGTGGATGAAAATTGATTGATTGAACCAGCTGTATCATCACATCACTCATCAATATAATGTATATCAATATACTTGGTGATCATTGTAATGTTAATTTATCGTTCCAAATGAGGATCCAGATAGTCTTTGATCCCAGGGAGAATCATACAACGTTTCCCAATTCTTTGAATCATTCAACCAAAAGCTTACCTTTCGTGCACCCTCACATCTTCAACATGATCAGACACTGAGATAAACCTGTTGATCACACACTGTGATACACAACTCAAACATATAATATAACTATACATAAATACATACATACATACATATTTACAATCATTATTCATCTTGATCTATATAATGGAGTCAATTAAGAGTCTACTTGGAGCGACAGATGATCAACCAAAGGAGGAGCCATCAATGTGGAAGGAGCTAGACGAACAATGCTCATTATCATTCACTCAACGATTGATCGGTGCAGGTATCAGTCTTGGTTTAGGCATATTCTTTTGTTTCTTAGTATGTTGATTGTATTAGTTTGATTGATTGATTGATTGAACGAATGATCGATCGACTAATAATGATTACACTGATCACTTATAGGGCTTCATGTTTCTCTTATCACCTACAACATTTGCATTCCTATACACTGTTGGCAACTTGTGTATGCTAGCGTCGTATGTATCAAGTGTATAAGTATATGGAGTCACATTGCTGTTGACTGTGATGTCTAACAGATCACCTCTCTCTCCACTGATACAGTACATTCTTCATTGTTGGACCGATGAAGCAGATGAAGAACATGGTCCAGCCACATAGATTGATTTGCGCCATCGTCTTTGTCGCCTCGATGGTACTTACATTGGTCGGTGTCTTCTTGGGTTGGTTATTCATCATCATCATCTTCCTGGTAATCTTCCAAATCTGCGCACTTGTTTAGTATGTATCGGATTCAATCCATTCAATCAATCGATCGATCGATCAATCACTTACTAACTACTTTCAACAACACTATTAGTTATATGTTCTCTTATATACCATATGGAAGACAATGTCTGCGAGGTATATGTGGATCAGTAGCGTCATCAGTCTAAGTGATGAGTTCACCTTTGCGATTACACTAAATTGCAATCAATCAATCAATCAACGAATCAAGCGTTAGAATCAAATGTTAATCATATATTGGTGGCATCGACAACAGGACATCAATGGACAACCATTCAATCAATCAAACAACCAACTCCCCTCCTCCCCTATCAATACATGAGAGTTACTCTCTATCTATCTATCACATTTAAAGTTTATTCATTCCTAATGTTAGACATCGTTTGATGTTCCTCTCGATCACTTCCACGAGTTGATTACACTCAGAGTCTGTGATGGCACCACGCTGGTAGCTGACCGTTCCATACCAGTGATCACTCAATTGACTACCGACAAAGGAGAACATCAAGGCGGTGCTTGATATGGTCGGTGTCTGGCCTGCCATGAGATCCCTACAGATCCACTCGGAACCCTCCTTCTCCTTCATGTTGAACTGGCCCAGATCACTGATGCAGAAGCTTGACGAACGACCCATTGGATTGTCCCTGTTCATCTTGGTCCAGTAGTTGAGCATCTTGTGAGGGAAGTTGTCGGTGATGGGTGCCAGACAGCCAATGTGGAGCAGCGAGTCCATGAATCTGTTCCTCAGGTGTAGCTTGTACTTGGTGCACTCCTCCCAGAAGAACTTTGGATTGTCCAAGTTGTGAGGTGGAACGATAGTCTCGCGCGAGATTGACGAGAGGAATATACCAGTGTCCTCATCGACCAACTTGCATGGCTTTCGAACGTTGACAACCGTGGTAGACTTCAACTTCAATGCTCTGTCGACGCCAAACACCTCTGAGATGCTCTGGAGTATCACCGTGTACATTCCATTGTGGACTGTCACCTTGTGTCTACCGCACAGTTCAATGAATGAAACAAAGTCGGTCATTGATACAGAGATAATCCTTATCCTGCTATCACATTGTTGAAGCTCTTGACGTTTGGTACCGGCCCAGAACGAGTTGCTGTATCTCTTTATGGGCGATGGCATGTAGTTGTAGTAGGCCAACACTGTTCCGAGCTTGAGTGGACCAACCTTATGTGGATTATACACTTCCAGTGGCTCATTGATTTTGAATCGACTGCTGTCTAATGTTTGGATTGGATTCATGTCCATTGTTTCCTCCGAGTCCACGACCATTCCCTCCAAGAGTAGTTTGAATGAGAGGCCATCAGATGCCAAGTGATTGTAAGATGATATAATGACGAATTGACTGGGTTGATCCCTATGCCAACATAATAATAATCTGATTGGTGATGATGTCTCATCCATTGGCAATCTATCATTCATCATCACTTCCATAAGATTTTCAATTGTAGTTGGCTCCCAGAAGTTGTCGACCTCTAGTATTCGGACTACTTTGGTAAGGTCCAATGTTTTGAATCGTGTGTAGCAAGGAGTGTCGGTGTGGATGTTGGTCACTCCCATCTGAAGGAATGTATGATTGTTGAACCAATAAGTGACCAATGGATAGACCTTCCTTCTAAGATATTCTGGGTTCACTACAACTCCTGGTTTGGCCACTTCGAATCGGAAGAAAAAGGATGCACTATTATATACTCCAGCTATCATCTTTGATAACTGGTACTTCTCGGATTGACCAAGAGGTCTCAAGACCTCATAATTATCTTTATCATTTGTGATCATATTTATAAATTATTAATATTATTATTAAAAAAAGATAGTATTATAATATGATAAAATTCGTATTATTTAGAATGAGATAATAAGTAGATAAGTAGATAAGTAGATAAGAAGATGTAATTGTTCTCATCAACATTGACAGCCAGCCCATAGAGTATGGTATTAACTGATTGGTTGACAGATGAACCTGTTCACAAACCATCCTTACATCGGCGGATAATGTTAAACATCTAAACACACACACATACATTACATTCTTAATTTGTATGAAAGGACACAATGTTTATATGTATATGTTAACAAGTTATAAATTATTTATCTTCCTTACCTACCTACATTGAACAATGGTCCAATCCTTCGAACGAACCATCGTACTTTCAAACACTCATCTCACACACTCACTCACTAAACACAAACACAGACACACACAGATAACAAGAATTCTGAAGAAGTAAGTCATGTGGATGGGCAAACCACCACAGTTGTGGTGTGGTGAACATTGAAGGTTACTGATAGGTGAACAGAATAATTGAAGTTCTGTTGATTAAATTGATTGGATGTAGCCGGAAACGAATCGATTCGTGTGTGTCTGTGTAGTGTCTATCTGTGAGGGCACTCATTCGCACGAAACAAACGAAACGAAAAGAAATGGATTAAAGTGATCACACCATTTTTAGCAAAGTGAGGCAAGGTTTGATCGAAGATCGGCCAAGACAAACGAGATTGATTCACGAGAGAGAACCACATAGGCTACAGGATTTTTTATGACAGGTCAGATCCTTCTCAGAATACATGCCCGACTGTGTCAGCCGTGGCTTGTGCTTCTTGACTGTCATTCATTCATTCATTCATTCAGTATTACATTCTTACGACTATTATTTATTTATTCACATAGAGGTCATACCTCATTCATTTATACATTCATTCATTCAAAACACTCATTCACTCAAAAGTAAGTAGACAACATGTTTCATTCATTCATTTCATTCATTCCAACAACAATGATATAAGAAGCAATCACAGGCAGATAACAACACCCAAGGGCACCCTTGGCGTGGATGACAGAGGCAGGCAATGTTTGGTCATTGCTCTGCTAGAGAGATAGAGAGAGAGTGTGTGTGTGTATAATTGTGTTGTGTGGTGTTGTGTTGTGATGTGATGTATGCATATGCATCTCAAAGTAACAATACATTGCGATCTAGAGGATGGATTGTGTTGTGGTGTGGTGTGGTAGTGTTGTTAGCTTTATCCTGGAAGGAAGGAAGGATGGATAGAGGAGGGAGAGAGGACCTCTTGGGCCAAGCCTCAGCAATAGGTATTCAACCAAGAACACGCTCAAATACATACCTATGGTCATTGAGCTGCTGCAGAACTGTATGATGAGAATGCATCAGCAACAGCAACACAACAACACAGAAGACTGGTCAAATGATCACGTCGCAGGAGGAGTGGACTGTAGGGTGTAAGTAGGTGTGTTTTATCTGTGTCATTCATCCATCCATTCATTCATTATTCCTGGCTAGCTGCCTTACTGCCATATATGCCCGCCATCCATCCACATCCATCCACCTCAATCAATCGATCCGTATGCAGCCTTGCTTTACTTTAATGTGTTTAATGCCCTTTCTCTCCGCTCTCTCTCTCTAACATAAACAACTCCACTCTCTCTCTAGCCCTTGTATCAACAATAGAATAGCATCTAATCAATCCAGTTAATCCAATCCTATCAATCAATCAAAAGGCAGATCATTGATATACAGATAGATAGATAGATAGATAGATAGTTAGAGATATAGATATATTATACTTATAACAAACAAACAAACACATAATAATGATCGATTGTCAATTAGAAGAGGAGGTGATGATACCAACACCACCACCATCAAGTACCACTACTACTACCAATACTACATCATTGAATGCCACTGAACAACAGGAAGTTGTCAATGGAGGTCTATTGCATTTTGCCGCCGAGTCCAATGACATGGCCGAAGTGAAGCGTTTGATCGAGAAGCTCAAAGTGTCGCCCAACCAAAAGAACATGTTTGGTGACCTGCCACTGCATGGCGCGATATCCAAAGGAAGACTTGGTAAGTCACACCCTGCCCTACCCTCATCCCTCCCGCGCTGAGATACATACACTAACTCGATGAAACACAGAGATAACAAAGTACTTGTTAGATAAGGGAGCTGATCCTAACATGCCCAATGGAGTGGGATCGACCTCGTTGCATAAGTTGGCCACATTGTCATCTTCGTCCGATCAATATAGACTGGTGGATGTGCTGATGAGACGCGGTGCCGACCCAACCCATCAAGAACAACTCGGGCTTCATACCAGAGCAGTTGACACAGCTGTCCAAGATCAAGGAGATCATGCAGGGTGACCAGGCTGTCACGGTCAAGTTGTCCATCCCCAAGGGCGACCACGGCAAGGTAATTGGCCGCGGTGGAAAGAACCTGCGTGAGTTGCGCGAGCTCACCAACACGCTGATCACGGTGCCCGAGCCCAACAACCCTCAGGACAACAAGATTGTGATCAAGGGTCGCAAGGACGACGTGGAGAACGCGCGTCTGCGCATCCTGGACCTGATCAAGCCCGAGGAGTTTGTCGGCGACATTCTCACCGTGCCCAGCATCCCCAAGGAGAACCACCGTCTGCTGATTGGAGCGGGTGGCTCCACTGTCAAGCGTCTAAGGGACGAATTCAACATCAAGATCACCATCCCCACCGCCGACGACCCATCAAAGAACATTGTCATCCAGGGTGACATTGATGACATTGACAAAGCGATGAAGGAGATCAACAAGATATTGGCGAATCACAAGAATAGACAACAAGGCGGCGATAAGAATGATAACAACAACATCAACAACAACAACACTCCAAACAGTGGTGTTGCCAAGGGCAGACCGCCCAGATCGCGAGAGGGAAAGGAAATGCGACCAAGGAGAGGCGAGGGTCAACCAAAGAGAGAGGGTCATCCATTCACAAAGGATGGACAGCCAAAACCAACAAAGGACGGTAAAAAGCCAACGACAAAGGTAGAGCCACAACCAAAGGTAGAGCCACAGCCAAAGGTAAAGCCACTGCCCAAGGAGCAGGAGGAGCAGGAGGAGAAGGAGGAGGTGGTTGTTGTGGCCGAGGTGGAAGCGGAAGTAGTGGATGTGGTGGCAGAGGTGGAGGCAGCACCAGAGGTTGAGGTTGTGTCATCATCCGAAGAGTCAAGTATATAAATAAAGACATCAAAAGTAAATGATCATTTGTAAACTTCCAGCCACTTTGGCTAAGGTCGTAAACCTTTTGGAACACTCGGGTTTCTAAGCGCATGTTCCAAATCAGGTCATAATGGAACCCTCGTTTGATTTCTCATTCACCACTTCTTTACAAAAGATCAAAATGATGTTGTTTTGATAACTTTATCACATTCGCAGTCATCTTGGCTTCATGTATTAGAAATAGATATTAATAGAGATAGAGATAGATACATGTCATGTCTTCATCTTTAGAAGATAACAATGATGATCAATCACATCATGGAGCAGATGAATCAGTCACAATCATCAACAAAGATGATCTGCAACATGATAATGAAGACGATGACAATGATGACAATGTTGATGTTGTGACAAAGCCTCTGTTATCACTATCAAAGACATCTAAAGCATTGCCACATCACAATAGATCAATGAGTAATAACAGTGACTACAGTGGTAGCAGTAGCAGTAACAACAACAATAATAACAACAACACAAGATTCGTAACAGGTAGTGGAGGAGAGATAATCATTATAACATCAGGTAGCAATAATGGTACACCAACAACAAGCAATAACAATAACAACATTGGAATCAATATAAGTAATAGTAGTAATAATATGAATAGTAGTTATCAGAGTGATGCCAGCACCAATGATTACAGCACGAATACAATGGCAGCGATTGACCGCGAGGCCAAGACACGTAGCGAACCATTCACATTCCACCACTCGATGATGGTCGTCATCATGGTGGTCATCTACCTGATGCTCATAACCTTCTTCATGATCATGTACAGGTTCGCAGCACAATCCACATTCTCATACTATATGTTCCTGATCGTGCGCCCATTGCCCATGGTGCCACTGCTCCTGATCATTCCATTGTATGGCATCAATGATGAAAAGACCAGGCGCTATTCAATCTGCATCGCAGTGGCGCTGGTACTATCCTTCATCTCTGACGTCTTGCTGTCGGCCGAGGTCAACGCGTCCGCGGCGTCACGTGCCGGCACGGGCTACTCACCGGGGCTCTACTACGCCTCATTCACTTTCACGCTGTTGGCACGCGTCGCATACACGACGGCCTTTGTCGTTGGAATTGGCAAGAGTATCAAGATCAGACTGTTCCACGCGATCCCATTTTATGCATTCAGTGCCACAATGGTGCTGATGATCGTCTTTTCAAAGCAGATTGCGCCGGTGCTCATCCCACCGCACCATCCATTTGGTGCATCGTCCGGCCTCGACCTCAGTGCCAAGTACACTCATACATTCGATTCATATACCACGACAACTCTGTCATCATCGACCCCTGGCGATTCTGAGGCATCGTCATATATCGAGACGTCATCTTCGACATCACCAATCCCTCAGCTGGATACAGGTAACTTCACACTGGTCATTATTTACGCCATTGTTGAATCGACGATGCTGTGGCGTGCTCTGGCACTGGTCAGCAGCTTCCCTGGCACGAACCCAACACGCGCACTCCTATTTCTGAGTGTGATAGGTGCCACAGTGTTTGCCATCACCGATACATTGATCATCATATCCAACTACTACTACCCAATACAGGGTATCTTTTATCTGAGTGCTGGTGGATTCTGGCTGGGTCACAGTTTGATCGTCTTCTCGATACCTAGACGTATGGACTTCCAGGACTACCTGAACAAGTACATCAAAACAGGAAGCAGGAGAACGGCAAGCAAGAGGAAGTCCATGAGAAAGAGTCAACAACAACAACAACAACAACAATCATCACAACTGTACCAGTCCATTCCAAGCAACTGAGACTGACGTGTCAGTTTGTAATTAATGAAGGGCCACATTTGATGCCCCAACAGTGTATATTACATCACATCACAATCCAATCATTCAATCAATCAATCCAATTTCAATCAATCAATCAAGTTCTTAGTGACTACACCCTGTCAGCGGACACCTACTTACACATCATTCTTTCATGTGACCACCAATCTTCAATCCATCATCATCATCATCATAATGATCACACCTTGTACTAAATGAATGAATGGAAAACCACAATCCACTTAATTCATTCATGTACTCTGAGAGTGCTCTTCTTCATTGGCATTGGCACCAATCAGAATTGAGTGAGCGCAGGGAATGAGGGATTGATTGATTGGTCGAGTGGTGGATGGGTGGGGCTGTCACCTACCCACTCACCACAACAAGCACACTCACTAATCATCGATCATGTGAGTGTGGCAATCAGTCAGTCACTTTGAGATCCGATAAATTAACCACATGAGGTTAAATTGATTATAGATGGATGTTGCTCACTTGTCCACATATGGGATAGCATTGTCAATAACCACATTAATAGTAGTAGTATATATATATTTGATTTATTGATTGATTGATGGGGAGGTTGGTTAGTTTGTAGGTAATTGAAGAGATAGTGATTGATTGTGTTGATGTGAGAGTATTCAATCAATTTGATTGATTGTTTGATTGATGGAGTGACACTTAGCTGTTGGATGGTTATTAACTACGCGAGAGAGAGAGTACTTTAACTTGAAGTGACATCGGGTATTTCAATAGTCATAGCAACTACAATTTATTTATTATTACTTTGGTAATTAATAATCAATATTTCTATTTACAAATAATAATATATATTAAAATTTATATATAAAATGAACTTATTTTTATTAAGTTTAATATTAATAGTTGGATATTTAATTATTGATTGGATTGGAAAGAATAGAAGGATACATAAGAATGAACCACCTGGTCCAAGAGCATTACCATTGATTGGCAACCTACATCAGATTGGCCCACTGCCTCATATTGGTTTCACCGAGATGACCAAGAAGTATGGACATGTGTTCCGAGTGTGGCTAGGTGACAACTACCATGTTATTGTCGATGATCCTGAAGTGATCAAAGAGATCACTGTCAGGAACTTTGATAACTTCACCAATCGTCTACTATCGCCTAGTTTCGAAGTTATGAGCCGAGGCTACATCAACCTGGCAGTTGGACGCGATGACCATTGGTATCATCTACGCAAACTAGTTTCCAATGCATTCACCAAGACCAAGATACGCACCGTTGGCTTTGTCATCGAAGAGCATATCGATCATCTAATTAGAAGGATGAAGTTATTTGAGAAGGATAACCAACCTGTATGTATCCCCATGACTTGGATCATATTGATCGATTGATGTACTAACAATGGAATCATTCCAAACAGTTCTATCCTAGATTCCATTTGAAGAAGTATGCTGTCAATATTATATTCAGTATGGTGTTCTCTGATGAGATACCTTATGATGAGGATGTCCACGAGGGCAGGATGCAGAGTCTATTCGTTCCAATTGATAAAGTGATGAGACATCTTGGTTCTGGCAAACTTGCAGACTGTGTCAACATCCTCAAGCCACTACTCAAGTTCAAACAACGTACATTTGGCACTGACATGGACATTGTATTCAAGATCACAGCAGAGATCTATGATGAACATGTTGCAACACTTGATGAGAATAAGTAAGTGGTCCTTATTTGCTTGTATGACACGATCACGGCTGGCGTGGTACTAACCTTTCTTGCTGTGTACTTAGCCCAAGAGACCTATTTGACAGTTTGATCATTGACTCCAAGGGCAAACATAGGGACTCGGTGATCATGGTCGGAACGGACTTTATCATCTCAGGAACAGAGACAAGTGCATCTACGATTGAAATGTTCATGATGTACATGATCAACAATCAAGAGGTACAGGAGAAGGTCGCCAGTGAGTTGGCCAGCATAGTTGGAGTGGGCAATAGAGTGTCGATGTCACATCGTCCCAAGTGTCCATACACAATCGCGGTGATCCATGAGGTGATGAGGATGATGCCAGTGGCGGCATTAGTGCCACGTATGGCCAAAGAGTCGATAATGCTCGCGGACAAATACTTCATTGCCAAGGGAACACATATGTTGATAAACTATCGATCGTGGAATCATCGTGAAGACCTGTGGGAGCTGCCCGAGCAGTTCCTGCCCGAGCGATTCCTTGGACAGAGCACAGACTTCCAGCCATTCAGCAGTGGACCACGTAATTGTGTTGGACAGAATCTTGCAGTTGAAGAAGTATTCGTAGGATGTGCCAACATCATTCACAACTTCCGACTCTCATCCGTCGATGGTAAGCCCGTTGCCGAGGAAGAGACATTCGGTCTAACAATCTGTCCCAAGGAATTCCAAGTCTCTGTTCAAAGTAGAACTACTCATCCTATTAAATAAATACATTACATTACACTCACATTCATTCATTCATTGTTTAATGTTTTACAATCCGAAGAGATAAAGTGAATGAGTGAGAAAGAATGAAGTTTCCAAAGTGGGGTGAAGATGAGCTCAACAGAAAGATATTTAAAAATTGAAATTTAAATGTTTCGAAATTCGTGATGGGGGAAACATGATCATTCTGAATCAACGGGTCCCACTTTAATTTATTTAGCGGAAGACGTGCACGTCATCTAGACACTCACTACTTTTACTAAAATAAGAGTAATACAGATAACATACATACATACATACAGATAATACTTATACACATACATACTTAAATCACCAACCTCAAAGATGTCAACCACACCACCAAAGAATGATAAGAAGAGAAAGAATGTAGATGCCAAGCCAGCAGCAACCTCGGCAGCAACTGATGCACCAAAGACTACTTATATGGAGACTCGTAATAGGAAGAAGGCAAGAGAGGCATTGGATCTTATCTCTGGACAGAAGCAGAGACAGACAAGTTTGTTCAATCTGTTGGGCAAGGAGTATACCGGTCCAACTGAGGACCAGCTAAAGATGATCTTTAGAATGTTTGACACGAACCGTGACGGCAAGATCGGACCAGAGGAGTTGGCCGGCGTGCTGCGCATGATGGGCAAGCGTCCACTCACCAAGAGAATCGACAAGATCCTCAATGAGTGTGACAAGGACCGCAAGGGATACATCGAGATGGATGAGTTCATCGAGTACATGCAGAACAAGGCGATGGAGAAGGCCAAGATGCTCGGCCTGATCCCCGTGCAGCCAGAGAACAACGGCACCGACGGCGATGCTGGCGCCGGCGACACTGACGAGGAGGACAACACCAAGAAGTCGCCTGCAAAGAAGACCGCAAAGAAGGCTGCCGCCAAGAAGGCCGCCACCACCAGCACAACATCAACCGCGACCACCACCACCGCCACCAAGGCCGTCACCAAGCAGCCATCGTTCTTCCAGCCACTCACCAAGGGCTCGTCGATCGTCCACTTCTACAACGCCAACGCCGGCACTCACAGCATTGCCAATGCACCCGTCGACAAGTTCAACAACCCAATGGGTGTCGAGTACGATCTCGGTGTAGAGGGTGCCTTCACCTCGTTTACAATCTTGGTGGGCTCATTCTACAAGATGGAGCTCAAGTGCGAGAAGGACCTCAAGGCCAAGGGTTTCACGATCCAGGTGGTCGACACCGAGAAGGAATTCATCGAGAAGCTGCCTTCAGCCGACATTGCCTACATCATCTCTGGCTTGAACGAGAACTCTCCCACCAAGAACGAGTTCATCGCCGCCGTCAAGAAGTTCCATCAGAGCGGCAAGGGACTCTTCATCTGGTCCGACAACGATCCGTACACTGTCCAAGCCAACTGGATCCTCCAGGACCTCTTTGGCGCCCAGCACGTCGTCAAGGGCTGCGAGAGCGCTCAGAAGGATCTAACACTTGCCACCAAAGCCGGCGAGAAGCAGAAGTTCCAGTCACATTTGATCACCTCTGGTATCGTCACTCTGTACGAGGGACACACCATCTCCTGGATGAACGATGTACCTGATCAGCTGGCCGTGTTGGCTCTGTCCACTGAGGGTCACAACATCCTGATGCACTCTGTTGACGAGAAGTTGCCAGAGAACTGCGGACGTATCGTCGTCGACACTGGATTCACCAAGCTGATGGACCAGTTCTACTCGGCCGGTGTCGAGCGTTACATCAAGAATGCCACCGTGTGGCTGCTCGGTCTGGACCACCGTTTCAAGCTCGGTCAGGATGTGCAGGGCGAGATCACCCAACCACGCGAGGTTCCAGTCTGGCAGTACCAGCACGGCAGCTGGTTGGACTACGACATTGACGCTTCCAAGCTCGTCGAGCACGAGTACCAAGACTGGCTGAAGAACCCATACGTCGATGTCCGTTCAGTCAAGAGTGGTCACTGGTGCTACCAAGTGGACTTCAAGCAGATGTTGCAGACCAACATCCAGCACAACAGCCACACCCAACGTTCCGTACGCAGAGAGATGAGAAAGGTTGTTGCCAAGTAGACATCACCAGACGATGTCCACGACCAATCAATCAATCACACAAGTTGTCATCAATAGCCACCTACTACAAATCAATCAATCAATCAAACTAATGAATAAAGACCTTGCATTGTTCTATGAATGAAGTACATGCACCTCGCGTGCTCTCCTTTTGTCTTTTACTGTTTAGTCTTTGACTTGTCCTGAAGGTCCTAGAAGGCCTCATCCCCCGAGTCGACCAAGAGATCCTCTTTCGATTCCAACAACTCCTCATCGTTGTCATAGTTAATCTCTTCATCCTCAGCGATATGATGTTGCTCGAGCTCTTCGTTCAGTTGTTCCTCCTCTTCCAAAATCTCCTCCTCATCGCCAACGACCTCTTCATCACCTGGTGTCTCCTCTGTTGGCTCCTCCTCGGTGACCTCACCACCCTGTGCGGCCTCTGCTTCATTGTCGCCATCCTTATACAACACCTGTAGGATTTCCTTCATCTTTTCGCCTCCGACCTCCTTCTCGTTCTCCTGACAGAAGATCTCGACGTCTCTGAGCTTGCCGTAGAAGAAGTCTCTGTCCTTCTCGACTTCGAGCATCAAGAGCTTCATATCGGTCAGCTGCTTGGTCAACTCCTCGATCTGAGCGTTCTTCTCCTCCAGTTCCTTCACCAACGATGGATCGATAACCTTGACAGTCTCGACGACAGTCGTCACAGTCTGGCTCTGAGTTGTTGCAGCTGGAGCTGGGGCAGCGGCTGCAGGTGCTACTGTGGTGGCGGCAGCTGGTTTGAGAAGGTGATGTTAGTTTGATTGATTGAATGATTGATGAGTGGATAGGTATGCTCATACCCTTTGTAGTTGGCTTGAATGATGGTTGTGATACAGTTGGCTTGGTACCAGTTGGCTTGGCGGCGGTGGTTGGTGTTGCTGTTGGCTTGGCGGTGATGGAAGGTCTGCTTGAGATTGTTGATGCGGGCTTGACAGAGGTGGTGGAGGGTCTGGCTGGTGTGACAGTGGTCGATGGCTTTGAGATGCTTGTGGCAGTTGGCTTGGTGACTGCAGCGGATGGTTTGGTGGCAGTGGAGCCAGCGGATGCTGTGGCTGGCTTGGGTGGTGGCTTTGGTGCATTGGGACCAAGTGATGCCAACAGTGCCTTGTCGCCATCATAATTGATACGAGATGCAACTCTTCTCTCGAGTGCATTGTATGGTGAGCCATCATAGTGCAGATCAAAGAACTTCTTCATCCACTGACAAAAGTCGAGGTTGGCTTGAGGGCGACCAGTGACCATTCTATCAACATCCATTGCACCTTGATACTAAGTATGATTGAATGATTGAGTGAGTGAGTGAGTGTATCATGTGATAGCGAGGGTATGCATACTTACTTTGTCGACGCCCAACTTCTGGAAGCATTGTTGCAGGAGGTTGAAGTTGGCAATGTATTCGTAATCGTACTTGGCATTGTAGTTGACCTTTGAGAGAGGCAACTTGCCTGGGAACAGAATATCCATCAGTTGACAATGAGCGGCACCAGTAGCAGTATGCTCAATCTTTGTATAGTTCAGCTGCAGTGTATCATTCAGCCAGTTCAATATCTCATTACGTCCTCTATCATGATCATCATCAAGTGTGAGTGAAGTGGAACTCGCGAGTCAGTGATCAATCAACCAATCAATCAATCATTCAATCGATCGATCATGAAGCTATAAACCTACCCCTCCATTCTATTTATATATATCTATCTGTATGTTTGTATTGTAATCTATCTAAAATATAATATACATGTAAATAAGACTGGTGTCAAGTATGATCGAAATGATTGACCAAAGGCGGGAACACCAATTCCATCACTTTCAAACACAAAACAATCACACACGTACTTCCGGAAATCGGAAGGATTGATGGATGACTTCATTGGTTAGTTCTGTTTCTTGAGCTCATTGGCGCCACATAGATCCTGTCCAAAGAGATGAGTGACACCTTCGCTCAATGTTTGCTCCTTCAATGTGTTTCGCTTGAGTATGTTCAGTACAAGTATGGCGGTACTTCCTTGGGCAACACCCCACAACAGTACTCCAATGTAGGGGAATGATAAACTGTACATGGCCATAACAGAGAATCCGAATATCCATCCAAAATATCGTCGGTTCATATAGACCTCTTGTTTGGCATCAGGTACACGGCAATAATATACCTCCAACATCTCTTTACCCAATGAATACGATGCCATCAATGCTTTCAAAAAGTGTTTGGCAGGTATCTCCAATGCTGGATGTAAAGAGAGCATAGCCAATACGAATGCCATTCCATTACTAAGTAGTGATTGATTGAGTTAGGTATGTATGTGATTGAGTGATTGATTGATTGATTGATTGAATGAGTGTAATTGCTGAATGAACATACCCAAGAGGCTCATGACTGTACATGTACTGTGACACTGCGATTACCACAATACCAACGTGTGGAAGAAGGGAGAGTAGGTAGACTACAATACCAAGGAGGAGTAGAGTGGCAGTACGCTTCAAGTAGGCCATGAATGGATACTGTTTGACAATGGGTGCCTTGCGAAGGAAGTCCGCAAGCTCGGAGTTCTTGCCCTCCATCACTGTGAAGAAGACCTAAGTAATGGGATGTTTGAGTAAGTATGAGTGTGTCGCGACAAGTATGAGTGCGGTGGGTAGGGACATACATCTTCGTTATAGCTTGGCAACATGTAGCGAAGGAATCCAATGAAGACCATTGGGACGAACATTGCAATCTTGCCAAAGAGATTGAGTGGGGAGAGTACTTCTTGGACGATGGTAAGGTAGGGCGCAGTCTTGACAAACAGTGTGGAGATGATGTGAAGGATGATGCGTGCGGGCAGTGTGGCAATCATCAGGATGAGGTAGGTGGCGGCAATGCCGATCAACGCCATCTGTATCGTCTGGACGTAGAGTGTGACCATCTTGCGATTGCGGAATGCACACAGACAGCCCTCGAGATAGGTCGCGAATCCCTTGGCAAACTTCACGTAGAAGCCTGGATGACGGAATGTACTGCGCTTCGAGACCTTCTTCAATTGCTTCTTGGACAGATCGCTGTTGAGTCGTTGTGGTGGAGGCGAACGCTCGCCCTCAGTCTTGTTGTCACTACCACTATGTTCACCTCCCTTCTTTGACTTGATTGCATCCTTCACCAAGTCTTTAGTGTCTTTGACCTTAGTAGCGGCCTCCTTCACGTACTTGTCCATCTTTAATCTATCTACAACTATAACTACAACTACAACTGATTGATTGTTTGTTTAAATGTTTGAGTGATGATGCGTGGGAAGTGGATCTCATCATGGACTTCAACTTGATTTAGCAAAGTATCGGATGACGTGGATGACATGGCATCGTCATTATTGATGGTAGCATGGTAACCAACCAAAGGTGGATTTATTATTGTCGACTACACAAAGTGTTGATATCCACGATTGATGACTGGTCATATCCAATACCCATGTGACGATCACTTTGAATCAGGTGGCAATGCATATGATTGAGGCTGTGGCAGATTGAAACTGGGTGCCTGTGAGAATATAACTGGTTGTTGTTGATAGTATTGTTGTGGCGGTTGTTGTTGTTGTTGTGGTTGTGGCGATGGAATACTTGTGGATGTCACCTGTTGTTGTTGATGATTATTATAAGGATTGGCAATGTGATAGTGCTGTTGTTGATATGGTTGTTGCTGTTGTTGACTCATAATCTGTTGAGTGATCACCTGTTGGTAATCCATTGTTCTAGTCTGTTGCTGTTGTGGCTGTTGTGGCTGTTGTTGTTGTGGTTGTTGTTGAGGTATAGTTTGAATCTGTTGGAGTTGTTGGAAATATGATGAGTTCTGTGGAAGATGCTGCTGTTGTTGTTGTGGCTGGTGTTGTCGCTGCATGAATGCTGGTACACGATGTTGTTGTCCTTGTCCCTGTTGTCCTTGTTGGTGTTGTTGTCGATATTGTTGTTGTTGTCCTTGTCCTTGTCCTTGTTGTGGATATTGAGGTGGTTGAGCATTTCTTGGCAATGGATTATATTCGAATGTTGATTGAATGTAATCCAAATCACTCTTTGGTCTATTGTTGTTATGGTTGTTGTTATTCTTATTCTTTCTCTTCTTCCTATTACGTTGACTCTTATATTCTCTCTCCTTCTCATCGTCACTGAACTCAATGTCCTTGTCATCCAACTCCTCGTCATTCTCGTTCGAAGCGTCCACGCCCTTTGTGTAAATCCTTGATGGGATGACAAACTTGGCCAGATCAGGTTGATTGACATAATATACTTTGGTATTATGTTGTATCGTTATATTCTTCTTGCTGATGTTGTTCGACTCGGTTGTTGTTGTTGTTGTAGTTGGCTCTGTCGCGTCAGTTGGAAGAGTGGCAGCGGTTGTAGTGTCCGATGATGATGCTGCTGCTGTTGCTGCCTTTGCCAAGGTGATTGAAATGTTGGATGGTATCCTAACAGAGTAGAATGGATCGGATATCTGACCAAACACCTCGTATATCCTGCCAAATGGTGTACGATCTTCCAGACATACTATGGAGTCAATGTCCAGAGCTGGCCTGTCTTTGAGGTTGGCCGATGAGACACCAGTGGTGTCAGACTTGATAACTATCATATCCTCAACAATGCTTTGTAGTCGCCCCAGTAAGTTGATTGGTACAGTCGCTGGTATATCAATCAAGATAGGTGCCTCTGATGGCACCTGATTGGCGTTGGTCTTCTTCTCTCTTGGTTCGTCATCATCATCGTCATAATCATCCACCTTTCTCTTCTTTGTTGTTGATGTTGTTGATGTTGTTGAAGTTGTTGAAGTTTTAGATTTGTCCTCTATGATATCATCCAAGTCATCATCACTACTATCACTGCTGCTGACACTACTGTCGGAGTCACTCTCATCACTACTGTCACTGCTACTACTGCTGCTGTCAGAGTCGGCATCATCTACAGGTGGTGCCACTTTAGTATCAGTAACTATCTGCTCTTGAACTATTTGATCTGGCTCAGCCTGTTGTGGCTCAATCTTGACCTGTTCTTGCTCGTCAACTATCTGAGGAAGGGGCTCAATCTGGATATGGGCTTGTTGTTGTTGTTGTGGCACTGACACAACCTGCTCAGCAACTGATTCGAGTACATTGGATGTCTGTGTCACTTGTTCAACTTGTTCAACTTGCTGTACTTGTTCGATCTGTGGCAGTGGCTCAAACTGGATCACCATAGGCTGTTGTTCAACTTGATCAACTTGTTCGATCAGTGGCAATGGTTCAAGCTTCATCATTACAATCTGTTGATCACCACTTAAGGTGTCAACTGTTGCAACAGGTACCGGCGCTGATGTGTCGCTGGCGTTGGCATCAGTAATAGTCACCTCTGGTTGTTGTTGTTGTAGAGGTTGTTGTTCAGGTTGGTGTTCCGGTTGTTGTTGATGTGTGCTATCATTGATGACTACATTAGAAGTATCTGTTATTGTTGCTGCTGAATCCATTATTTATATATGTTACAACAAGAGATAGATAGACGACTAATAAACAATTAAAGCTGTTTCAAACTTCATTCATTCGTTCGTTTTTTCTAAAAGTAACTCAAATTCGACTTTGTTCACAAGTCAACTCGTCAAAGTGCTTGGTGCAACCAAGTTTGTTTATTGGATGGCGATATCAGCACATTGATAGAAGTCTGGTAGAGGTTCACCAGCATTGTTACTAATGTATCTAACTCTCAACACACATCCCTTGCATGTTTGGTTTGGTACTTGGATCTAAAAGTAATTTGATCAATGAATGAGTCAGTATGATTGAATGTATGAATGTAATAATAATACATACAGATACAGTGTAATTTGTTTGAGATACCATGTCCCAAGCATTGTAATCTGGGATGGTCTTTGAGACTACTTGGAAGGGACCTTGATCACCATTGTATGAGATGGCAACATCCATGAATCCTTGATTGGGCTGATACCAATGATTGTAGTTCTGTTGGAAGTGGACATAGGCAGTTGATCCTGCAGTGTAGAATGCAACTGGTGCACCAGCAGTAACATTTCCACAGTTTGAATATGGTCTATAGCATGCACCATCACCAGGTTGAATTGGCACTGCAAAAGTTGGTTCTCTCTGCTCTGGTTCAAAGATACACAAGTGTGCCAATGACATTGACACCAATAGTGACAATATAATTAACTTTGTAGCAAACATTATTATTATTTGTTATATGATGATATATTATATGATTGAATGAATGAATGAAGGTCACATAATAGGTATGTTTGTGTTGTATTGATTGATATGGAGTGTTCCTTTGATTGTTCCATATGTAAAGTTATCGGCCATTGGATGATGTTATTAAAAAAATTGGGCGTCTTTAGATCTTATTTGTGATGATTTGACATCAAATTAATAAATATCTTGGGACGTCATGTGACGAAGAAGCCTTCCAAACCTTCTCTTTCAACCTTTCCTCATCTTCTACACTATCATACATGTATATGACCATTCTGTATATGTGATCGATAACATTTATTTATATATTCATACATATTCCTACATATAAATAATAAGAATGAAGTTAATTATTTCATTATTAATCACTTTGGTTGTGATTGAGAGTGCACTGGCATTTGATTGTTGTGTACCTGATCATTGGCAAGGAAGCAGTTTGACTACGACTTCAACAGGCGAGTTGATTGAAAAGACATACTATTATGATGCAATCAATCTTAGGACTAGGATTGATACTCGTACCAACACTGGATTCAATCAGACCACCTACTCTTACTACCCACCCACCAACAAGACTGGCACTGAATGGGTGATGGACGTCACTGCCGACCAATGCTTCCAGACCGGACCAGACTTTTGGAACTACCAGTGCTTTGGCCAGACTTACGGTCTGCCACTGATCACTCAGACCCAATACGAGTACATCTTCTACAATGCAGACAATGGCATCAGTGTGGTCACTACCAAGGGTGATCGCTGTCTTCCCGTGTCAATGTCATTTGGTCTTGCTGGTACCACCACCGACTTCCTTGATGTTCAACCATACATCACTGATGATAAAGTGTTTGACCTTCCATCTCAATGTAAACAATAAATTATCATTATTATTTGTTGTGTATTCATTCGTCATGACGTCCAAAGTGTGTGAGAATGGGTTGTGTTGGGTTGCATTCGAAATGAGACACACAACTTGAAACAGCACTTATTCACAACAACCCCTCTACTTCCCAGGAAAACAAAGAAGTAAACACGCTATTGTGTGTGTGAATCATTCATTCATTTGTACAGTTATTGAATAGAACAAAGAGATAGAGATAAAGATAATATATATACTAAATATTCAATACATATAATATATATACACGAAAGAGATACTCACAGAGAAGGAAGGATGAGCAATTTAGTTGTTAGATTCGTTGCCAATAGTTTGTTGAAGGCAGTTGGCTTCAAGAGACTGGCAAACTATGCTGCCCTATCAATTGGTATGTATGATAGACACAGAAAGACAGACAGACAGACAGACAAATAGCAAGAGAGGGATCAATGAAACTAACAACAAAGTATTATATATATTTAGGTCCAAAGATTATTGATCATATAGTGGCAGCTTCAACAAAGGGTGTAATACCAATGCGAGCTATTAGAGTACTACGTACATCATTATCATATGCACCAATAGCTGTTATAATGGGTACAAGTGGTACATCATTGGTTAGTGCAGTCACATATTATATTATCATTCAAATATCAGAGTGTATGTATTGTATACTCTCCTCACCATCCTCACTCGTTAAAATCTACTTACACGTTAATATATAGCACTATGTATGTTGGTAGTTAGAGAGGCAGTTGGACAATCATTCAGATGTGTAAAGTATATTGTACGCACAACTGTCAATGTACTCACTGGCAATGGTGGCAGTGGAACAAAGACATTGGAGGATGATTGGATCGTACTGGATAGATTGGATCAGGTCAGCAACAGCAAGCTAAAAGAGTCTGGTGAGAATGTCACCTCGGAGCAGATGGAGCAGGTCGAGCAGTATCTCAACTCTATAGATATAGATCATGAGGTGCAACAACAGCAAGAGGACGAGAAGAAGTTGACAAAGGAGCAGCAGGATCAACTATTCAACGAATATATCAAGAGAGAGATGGACGAGTTTGTTATGTTGTAGGGTCAGGGACAGGAGAGTACAACATATGAATGGATGGAAGCGCGCAACATACACAAACAATATGTACATATTTGTATCAATTATAAATTATACTTGATGTAATGATGAACTGATCCATTACGATAATATGGATTGTAGGTTCATCACAATAACATCACCTCCAACTACAACCAAGATAACAAATTAATTAATTATTGATGAACTTTAAGTTAGTTTATTATATTATTATTATTAATATTTAACAGATGTTAATGTTGGCGTGGATGCATGCATCGATATTGCTGCAACCGGACAAGTTGATGTGGACATCGACATCAACATTGACGTGGATGTCTGGGAGACATGGACCGCAACCAAACAGACCAGCGCTTCTGTTTGCACCCTGCATGGCACCACCGTATGATCCACCGGCAACAGATGACTTGGACATTCCCATCGATGAGGCGGATGGAGTAAGGTTCTTCATGGCAGCTGTGGAGCAGGAGAATATTAGTATTGATGATCAAGGATATTTAAATTGACGTTGGACTTACCAATAAGAGTCATTTTTGATTGATTAGAGTTAAGGTATTTAGTTTAAGTTAATTGATTGATTGATTTGATTTATTTAAGTTAGTGATTGGAAGTATTTATACTTGTTGGAATTGAATAAAGTAAATTAATTCAATCCACTTTAAAGGGAAATAATTGGTACACTTTAAAAGGAGAAGATGTAGTGTACTATTCGATCAGATATTCAATCGAATTCAAAGTATTTCAATGTATTTACTTCTTATGGTCATCATAAACAGGTTAAAACACAATCACACACTTTACTTAATTATAACAATCCAATCAGATCATTATTATTTGTTTGGATTCAAGTTGAATGTTTGTGTGTTTGTGTATGTGAGAGTGTGGTGATTGATCAAGTCGTGTTGATGGATGTGGCAAACAGGAGAGAGATAAAGAGATTTTTGATCAATCAATCAGATAAAGATAAAGTGTGGGATGTCAGGACAAGTATTGAGAATCTTTGAAATTGATTGAAGAACTGATCGATAGTACATTACATCTTTACCTTATATATAATAATTCATTCAAAGGTTTATAACAATTCAATCAATATAAATACTACCACTTAATCAATGTAAATAATCATCAAATCAATCAATCAATTTACTTTAAACTAAATACTTAACTCTAATCAATCAAAAATGACTCTTATTGGTAAGTCCAATATCAATATATGTCATATTGATTGGCATCACATCAACCTTATACTAATATTCTCCTTCTCCAACTCCATAGCTGCCATGAAGAACCTTACTCCATCCGCCTCATCGATGGGAATGTCCAAGTCATCTGTTGCCGGTGGATCATATGGAGGTGCCATGCAGGGTGCAAACAGAAGCGCTGGTCTGTTTGGTTGCGGTCCATGTCTCCCAGACATCCACGTCAATGTTGATGTCGATGTCCACATCAACTTGTCGGGTTGCAGCAACATCGATGCATGCATTCATGCCAACATCAACATCTGTTAAATATTATTACAAATATTAATAAACTAACATATATTTAAAATGTTCATACACAGTACAAACAATATCTGTTTCTATCTTTGATTGATGGGAGTGATACATGCTCGAACTTTGGACCTTCATTCGTCATTAATGAATTTTAAATTAAATTAATCAAATTTGAAACAAACGAGTAGCTAAAAGTTGGTTTTACACCCACAAGTGCGCGAACGACTCGCTTGCTCCATCCCCTCGTTCACATCTCAACACACGAAGGTATCTTGTATCCGGTATCACCTCAAACATACACATACACATACATATATATATCTATAACAGATAGAAAGAGATAGAATGTTAGTTCTTTTCGAGACACCTGCTGGATATGCACTGTTCAAGGTGTTGGATGAGGGCAAGATCAAATCCAGTCCATCAACCATCCATCAACACTTCACCACACCAGAGAAGGCTTCAAAGATGTAATGATCGTCATCACATCACATAACATCACTCATTACATTTCATGATGATCTGATCCCTAACACACATACTCAAACAAACTATTAGTGTATCTTTGAAGAAGTTCTACAAGTTTGATGGTACTTTGGACGCTTTGGAGTCATGCACAGCGTTGGCTGAGAACACTGTGCCAGAGTCATTGTCAAACTTCTTGACAAAGAACATTATCAAGGAGAAGTTGACTGATATGTTGGCTGTCTGCGACACCAAGTTTGGAAATGCCATCAAGGAGGCCGGACTCAACATCAAGATCATCTGCGACGACACCACACAGGAGCTCATCAGAGGCATTCGCAGTCAGATCAACTCGCTCGTCACTGGTCTGTCCGAGTCGGACCTCAACGCCATGTCCATCGGTCTGTCTCACTCCTACTCCAGATACAAGCTCAAGTTCTCGCCAGACAAGGTCGACACTATGATCGTGCACGCCATCTCGCTGCTGGACGAGCTAAACACTGAGCTCAACATCTACGGAATGAGAGCGCGTGAATGGTACGGATGGCATTTCCCCGAGCTCGGAAAAATCATCGGCGAGCACAGCCAGTACTGCAAGGCCATCAAGTTGATGGGCGATCGTAAGAACGCCGCCAAGCACGACTTTGAGGACATCTTGCCAGAGGAGATTGCCAGCGAGGTCAAGGAGGCCGCTCAAATCTCTATGGGTACAGACATCAGTGAGGAGGATCTCGACCACATCTTCTCGCTCTGTGACCAATACATCTCGTTCGACGAGTACCGCCAACAACTCTCAGAGTACCTCAAGAACAGAATGAACGCCATTGCACCCAACCTGACCATCCTGGTCGGCGAGGTCGTCGGCGCTCGCCTCATCTGCAAGGCCGGTTCTTTGATGAACTTGGCCAAGTACCCCGCCTCCACCATTCAGATCCTTGGTGCCGAGAAGGCCCTCTTCCGTGCCATCAAGACCAAGAACAACACACCAAAGTACGGTCTCATCTACAACGCCAAGCTCGTCGGTGACGCTTCCCTCAAGAACAAGGGTAAGATGTCCAGAGTGCTGGCCGCCAAGGCTGCCCTGTCCATCCGTTTCGACGCCCTGTGCGAGGCTTCAGACACAAGCTACGGTATCACATACAAGTCCAAGGTCGAGCAGAGAGCCATCGACATTGAGAACGGCGTCGTCCGCAGAACCAACAACAACAAGAAGAAGCCAGCCAACCAGACCAAGTACGACCACACCAAGGGATCAAACTCACTGCAGACCAGAACTCCAGAGACCAAGGTCAAGAAGGAGTCCAACATCAAGCAGGAGAAGAAGGATTCGTCCGACGAGGACACTGAGATGAGCGAAGTCGCCGAGACAAAGATGGAGGTTGAGAAGACCAACAACAAGAAGAAGCCAGTTAAGAAGGAGTCGTCCGACGAGTCGTCGAGCGAGTCATCGTCCTCCGAGGAGGAGGTCAAGAAGCCAGCCAAGAAGGAGGAGAAGAAGGTTGAGAAGAAGGAAGACAAGAAGAAGCCAGCCAAGAAGGAGTCATCAGACGAGTCCTCCTCAGAGGAGGAGGTTAAGAAGCCAGCCAAGAAGGAGGACAAGAAATCAAAGAAGGAGGACAAGAAGGAGGATAAGAAGGCTGACAAGAAGAAGGCTGAGGTCGAGGAAAAGACCGAAAAGAAGTCATCAAAGAAGTCTGAGGAGAAGGAAAGCAAGTCAGAGAAGAAGGCTGACAAGAAGGAGGACAAAAAGGAGGATAAGAAGTCATCAAAGAAGTCTGAGGTCGAGGAAAAGACCGAGAAGAAGTCATCAAAGAAGTCAGAGGTAGGGGAGAAGAAGCCAGCCAAGAAGGACGACAAGAAAAGAGCCAGAGAGGACTCATCAGAGGAGAAGGTCGTCAAGAAGAAGAAATAAACGTCGGTCGTCTTTTATTATTATTATTTGAGGCTTGTTACAATTTAAAATGGATCGATCTGACTACAAAGGTGTGATTAAAATTAAATGAAGGATTACCAAGTGGATAATTGAAACAATGTCGGAAGGATAAAGGTAGGATATAAGACAATAAGAACAAACATCATTATCTATTATTCTGTAGTTTTTAAATATGTCCAAATTAAATATATTAATATTATTAATCTTGATTATTTCATTGATCAATCTAAATAATGGTCAAGATACCTTTTCTTTGGTATCTTCAGATATTATTATTATTATTTTTTAGATCCCGAATTAAATGATCCACCTCTTGGTCTAAACTTGTATATTGTAAATAACCTTAAACGGCCATTAATATAAACCCAAGGATAAAAATTGATATAGTGAATTATTATAAATATATTCAAATAAATAGAGTAACGTTTTTTACATGTTTGAAAGGAAAAGTTAAAGGGTAAAGTGTGAGAATATCTACCTTTAACACTTTTAAATATTCATATCACTAAAGAAATAATATATACAACAATTATATAAATAACTTTATAAATAAATAATATGACTAAAATAATAGATTTAGAACCACATACTTGGAAACATTTAATATTAGAACCCTTTCCTATAACAAGATATTTCCATTCAGGAACACAGATAGGACAATATATTTATTATATTGGAGTACAAAAAAATCAGATGTTAATCGTTTAAATATTATCACACGCTTTGATATAATAACTAATACTTTCGAGGATATCACTGTCTCGAGTAACTCATCACCTGTCCCAATAATATCAAAACACTCTGCTGTTGCAGTAGACCATCTAATTTATATATTTGGTGGATATGATGGAGTTAGTACTCATCATGGACTAAGTGTATTTGACACTGGTATCTATATTATACACTTTATAAGTGAAATTTATCAATATATTAATATAATAATTCATTAAAAGTGAATCTAACATGGAGATTCTTGGATAAGGAATGTAAAGGAGATATCTCCTACAACCAGAACAAGTCTTTCAACCACTTTGTTTAATGGAAATATTTACCTCTTTGGAGGCCTTCATATTAATGAGCAGACTTCAGCTTTGGAGTACCTTGATGACTTTTACCGTCTGGATATTAATTCTTTGACATGGACTCGTTTGACACCAACCGGAGACTTACCTTCCAAAAGAAGTGGCCACCAGACACTAGTCTTTGAAGAGAGTATCTATCTTTTTGGAGGAGGTCTTTGTAGAAATTGGGACATTTTGCACACGGATGTTCACATTTACAACCCTGGATTAAACACTTGGACCAAGATAATTGTCACAGGAGCTCCAAATAGAGTACTTACTGCTCTTTCTTCAGTCTGGATAGGTCCCTCTATGTATTTGGAGGGTTATCTACCAAAAAACGAATAACAGAGCTTGGAGATTATTTGCCGGTTATCTATTCTGATCTGTTTAAGTTGGACCTTGACAACAATCAGTGGTCAAAGATTGAAACATCATGTTTTCCTAAAGGTGGCATTGAGGCACCAGCAACCAACAAGGTGGATAACATCCTTTACCTATTTGGAGGAAAAATGATGCCTCCTTACATCTACCTTCTTCTTTTAAAGCCTATAAATAAATAATTTATTGAAACCTTCCCAATAAATCTTCCATTATTTAATCAATTCAACATTACATTGGATTGGAGAACATTCACCAAATCACCTTGTTGTTCGTTTATTTGACCATCTTGAGATGTCCGTCCTCAGTGCCAGCCAACAGGATGTGATGCAGAGGTAGGAATCCAGTGGACAGGATGTTGGACTGCTTGGTTGTGTTCAGTTTGATACCCTCGGCCCTGAACGTTGATCCATAGCTACCAGAGAGATCGTCTACCAATGACATACTGGAGAGTTTGGTACCAGACGAAGCGATCAGGTCATCCTGCCAAAGAGCCAATGAGTTGATCGAGTCCTTGAAGCCCTTCCACATCTTGACAATTGTTGGTGGTGATGTCTGCAGGTCCCATTGGATAACTGATTTCTCTGAGCTCGACACCAAGTACCTCGAGTTCTGTCCAATAAGCTAATGGATATGGTGAGTTAGAAGATGAATTATTGACAATGAATGTTAGGGGGATAGGTACCTTGATGATTGGACCTTCAGTCTTCCAAGAGTCGAGGATTGATCCAGTTCGAGTGTCCAGGACGGTGATGATGCCTGACGATGAGCCGGCAGCAATCCAACTGGGGAATGTGTTGGGAGGATTAGACAGCAATGAATTGGAATCTGATGGAATGAAGTGATCGTTCGAAGTTGTAATGCATCGAATAGAGCTTCCACCTTGATATGGAAGTACCCACGAATGTGTCTCAACGCCCAAGTTGAGATCCAAGAAGCTGAGTGTGGACTCTGACGATGAGGCAACCAGGTACTTGTTGGTGATCGGCTCAAAGCAACTGAAGCTGCCAGTTGGTTCAACAAATACATTAACCTTTACCTTGCTTTCAGCATCCCAAATCTGATTCCGGTAGTATGTTAGTATGTGATTGTTGTGTTACCATGAGGCCTATAATACATACGTGAATGGAGGTTGAGTCACAAGAGGCAACCAATGATGATACAAAGTGAACAGTGTGAACGGTGTGAAGATGTTGGTTGTAGGTACATCTTGACTTGGTAGTGTCTGGGGACCATATCTTGACAAGGTTGTCCTTGCTGCCAGTGGCAAAGATAGTCTCAGATGGAGCAATTGCGATTGATTTGACGGCGGCCGAATGCTCTTTGTAGAAGGCGACCACATTGCCTTCCATGTTGAATGCCTGCTCAGTGATCAAACCATCGTAGTCTTGATAGTCGTCCAGGACGTAGGTCAAGCTGATCTTCTCATTGAGCGTTGGCTCGACATCGTCAAACAGTCCTTCGTCCGACACGTAGGGTGGTATGTTTGAAGTTGTCATTGGCTCCACCTTGATGTTGTTTTCCTTGATGTACAACATCATAATATGCTCGATCAGTGCATTGTCTGAGATCTCAGATCGCAATATATCGATACCAATCACTCGTGACATCTTGAAATAGAGGTGATATGTCATCTCTGGTGAGTATATAGCACGTAGCTGTTTGTTGGAATCGTTGGCCACCAATCCATTGTCCTTGAAAGTATAAATATCAGAGTATGAATAGTAAAACTGTTGAAGATACTTCAATATCTGTAAGATTGATTGATTGATTGATTGATTGTTAGTATCATACTTTTGATCCTCAAGATCACTTGGGGTGGATACAAACATATAGCTTTGTGTTGTTGACTCCTATCCTTTTGGCCACACGGAGTATGGTCTCGGAGAGAGGGATGAGCACTGAGGGGTTGGGGGGATTGAGCAACAGACTGGCAAGTTGATTGGAGTCCTTCAGGAGTGATCGCAGTACTAGACCAGGCTTGACAAGTAGAATTAACTCTTGTAATAGACCGAGTAGTGTGCAGGGGATGGACTCTGATCGAGGTGACTTGGATGAATGCTTGATCAGTATGAAGATGGCGGGGAAGTAGAACTTGACAATGATCGACTCGCCTAGGCTTGAGGCAATGGCAATGAGTGGCTCGGTGATGTGCTGTAGGTATGGCTTGGTCAGAGCGATGAGTAGAGGGTACATGATGTGACGGATGGTCAGTGGGATGCCCAGCACCTTGGAGATATATATGAGTGCGGTGGTGATCATCTCATGGTTGGGATTGTCGCGTGGGTTGGTCTTGACGCTGTCGAGGAAGAAGGGTAGGATGTGATGGATGTAGATGTCGCGTCCAAACCTAGAGATGATCATGTCAATCAGAGGTATCTGGATCAGATGGCACTGCAACAGATGATCGTCGTGCAGTTGGTAGAGATTGATCACACATGGCAGCAGGTAGGTTTGTGTTGAGAGTGGTCCTAGACGCTGGGAGAGCGGGTCCAGCAGGTCGACCAGCGCACTGACCTTGGTAGTGGGTTGATAGAACAGCTCCAGGATGAATGGGAGGATAAGATCCATGGCTTCATTTGGAAGAGAGGTCACAATGCCAATGTTGGCCAGGGTGAATGTGAGCTTCTCCTCGTAGGTGTGAAGCGAGTGGTAGTGGCAGAGGAAGTGATACATCTGCTTAAAGTACGAGGGGAAGATGGGCGAGGCAAGGACCTGCTTGGGCTTGAGTCGCTCCTCAGGGTTTGGATGCACAAGACTGTCGACCAGCTCACGGATTGGTGTCGGTAGATTGAATGTGAGCGACTGGCTGTGAGTGGGTTTGCTGCCGCCACTCTGTTGCTTCGATGATGGCTTGGTGCCAGAGGACGATGCTGTCGGTGTTGATGTGGTGAAGTGATTGACAATGCTGTCATTGTTGAATAGTGGTGCGCCTTGGTATAGCTCAGCAATGATGCAGCCAATGGCATACATGTCGTTGGCTTTCATGGTCTCGAGCGCTGTAGGTTTGGGCCGGCCAAGGTACGAGAGAATGCTGCCAGGCTGTTGCTGTTGCTGCGACCGATCATACTCCATTGGTCGGTAGATGGGCGCAAGACTTTGGAATGATTGAATGAAGGAGAGTGTGCTCTCGCAAGTGAACAGGTCCTGCAGGAAGAAGTCGCCAGTGTTTGGTGCGTTGACACTTGAGCTCGGCATGCCAGTGCTCTCGTACATGCCCGGGTTGGACAGACGCTCGTAGTCGTAGAGGTCAAAGTCCAGGTCGGCTGGCAGTGGCTCGATAATGTGTGTGATTGGAAGGTCGGCGCTGAACGATGACATGCTAACTGTCTGTGGCGACATCCTGCCATCGAGTTGAGGTGACATGAACCCGCCTTGCGACTGAGTTGGAGATGTGGGGCTGGTGGGCAGATTGATGGCGTTGTCAGAGTGACTTCCAAACTCCTTCACAGGCGTTCCCTGGTTCTTATGCCCACTGTACCTTCTTCCAATGCCCTCCTCAGACTTGGAGTGAACCAAACTCTTTGTTGACGTGGGTGTGTCACTTGTCGAGCTGTTATCATTCGAGTTGTTGTTGTTGCTGTTGTTGTTGCTGTTGTTGAATAGTGATGGAAGGAATTTGGCCAGAGTCTTGGCGCTGTCCTCCTTCTTGGAGCGTAGAGTGCCTGTCTTGGAGATGATGCCTGTCGATGCGGACAGAGACTGAGTTGACTGCTGATTGAGTGATGCAGACGAGCCAGAGGATGGTGCCGATGAGATTGGCTGGAATGCATTGCCTCCACCACTGATGCTGTTGCTGCCCAGTGAGATTGGTGCCACTGATTGGGTGATCGAGTTGAGGATTGTTTGTGCGCTGGGCAGGATGTTGGAGGACGAGGACTCACCAGTGGACTGTGACAAAGCCGACACTTCGTTGAACTTGATGATGGGCTCAGCACTCACGAACGAAGTCGAGGCGATCTTCTTGTGTGGGTGTGGCTTGGTGAACAGTTGAACGATGCCAGATGTGCGAGGAACTGATGTGTCGACCAGTGCAAGATTCTTTGCCTTGATGGCCGCCTCGCCACTGAGCAGGTAGCCAAAGGTCAGGTCGATCCAATGATGCAGGTACTTGGACACCTGCTCCGACTCGAGAGCCGCCATGTGAATCGAAATAAAGTCAGCGGGCGACGAGGCCCACTCGGGGATGGCCAAGTCGGGCATGTCATCGTGTATCGATTTGAAGATGGTAGGGTCCGTGAAGAACTCGGGGATGCACTCGTCTGGTGTCCATCGGTAGAGTCGCTCCATAGACGACGGGTATTCGTTGGGTTCGTAGTTGGTGCGCACGAAGCGACGCAGCAGTGGCACGGGCGTGCGTCGAGCCATGTAGCTGTAGTAGGTCAGCTCGGACAAGATGTCCGAGATGTGGTGCGGGCGATTGATACCGCCAGGTGCGTTGTTGAATTGGAAGTCGAGCTGCTCATCGCCCTTGTTCAGACGGTATTTTGTCTTGGTAAGGTCGCGCCAGCCGCCCGCCGCCTGGAAGGGATGGCGGGCAAAGTCGATGACCCAGGGCAGCACTGGATGGTTGATGTGGTCGCCGGGCCTGCGGTGCGCCAGATGATTGAGCAGCAACAAGTAGTTGAAGTTGGATATCTGGCCGTTTACCCAGAGGTTGACGGTGCTGTCGAGCGGGTCGCTGTTGGGTGGAACCACGTAGTACTTTGGCGCGCGAGGGAATGTGAAGCCATGCAGGCCGAGCCACATGTGCTCGTCGAGGAACACGCTGGCCGGCGACAGGTCGCCGTGAATGATCTCCTTCTCGTGCAGGAAGCTGATCACCTGAATGAGCTGGTAGAGGATAAACGCCGTGATCTTGGAGTTCTTGACCAGGAACTGACTGCTGTACCGCAGTAGACAGTCCAGCGAGAATGGGTACTTCTTGTGCGTTATGATGAAGTTCTTGTCGCTCTCCAGCACCTCCAGTATCGGTAATATATTCGGATGTATACGCAACAAGTTTGGAGCACTATAATCAATCGAGGGAGGTATCGATGAGTCATGGAAGTGTATCGAGTTGGGCAATGGTGTAATATATGTTGAGAATGATTGAATGATGCTGCTCAAGTATTCCTATAATATCAGGTCAACATGTTAGTGATTGATTGATTGGAGTGATTGGAATGATTGGAATGATTCCATGAGATGCATACCTTGATGGACTGATCGCGACTTGATACGGACATCCTGGTTAGGCCCTTCTCCTGGACGGTGTAGTTGTCAGAGTTGATCATATTGTACAATGGATTGATTTGGTAAAAGATGGGAGTGGAGTTCAGTTCATCAAAGTACTCCCAGCTCGAGAGGGATTCGTTTGGTTGCAGTTTGAACTGTAGTTGAACTGATTGTGGCACAAGTACTCGTTCATATAATGTTGGCTCACTGGGTAGTTGATTGATTGAGTTAGTGTCATGATCGAATGTGGACCCATCGAGGCCAGTCAGTGAATGAAGGGAGTCTTACAAGGTCTGTGGATGCTGCTTCTGGATGATATGAAGGAAGATCTCTTCGCCATCAAACTGAGCAGACTCGATTGTAAATGCATCATACAGGATGCTTCGTTTGACTTTGTCTTTGTTTGTTGTGTCTTCATTGTTGTCATTGTTGTCGTCTTTGTTATCAATGATATCCTTCTTTGTATCCAACTTCTTGCCTACAATGGCAGCGGCAGCAGCAGCCTGTTGTTTTGCCTGTGGTGCATGTAGGGCTTCCCTCTGACGTAATTGCTCCTCATACTCCTCATTGATATAATGTCTGAGCAATACTGACTTGTCCAATGGTTTGATAAACTCGTCAATATATCCATTATCCTTCTTCTTTGACAAGTAGTAATAATATCTCTGTATCAATCCTTTCTGACACTAATCATGTTATGTAAGTAAGTATCACATGATTGATTGATTGATTGATTGATTGATTGATTGATTGATTGATTGATTGAATGGGTCAATCACTAGATGATACATACACAACAAGTAGCAGTATTGTTATTATTGTTTGTTGTGTTCTGATTCTCATGATGTTGTGATAAGATTGCAAAGCTCAATGTTCCTTCAATCTCCTCCTTGATTGCATCCTTTGATACTTGTTGTCCCATATTATTGGGGTGTTAGGTCTCCACCGAGTGATCTATATATTATCTACAACTTCACTAAACACTATGTGTATGTGTCTATCTATCTGTTTATACCTAATACTCTCTGTTTGATTGATTGGTTGAGTGTGAAGTGTATTCAGAAAGTTCTCTTTGGAAACAACTCGATCTTTGGTTACAAAAACACAAAATATCTGTTTCTTTAGCTAAAGTGAAGGACCTTATAAATGTTTATTTTTCTTTATCTTTAGGAGTAAGAGATTATATACATTGGGACATGGATGGAGTCACTACCTATCTAATTTGTTATACTTTACTTATTATAAATGCCAAAGGATAAAGATGTTCCTGAAGTAATCTGAATGAGTAGTTGTGTCTTTGACAAAAATTCTGCAAACAATGAGTGCACTTCACTTGTGTCAAACCCTCAATAATTCAGACAATCAATTCAGATGTAGTTCATTGAACAAACAACAAACATACATGTACATAATAACATTATAACTAAATATAACAATATATAGAGAGAGATGGCACATCTAGTACCTCCAAACAAAAAGAAGTTCTTAGATCAAGCACCCCCACCTGGTTACATCGCCGGTATAGGTAGAGGTGCAATAGGTTTCACTACTCGTTCAGATATAGGTTCAGCAAGAAGTGTAGAACCAGGAAGGTATGCCCATATTGTTGTTGGAGACAAGTTCAAACATCAACATCATCACTCACATCATAGTAATCATAATCAATCAAGTGTACCAGGATTTGGTGATAGACGTGGAGGCGATCGTAATAGACAACAGGGTCAACAACAGGGTCAACAAGGTCAGAATGAGGATCGTGATGGAAATGATGATAATGAGAGTTTCCCTTCAACAAACTATGATGAGTTTGAGGGTGACTCTGGCGATGGTTTCTCCGATCCAAACGCGATATACGACGCAGAGGACAGGGAGGCAGACGACATTTGGGCACAGATCGATAATAAGATGGATCAGCGCAGGAAGGCCCGTCGTGAGGAGAAGGAGCGCGAGCAGATGGAGAAGTACCGTGTCATCAGACCAAAGATTCAACAGCAGATATCAGACCTGAAACAACAGTTGTCGACACTCACAGAGGACCAGTGGTCAAACATACCCGATGCAGGTGACATTGCGCGAAAGAACGTCAAGCGACAACGAGAGATATACGTGCCCATACCTGACTCGCTGATTGAGCGTGCCAAGCAAGAGAACGAGACGTTCTCGGTCCTGCCGGCCGCATCAAGCGATGGCGGATTGTCCGTCATCCCCGGCACGGCTACGACCGACCTCACACAGGTCGGTTCGGCGCGAAAGACTGTGCTCGATCTCAAGTTGAACCAGGTCAGCGACTCTGTCAGCGGACAGACACACGTCGATCCCAAGTCCTACCTGTCCAATCTCAAGAACAAGAGGGTGGCATCAGACTCTGAGGTGGGCGATATCAAGAAGGCCAGACTGTTGTTCAAGAGTGTGATCACGACCAACCCCAAGCATGCACCCGGCTGGATCGCCGCGTCCAAGCTCGAGATTCTCGCGGGCAAGCTGAGTCAGGCCAGAAAGATCATCGCCGAGGGCTGCACTGAGTGTCCCGACAATGAGGACGTCTGGATCGCCAACGCCAACCTGCAGACGCCAGACAACGCCAAGGTGGTGCTGGCGCAGGCCGTCAAACTACTGCCACAGAGTGTCAAGATTTGGCTGTACGCTGCCAACCTCGAGAAGGACGTTCGACTAAAGAAGAAGATCCTGCGACGAGCACTCGAGTTCATACCAAAGTCTGTCAAGCTGTGGAAGGAGGCGATCGAGTTGGAGGAGCCAGAGGATGCGCGTGTGCTATTGGGTCGCGCTGTAGAGTGTATATCAGATGACGTGGAGCTGTGGCTGGCGCTGGCCAACCTGGAGACATACGAGAAGGCACGAGAGGTACTGAATCGCGCACGTCAGTCCATCCCATCCAGCTCGCAGATATGGATCGCGGCTGCACAGCTCGAGGAGTCAGTGGGCAAGGCGGACAATGTGTCGAGGATCATCAAGAAGGCGATCAAATCATTGTCGTCGACTAACATCAAGGTCATGGACAGGGACAAGTGGATCGCCGAGGCAGAAAAGTCCGAGAAGAATGGCTCGTTCATCACGTGTCAATGTATCATCTTTGAGGCAATTGGCATGGGCGTGGAAGAGGACGATCGCAAGCGAGTCTGGAGTATCGACGCCGAGGAACTGATCAACAGGCAGTCGATTAAGACGGCCAGTGCCGTCTACGCCTACCTGCTCACGGTGTTCCCCACCAAGAAGTCTGTGTGGGTCAAAGTGGCGCAGCTGGAGAAGCAACATGGCACCAAGGAGTCGTTCGAACAGACTCTGCAAAAGGCCATCAAGAACTGTCCGCACTACGAGGTGCTGTGGCTGATGTACGCCAAAGAGAAGTGGGTCGCAGGCGATGTGGTTGGCGCCAGAGGCATTCTCGCCAGCGCGTTCGAATCAAACCCAGGCAGCGAGGACATCTGGTTGGCGGCAGTCAAGATTGAATCAGAGATCAACGAGACAAAGATTGCAAGAGGCTTGCTGAAGCGTGCCATCGAGAAGGCATCGACCGAGCGAATCTGGATGAAGTCAGCGCTGCTCGAGCGAGAGTATGGAGAGGCCAGCGCAGAGAACGACATCCTGGTCGAGGGTCTTAAGCGATTCCCAACGAGCTGGAAGATGTGGCTGATGCGTGCTCAGCTCGAGATCAGACTGGACGCAAAGGCCGCCGACAAGATCAGGGCCCTGTTCAATCAGGGTATCACACACTGTCCAACGTCCGTGCCACTGTGGATAGAGTTTGTGCGCTACGAGAAGCTGACAGGCAACGTACAGCGTGCGAGGACACTCCTGGAGCGAGCAAGACTGAAGAATCCAAAGAGAGACGAGCTGCTGTTGGAGCTTGTGCGATTCGAGCGATCATTGAACAACGCCAAGGCCGCCACCAACTGGCTGTCGATCGGCCTGCAGGAATGTCCAAACTCTGGACTGCTGTGGGCTGAGGCCATTGCCATCGAGCCCAAGCATGGACAGAAGAACAAGTGTGTCGATGCACTCAACAAATGTAACAACGATCAATTCGTGCTGACGCAAGTGGCACGCATCTTTTGGCAGGATGGCAAGCTTGACAAGGCGCTGTCGTGGTTCAAGCGTGCCACGACCACCTTCCCCGACTATGGCGACGCATGGGCCTTCTACTACCTGTTCTTGATGCAGACAGGCCAGTCGGCATCCAACACCACCAACCAGAACGAGAGCGAGATGACCGAAGTCATGAAGAGGTGCCTCGAGGCCGAGCCCCACCACGGTGAGCAATGGACCAAGGTGTCCAAACAAAAGGGCAACAGCCGTCTCAAGTCTGATCAGATACTCAAGTTGGTATCCATCAATATATCCAACCTGTATCCACAGATAGGATTTGCTTGACGAGGTAGCTCTCTCTTCCTTGGTCAATAATACAACAAGCAGTCGTTGGCATTTGGTAATTGCTACTGCACCTGGATTGCCAAGTTTTAAAACTTTATTGGACCCTTGAACAACCATTCATACTACTGGTCGACTTGCAGTTCCCTGCCCAGGGACCAACAATACGGTTCAAATTCAATCTGGTGGTTGGGCATTCCCCCGATCAGTGGTCAAAAAGGGGTGTGAACGACACTGCAAATGAAGTTTATGATGAAAAATATGTCTTCTGGGGCTTTGGAGACACTCTTTCCTTTGCAAAATTGTTCATTTTCGTGTGTTTTGTGATTGTTTTATTCTCTGATTGTTGTGTGTATGAGTGCCCTCTCAATGATAAGATTTGGATTCCATCATCCATATCATAACATCTTACAACAACGTTAAATAATATCTACAGATACAAGTACCTCGCTCATTCAATCAATCAATCAATCAATCATATCAATCTATTTATATCAAACAAATCAATCAATCAATAACAATCAAACTCTAGAGGGAGTTGTAGACGATTCAATCAACAACTCTCCTCAACAGTTAACTTTTAAGGACTACTTTACCTAACTGTATTCCATAATATGGCATTCCAATTGATTGGACTGATATACTTTGGCAATGGACAAGGCGAACTACATCATATCCAAGTGATATTGGAGATGGTGTTGTTGGGATTACATTCAGTTCTAATGTTGGCATCACTAATCCTAATGATATGGACCAAGCGATACCAACCAAACAAAGTCAGTCTATTAGTATTCACAATCATATTTATACATTGCCTATGTAAGTATGACTGGGATAGTCCCAGCCCCCAAGACACCCAACCCCACAAGGACTAACACCACTAATCACTCAAACTCGAACATAAACAGCCAAGGTCATATCAGATTCATCATTATTATACTTGTTAACAGTTAATATCAATTCGGTGCCGCCATCAATCATGTTCGAAGCGCTCGAACTGTGCGCGATCGTCACCTATTACTGCATGTACACGATCGTGCTGTTTAGTTGGGTGGAGGTGGTGTTCCGCGTGGAGAACATGGGACACGGCCAGGACCGCGTTCGACTCTGGCGCAATGTGTTCTGTGTGTTCAACGCAGTCTGGATCCTGGCCATATCGATCATCAGCGAGGTCCTGTTCGAAGTGGACCTGAACGTGGCGATCAAGGTGTTTGACATTGGCATGGTGGTCGTGGCGGCCTTCTCCTTCTGTCTCTCGGTGGCCTTTGTCGTCTACTGGATCAAGCTGCATCGCATGGTCACGACGATACAGATCCGCTCGACAGAGAAGCGCGACCGCTTCCTCTTCAAGGTCGGCGTGCTGACCGTCGTGTTCATTCTGTGTCTGGACGCCAAGATCGCGCACTACTTGATCGATGTCAAACAGCCCTTCTCATCGACGCTCTGGGAGCTGTATGGATTGAACTACCTGCCCGAGGTGCTGGCAGTCATGGTGGCACTGGCCTTCTTTGGCTCCAACATCAAGCTCAACGAGTTTAACAACAACAACACAATCAACGACGGCACTCGAGGCTCATACTCTGCGACTGAGCGTGCCAACATTCGTCGACGAGAAGAGAAGCAAGGTCTGCTCTCATCATTCAGAGATGAAGACTACTCAATGAGTGGTACTGCCAGTTACATATGAGATATTATCTATTATCTCCTTCCTTTATTTATATACATTGCGCTTGTAATAAACTCATTTGTACCATTTGCCTATTCTTTGTTATCTTGTTCATTAAGTCGAATGATCAATACAACCCATTACTGTTTGTTTGTAGCATCTGATTCGAGTTGTTTCTTTAAAGCTACCTCTTCAAGCTAATATGATGATGGTTAGTCAATGACTTGACGAACAAACAACAAACATCAAACAACGAACATACTTGTAGTCTGTGAAGTTGATTTGAGAACATGCCATGTAGTTTAAGCAATACACTGTATTCTGATTCTAGTTGATCGATTGCTCTATCCAATGATGCTGTATATGGTATAACGAATGATGATGTTGATGATCTTATATTGCTAGCACTACCAACTCCTGCATTGTTGTTATTGTTATAGTTATCATTATTATTGAATGATGGTGTTGTATCATCATTGTACTCTGTCAACATCATGTTGTTATTGTTATCATTGATATTATTATCAACAATAGTGTCTTCATGATCTTCATTGCTCATAACTAATTGCGTGAATAGGCTCCTGTCAGAATTCAAATCGGCACAAAATGATTGACATAAGACTAACCAGTGTACACAACATCACTACTGTAGTCAAAACAGACAATGCTGCCACACCACTAGGCATCAATGGACCTTCACCCATCTACAAACATTTAACAAATTACATGGAGCTTGCTGGTATTAATTCGATTCAAGAAGGAGGTAATCATTTCACATACTGCTCTCTATCATAACATTAGTTACAATCCTCTTATTATCTATTCTACTAGATATATGGTTATTTCATCCATCATATTCACCTAGTTTACTTTCCTTTCAATCATATCTATTATATTAAAGATGGATATTTTTGATTTTAATAATAATATGAATGAAGAAACCCTCCAACAGAGAATAGACAAGATCAAAGGATGGTCCAAGAAGATTGATCTTATCAATCAAGTAGGTCGCTCTATATTGGAAAGTACTTGACTCTGTAGCTAACACATTTTACAACCAATTAGATTCGAGAACTCCCTGAAGATGGAATCATTATTGACGACAGAATAACTTTCCATCGTTTTATCCAGAGGAGGAAAGAGGATAAGAATCCTCTTTCAGAGATATCTGCGCGGTTGTATTACCTCGAGGGTAGAGTGTTCATTTTTGAAGTCCCAACCCCTCCCCATGAGATCGCTGGAGGCACGATGTTCATTCTCATACGTGACCCACTGGCCACGGCTGGCTATGGTTCACACTTTCTCCTTGCTCCATCTCAATCAATGTTGGTCGACAACGGTCAAGCACTTCAACCTGATATCTCAATTCATTCGGTAGGACGTCCAAGAGACATCAACACCCCATCGGTTGACGGAGAAGGCCGACCATATCCTCCACTTGTAATCCTTACAGGTCATTCTCAATCACTGCTTAAGTTGCACCAGAACTGCCAGAGGTACCTAGGTGGACGTACAACAGTCAGGATCGTCATTGGCATCAAGATTTTCAAAAGGAGACCTGTGCCACCTGGACATGACGATGAGCGTGGACCATTCGCACTACTTGTATTATTGTACCTCAGAGGGGTCAACTTAGATCTAGAACCACTGCCTGAAGGAGAGCAAGGTCCTCTAGTTGGTTATGGAACTGAAAGACCGATTTTCATCGCCTCGTGTGGGACAGCGCCACCTGACCAAGCCAAGGTAATACCTGTAATCAACGAAGTTCTTGTAACACCACCGGTTGGCGGAGTAGGAGGAATTGACTGGCAAGGACTTGGTCATGGTAATGATCCAGTGTGCGATGGACCATCACTTCCACTCTACCAACTCCCAATCTCTATTATGGAGTTGTACAATGGTGCCACAATTAATCATGAAGTGGATGGAGAACCATTTCAGCCACCAGATGACCTTCTGGCTTTCAACGGCCCCCTGGCACACTTGGGCATTAATCACAGAAATATCTATGTAGATCTGTACTCAATCCAGCAGGCCGTTCATCTATTGCTCTAGATCTATTCGATTTGTTTATTGATAAGATAAATAGTATTAATAAATAAATAAATAAAATGATAATCATTATAATCCACTATCATTGGAATCAGTAAAGTTTGATATCTTGGCATGCATCTTCTTGGTGGCATCCTCATGTTTGTACTTCTTGATCAATAATACAGTGACTGCAGTGACGATTGATAACACCACGATACCTCCAATGATTGCACCCGTCAATATCTTCCACATGTCTTCATCGGCTACCTTTGTTGAACATTGATCCTTCTCACTATCCAATGTTAAGAATACACTATAATCAGGATCGAACAGTGCACTCATTGAAAAGTACGGTACACTCATTCCATAGATGAACAATGATCCATCCACCTTTGTCTTGATCCTTGCAATTACATCCCTGCCATCAACAATTGATCGTTGTGTCATTCTTGATATTAGACCATTATCAGGATTGTGGATAGTTGACCATTGATAACCAGAATCATACATTGATGTATTACTTGATTTGATGCAGGTGGATGAAGAGTTGATCGATGCATCAGTTGCAATATTGAGTGTAAGAGTGCTCATTTGTGATTGGAAAGTCCAGTTGGAGATGGATACTGACAATTTGAGTGAGTTAGCATCCATCACAATCACTTGTCTACCAAATGTTACATTGAGTGGGTCCTTAAAGTATTCGAAAGTACTATTGATCAAGGCACCATTTGGTAATGAAGTCTGATATGTCCACTTTGAATATGTTGTTGATAACTTCCAACGTTGTTGTTTCAAGTTGATTGATTTGTATAATGAATCTGTATCCAACATCTCATCAACGGATACTAATGATATTGTATAACTCTCATTACCAACTACCATTGTCATTGATGGAATGTCTGCACTTGGTATTATATCAGATGTTGATGTCTTTCGTTCACATAGACTACCAGTGAATCCAGGTAGACATTGACAGTAACCTTGGGAACAAAGACCATTTCCACTACAATTGTTGTTGGTACAGAAGTCTTGGATGGGTGTAGATGCACGTATTGTGATGTAGTAGCCATTGGATGATGTTTGGTTAACTTTGACAAATATTATATAACTGATTGGATCGAGTCTTGATAGACCACATATGATTGATTCGTTGGTCTTGAGGAATGTGACATTTGTACATTGGTATGATCCAACATTGACAGAGATCATCTTTGTATCATTACCAAAGTTACCACCTACAATGGTCAACATTCCACCTTCCTCCGATAATGATGAAGTGTTTGTAATGAATGGATCCTTCTTCAAACTTATACATCCACCATCACCTGATAGGAATGTATTTGGAGGGCACACACAAGTGTAGCTTCCATTATTGTTGATGCATGTCTGATCCGGTGTACATTGTGCAGCTCCAGTTTTACACTCATTGATATCTATATTGATTGATTGAAGTTGGTAGTTATGTTAGTGATTGAGTTTGAATGAGGGACTTTCATTGAATGAATATACCTGTATCACATGTAGCTCCAGTCCATCCAGACTTGCAAGAACATTTGAATGAGGTGGACTTGGAGCATGCTTGATTGGTATTAGGTTGGAAGCATGTAGGACATAAGAGGTAGACACTGGTATCTTTGGAGATAATGATGGTGGTGACAGTATTCTGAGGTGATACCCAGGTCATCCCATAGACTGTAAGGCAAACCATTACAGGATTGAAGTATAGGGTCATGTCATTGGTGAGAAGGAAGCCCCATTGTAGTGTATAGGGTGATAAGGAACTCTCACATAGAGCAGCCACCAATTTAAGTGGAGCACCAGTGACGGATGTCAAGTCCTCCTTTACTGGTGTAGATGCAATATCATTATTCTCACAAACACCTGTCAATGTATTTGTTGGCATTATCTTTGCATATGGGTTTGAAGATAGACATGGAGTGATGTAAAACACAGTCTCCAAGTTATTTCTAATTGTTTGAGTACATCCTTCAATCGGTGACACCATCGATGAGTTTAACTGCATCTTCACTGTACTAAGATTACCAACTCCACACTTTAGATTGATTGTTAGAAGTGGAGAATGATGGAGTTTATATTTATAACTTGTAAACATACGAATTCCATTGCCAATGTTATTGATGAGTTTGATGCTTGACACTGTCCCCTACTGTTTAATGGTGAGCTTAATGGACATTGTGCATTTATTATATTACAACTAAATATCAAACTTATTAATATTAATAAAGAAATAATCAAATATCGAATGACTGAGATATTCCCCATTATTTGTTTAAAGTTTAATAATATTATATTAAATTATATATATATTCCGACTATGTCTTTATACATTTGATAAGATAAGAGTAAATGACGTAGTAGTTGTAGATGAGAACAAAACATGATGATGGTCAGCCAATAATCAACATTATTAAGTTAAGATAAATTATGAAAGAGAAGGGTGCCATCCCCATTCCGGGGACGTTGGTGTTCATCCTGATGGGTCTGGATGGATCAGGTGTGTGAACAGATACTCAGTGTTACAAAAGATTGAGTTAAATATCTCCTGTCAAGTCAAAATGATCCATCTTGTGGAGTCGGACAGATATTTATTTGATGAGATTAAAGTTGGGTTTCGACCAGAGTGGGAGTGTCACATCAAGATGTCTTTTCACACCAAGGAGCACCTTGTGAGGTGTGTTTGATTGATTGGACCACTTTCGCAGTATCAATACCATATTGTCCTCATCCAGGACAGACCTTGGACAACCACATCAACTTGCTTGACTCTAAAACATCTACCTTTGCTTCAGCGACCAAGGCTACAAGGAGATGTTTTCTTTACCTTGGACTGTCTTCTTCTTCAGCTAGAACACGGAGTTAGAAGATGAAATGGGTGTTCCTTACATGGATAGAAATAATAAGGTCAAAGTATGTTTATGTATGGAGGTATTATTACATCACACTCATTCCTTGGGATGGATAGATATTTGATGATGACGACAATGATGAAGACAGTCGTACACTGTTCCTCTTGGCCAACTTGGTCAACACTTTCGAATTGAACTTGAGCTTGTCGAAATAGTCTGTTGGTCCACCAGCATAGCCACCAAGGAAGTATACCTCACCGCCTGCAACACATGCGGTGCCCATGTCTCGGGCTCGAACATTACCATCATCACCAGGTGTGAACTTGCTGATCCATTGGAAGCTCTCAGTGTCCAGGATGTATGTGTCGTTGGTGACGCAGTGACGGGGCTTGCTGCCACCGCCAAAGATGAAGAGGAAGCGGCCAATGGCGAACGAGATGGCAAAGGTGCTGGTGTGGATCTCGCCCTTGGTAACTGGTCGCGTCCATACATTTGTCAATGTGTCAAACACAAAGATGTCGTTGAACTTGTGAGTCCAGCCATCGACCTCATTCCAAATGCCACCTCCAAACATGAATAGCTTGTTGCCGATGGCCGTCATGCAGTGGCCACTACGTGCGCATGGGATGTCACCAGTGACGACTGGCTTCTCCCAAGTGAGGGTGTTGGTATCGAGGACATGCAGGTCACCCAGCACTTGGTAGTTGCCAAACTGATCGTTGCAATTGCCACCGAATATGTACATCTTGGAGCCGACGGTCGCGGCTGAATGGTTGGTGCGAGTGGCTGGCAGGTCGCCCTTGAGTGCGCTCTTGGGAACATTCCACCAGGTCTCCTTCTCGGTGTTGTATACGGCCAGCTCAAAGTTGTTGCCGTGGCCATCAAAGCCGCCAAACATGTAGATGCTCTTGCCGACCAGGGAGGCGGTGTGGCGCGAGAAGCGGGGCACTTGGTCACCCTTGACGTCGGGTCTGGTGAACACGTTGGTGTTGATGTCGTAATAGTATATATCGTTAAAGCGCTTGGTATCAGTCTGTTGTCCACCGATAAAGATGATCTTGTTGTCGACGAAAGTAGACGTGTGCTTGAATCTCTTGGACGGTGCAATACCATATTGCTTTGGATTCTCCCATAATAGACAGTCTGAAGAGGTGATAGCACTCTTCTCAAAGTAATAAGTCTTGTAGGAGAAGGTTGGATCAAACATCTTTGATGAGCTCCAGTTCTCACGTGAGCACACCTTCTTCCAGAGAGTCCTCTCATTGGCTAACTGATGGTAATGCTTGCTAACCATTGAGATTGAGACTAGGTCACTCGCATCCAGGAATGAGATGATCAACAACTCAACCTCCTCTGGGAACTGGTCCATCAGCTCAAAGTATGCCTCTGGCTCCATGTTGTGGTTGTTGTTGTTTAGGTTGTCCCCAACAAAATCCTCACCAATCATTAGTGGTGAGCCGGGAAGGTTGTCACGTGATCGTCCGTCGGGTATGCTTGATAGTGAGAATCTCCTCTTGAGGCCATCGAGGCTTGAGCGGAGGAATGATCGTGTGCCGCTGCTTCTGCCTAGGCTGCCACTGCTGCTGATTTGGGAGGGACTGCTTGGACATGACCTTGAAAGATCTTCATCGTCATACAATGATATTGGGGATGGGCTCGCTCTTGCAATTTGCCTTGGTGAGGAAGACAACTGAGGTGATGACATTGGTGATAGTATAGTGAGGTTATCCTTTGATCGCTTATTGTTGTTGTTGTTGCTGCTGTTTGATCTTGACTCAAACATCCTTTGAATGAATGAAACCATTGTTTGATGTTTGTTGTTTGTTCTAGAATGTGTCATCCATCCATCATGTGATGGTGTTAGTATATTTGTTGTATTATCTACATCTTGTCCATATTTGGTGTTTCCAATTATTTGAAGAGTTCAACAACATTGTGTCGTCATCTCATTACATTTGATTCTTACAATTAAATTCTATTTAGTAATACCTGGGTTTAAATATTATTTGTATTAATATTTGTTTATCTTAGTAATAGTAGTAGTAATAAGAATTTGATATAGTGTATTGTTACAAATATAATAAAGTTAAATTATATTTATATTATTATTATTATAAATTGATAGTGATAATGATGCAATGCTTGAATGAAGAATAACAACGACGAATGAAAGGTGTCGTCTTGGAACTATTGCAATCTAATTGGTAGGCCTTCCAAGAGATTTGTGTGTGAACAGACTGGCTCAAGTAAGAGGCTAATTGTTCATTTGACAACAAGCAACAAACAACAAACAACAAAATCTGATGAGTTTCAACGGCACACTAGAGAGTGGGGTGGACTGTGCAGTGTAATCTATAAAACTATAAAACTATAAAACTACAAAACTATAGTTTCCAATTGAATTATTGGATATTGGTGTGGGTTTGTGTCGGTGTGAACTTGCCTTTTTAGGTTTGACAAGCGTGTGAAGAGCCTCAAAGAATTCGTAACTGACTACATGGATCATCAATGTGTCGATGATGTCAACTTGGATCATTCATTGATCAACCGTGAAAGAATCGAGTCGATCCACAATCTATCAGGTAATGGACAGAAGGAAACAAACAACCTTTATAACTAGTGATTGAGTTGTATTGAGATGAAGGAGAATGTATCAGACATCATGATGTTGTCTTAGAAGTTCTTGTTTCCTCTTCCTTTGAACTTGGACAACTTCTTTGTCTTGTTGGATGAGAGCTGTAGAACAACACCATCGTCTGCTTCTTCATCAAGTTGTCTCTTGCGTGCTCCTCCGCCACTCCTCATGCTAGGTGGCACGTACGGTGAGTACCTGTTCTTCTTGGTGTCATCACTCTGTGCCTTGCCTCCCTTGTTTTGCTGATCAGCGGCCACCTGGACTTGTGCCTTTTGTTGTGGTGGTTGTCTTGGTTGCTGGACATGTTGCTGCTGGACATGCTGCTGCTGTTGCTTGTGTGGCTTGTTTGGCTTGTCTATCTTGACCACACTGAACGATAGGTTCATTGAAGGTTGAAGAACTGGTGGGTTCTTGGAGAGGTTCCTGACCAGGGTCAGTAGATTCTGTGTCGTAATGTATGTCTTCTCGATTGTGGCCAACTGTGGGTCTGTCTTTGGCAGTACCTCACGAGCCTTCTTGAGCTTGGACTCGAGGGCACCGACCTTCTCATTGACCGATCGCAGTCTCGAGACAAAGTTGTCAAAGTTTGCCGGTACCAACTCGACAGCCATGTCACTTGGTTGACCAGTGTTGGTGATATATGCACAGTGCTTCCTGAGTAGTGCAGGTGTCTTGGCACCAAGATAGGAGAATGAGTACAGCAATGCCTCCAAGATATTCAGCTTAAAGTCATAGTCTGCTGGCACTGGTTTTGGTATAAACTCCTATTGATCGATAGGGCATTAGAAGATGTGACTTGACCACAGAGGAGCAGGGGAAACATACCATGATCTTATTGAATACGATCTCAAACAGGGCTGGAGCATCGGTAGCATTGCAGATTCGGGATATCTGTGCAAAGAGAGTGAGGAACTCGATCTTGTCGGCCTCATCCAGCTCTCCAAACGATGGGAATATCGTCTTTGAGTAATACTCATATATCTTGCAGTTGGTTGGTTCGTTTACCTTTGATGACTTTCTAATCATCAGTCTTATTAAATAATACAATCTCTTCTTGATGTCTGCAATCTATATGTTATCATTGTTGTTGTTAGTCTCGTGTGATGATGATGATCGTGTATGTTGCAGAACAGATCGATCAATACCTTTTGTGTTTGGAAGACTGGCAGTATTGTGTCAAGATAGACGACGACATCCTTGAGTTGGGTACCAGGGAATGATTCAAAGAGCTCAAATAGTATGTCACAGTCTTTGTCAGTCGTGGCTGTAATCAGCTTGAGCATCCTCTCTCTGAAGAATGTCTTCTCCTCAACAGTCTTCTTGCCAAAGTCCACTTTGATCAATGGGAGCATACGTTCCTTGAGGAACTTTAGCATAAAGTCCTTCTGACTACTATATGACTCTAAGAATAACAGCACAGAGTTGAGTGTTGTTGCCGAGTCAAGCTTGTATAGCTCCATCAGTGAGTTCTTTACTGTCTCGTACTCGATCGGGGAGTCTGAGAAGATGATGATCATCCATGTTTGTTAGCAATGTTGATTGATTGATTGATTGATTGAATAGAATCAATGAATGAATATCATACCAGTGTTGAGAAGTTGACCGAGGATATCGACCAATTTAGCAATGTAGTCAGGGTTGTCACGACAGATGGAAGGGAAGGCCTTGATAGCGTTGATTCTGATGGGGATGTCATCCTCCTCGATCAGGTCGATCAATGATTCAAGTGCCTGTCCCTGAAGCGTTGGGAATCGCTTAAAGTACTTTGACAGGAACTGACTAGACAGTTGCTTGGTCTGCTTTGACACCTTTGACAGCTGTAGAACCTGAGAGTATAGAGCTTGATCACCGTCGAATGCCAGTTGATTTGCGTCCAACTTATGAGCAATCTCATACATAGTGTTGATAGCGTCTGAAGGTGTCTTGGTATCCATGTTTAAGGTTATAATCAAGTATATATATAAAGTAGTATTTGTTTGAAGTTGAAGAATAGAGTTATGTTTTGTGAAGGGGTGAGGAGTGTTGATAAAGTGACATGAAGTTGGTTTCTGGGTTCATTCGTGAACTCTCTTGAAGTGAAGGGGTGGGCTTGAAGGGTGTCAGGTGACGAGCCCTCAACTCAACTTCATAATTCAATTCCTGACACTTGAATGATATGATATGATATGATTGACAACGATGTCATCAACGACGTTCAACAGCAGGTTCATTAGTGAGAAGGAGATAGAGGAGCAAGGTGGTGCTCCAAAGAAGGATGTAGAGTATGATCCAAGAAGTCTATACGAGAGGCTACAAGAACAAAAGGCAAAGAGAGATGATGAGTGGAATGAGAAACATAAAGATAGTATGTGTCACATAACAACAACAATGATCAATCACATGTACTAATGATAATCATATCATGTACAGAGGCATCTGAAGGATTGAATGAAGATGATATACAATATTATCAAGAAAGAGAGCATGAAGAGATTGAAGCAAAGAGAAGGGAACAAGAGGAGATTGACAGAGAACTGCGGCTCTTTAAGAGGGAGCAAGCTACTTTGGTAATCAAGACTGTTGGTAATGGTAGTGGTGGTGTCAGTGGCAGTATAGTCGATCAATTACCAATTACAACATTAATTGATGAACCTCCTGTGCTATTGGCGGAACCAAAGAAGAGATTGGTCAATGTTAAACTCATACCAACTACAACGCTCGCTACGAAGCAACAACAGAACAACAACAAACGAACTACTACAGAGGATAATGATCAGAAAGATGATGATTCAAACAAGAAGCCCAAGACAGTGCCTGTTGTTGCATCACTGTTTGCTTATGACAGTGATGATGAAGATGAACAGGATGGCGATGAAGAGTCCAAAGAGGAAAATGGCAAGGACTAAGTGTTGTAGGTCGAGTGCCTCGACTAAGGTCGACCACATTACCATCCATCATCATCAACATCATTTGGATGTAGACAGTCACTTTCATGTTCAATGGACATGGCTAAATACCAAAGGATTGATTGGACCATCGGAATACCTTTGCAAATAATGGCTACCCATCCTCCGAATCATGATTTAATACAAGTACTGCTGAGGGTATCTATCTACCTACTTGGCACCACCCCATCGTTTATTGGGTAACAACTATCTAAGTACAACATCGTCGTCATCCTCTTCTTCTTCTTCATCATCATTGTCGTCGTCTGATGATTTGGCAATATCGTGTCTGTGATGTGACTTGCTTTTGCTATGCGTGTCGTTGCCACTACTATTAGACTCAACCTCACTGTTGTCCTCTCCAATGCTCGATGCATCCTGCTGATTGTTTTCTTGCTTGACGTTCTCCAGGTACTTCTGGATGATTTGGTCTTCCATAACAAGGTCGTTGAGGATGTTGTTGTTGATGTTGCTGTTACTGTTGGTTGATCCACGTCTACCCATGTCTACACCGCCATCTCCACCACCACCTCGAGAATGAATGTAAGAGATATGTCGTTTGTCGCTGTCCTCGCTGGAAAGGTCAAGGTTGTCTGGTGAGCCGCGTTGCTGTGGTGGAGGGCTCTGTCGTCCCATCGCAATGTTGGGTGTGCTGTTGTTGCTCTTTGGCATACGTGTCAGACTACTACTGTTGTTGTATCCCATCAGGAGATGGCTGCTTCCAGAGAGCATGTCACTAGACTGCTGTTTGATCAATGGCGTAGAGTGATGCAGTTGGTTGGTTGGTGGCTCCGACTGAGTCGGATCGACAAAGGTTGTGTACAGTTGCTGTGCGATGACATCATCAATGACCGATTCGAGGTGTGCTCGCATCTCTGCCTGTTCGTCATAGTTGTTGTCAGTTTGGCGCTCCATCTCCAGCTCAGACATGAGGTCTGCCAGCTCTGCCTTGGTCAAGCCGGTTTGCACAACGCCCTTTTGATTAAGCATGTCATTCAATTGGCTAGCGATAGCCTCACGTTCCTTCTCAATCTTCTCGTTTGAATGCTTGAAGTAACATAGTAGTTTGTAGGGTCGATTGATCAACGACAAGTCTAGGACAATGTATGAGTGTTAGGATGATTGATGTTGGTTGGGGAGCAGGATGACATACATTGAGGTGACCTAGATGGTGGAGTTGTGATGCGCTCATTTGGTCTCGAGTCGGAAATGACTTCCTCCTCAGTCAAGTTTGGCAGGTTCAACAGAATGCTCTCCAGTTTATCGAACCTTTCCTTCACTATTTGGATTGATTGATGATTAGGAACATATTGAGGTGACTGTGATCTTAATGAGCAGTACTTACATGACTCGATCTTCTTGTGCAACTGTACTGTCTTCTTCTTCTCTTTCTCAGCATTCTTTCCAGCTTGGACTATTTTAAGGACCTCGTCTCTAACAAAATTTATGTCTTGCTGCACCGATGTAATTGATGATGAGATGGGATCAACGTAGGGATATAACTCATCCTTGATCAATTCGCGGAGTTTAGTCGATGATAGTGATGGTTGTTGTTGTTGTGTCAAATGTTGCTTCATCATTGATGCATTGTTGTTGTTAATGTCGTATTGACTGTTGTTGTTCCTGACTCGAATGTCATCGTCCATGTTATGATTGCCACTCTGATGAATATTGTGAAGATGATGTAGACTGTTGCCGTAGCCTGATACTGATGATGGTGGCGGGACATTCGCTGGTGTGTGTGATTGATCGATACCAGCCTGCTTCTTTCCACGTATCAGTGATTTCATCTGATCGTTCATCCACTTTGAGTTGTCAATGTGTGCCTCCTCCATCTCCTCCATCTTCCTCCGGTAGCGAGCCTCGAATGACTTCCACGGATCAAATGTGTGCTGGTCCTGAGGTGTGGGCAGTGCAGACATTACATCGTCAATGTCCTGTGCCATCTTGAGGTTGCGCTGCTTCAGATGCTGTAGATTCGAGAGGAACGTATGAGAGTATGCCTCGGCTGGTCTCACGTCGCGATCGGACAATGACATGAGATAGGTGGATGTGAATTGAAAGAGTCGCAGTAGCTTCACAGTGTCAGAGTCGAGACGACCACGTAGTTTGGAGTCCAAATCGATGTTGAGCAGTTGAGATGCCGACTCTGCCAAAGTGAGAAGTGTCTTTGCTTCGTTGTCCTTGATCAACTGTACAATGTCATGTCCATTCAAAAGGTATCTCCAATCCTTCTGTTGATGTTGTTGTTGTTGTTGTTGATGTTGTTGTTGCTGTTGTTGAATGGGGTTCTGTCTAGACATGTACGATGACATTGATGATGGTCTATTGTTGTAGTCACCTGTTGAACTCATATGTCCATTATGATTACTATGTACATTGTTGTTGTTGTTGTTGTTGATGTTATTGTTGTTTGGCTCATTATATTGATTAAGTGGCTTATAGTTATTATGTTGTTGCTGTTGTTGATTGAATAAACTATCAGGTTTGTTGACACTGAACTGATGTCTATTGACTCCTCCTCCACCAACACCGACACCACTGATATTATTATTGCTACTTAGCATACTGTAGAGAGGTGGTGATGATATTTGTTTGATTGGAACACCACCTCCACCTCCACCAACAACATTACCTCTGTTGTTACTACTACTACTACTATGATGATTGTTATTGACAATCATTCCTCTTTATATTTGTTAAAGAGATAATACTAAGTTGTAATGTTGTTGTTGAAGAAGTGGTGATAATGATAATGAAGGTTGGGTTGTTTCAAACAAGCTTCCCACACACTTGTTTATATTATTTTTGAAGTTCGTGACGACCCTTCACTATCGATGTTGGTTGGATGGATAAATAATAATATATAATATAATATAAGTTTATAAATGTACATTGATATCATTATTGACTCAACTTTACAACCATCACACTGATGTTGTCCGTGCTCCCTTGCTCATAGGCAAGATCCCTCAGTTTCTGACTGGCCTTTGTTGGATCAGCCAGATTCTTATAAACTAATTCCACTGCCTCCTCATCAGATACCTATTAGGTTGAATGAGTATTAGTTAGTCTTATTCATACACATATACACAGAGAGGTTGAGGTTGTACTTACCATGTCCCATACACCATCGCAAGCGAGTATCAGGAATAAGTTCTTGTCGCTAAGTATCAGATTCCTGAGGTGTGGTTCGCATGTGACATAGGGATTGAGGAATGAATCACCTAGAGCTCTGGATACCGCCAACATTCCATTAACACGTCCATTGAGTACGTTGCCTCCAGAGTTCATAATACGCATTCGCTCTGATTCCTCCACTGGTCTATGATCAAACGTCAATCGATCTGTAACAATCTTATTGTTTGAGTTTAGTGATCCCATCACAACTCTTGAGTCTCCAACATTAGCCACACACATATGATTGTCCTTGATATAAACAGATACCTAAAAATGATAATGGTGATGTGCTTGTGTAAGTCAAGGGCTCACTCATTCGATTAATCAATCAAACATACCGCTGTTGTTCCAATGAATGGCCATGCTGATATTTGATTGTGAATCGATTGGTATGACAGTTGGAATGACTTGTCAGGTGATTGAGTTGACTCTAGATACTCTCCAAATATTCTGTATATATTGTCGGCGGCAAAGTCCGATGCTGTCTTTCCACCATGTCCATCAAACACACAATATAACTCGCAGTTATCCATTCCTCTGTATCGTCCATATGCCACCATCCTGTCCTCCATTGTCTGACGCTTTCCAATCGTCTCGCTGATTCCCACAATATACCTATTGCTTAGTGTTTGCTCTGGTGGAGGCTTCTTGATTGATGTAAACTAATCAGATATTGGATGGATGTTAGTTCAAGGGTCATGAACCTTCGAGTCACACAGAGACATACTCTAAATGTTGGTTGACTGCCATCTTGTGGCATTGGTGTACCAGTGGTGGTAGTACCAGTAGTGTTACTACCTCCTCCACCAGGTGTGGCGTTGACTATTGCACTCGCTCTTGATTGTGTTCCTCTTCTCATGTTGTCCAGTCGACTCTTGAACTTTCTGTTGAATCTGATGCCATTGAATATTGTCTCGAATGCATGCTGTACACATTCGTTTCGCTTGAGTAGATAGTTGAGTGAGGCTATGTTGGCATGTCCTATAATATTGTCCTCGAGGTATAGTGAAGTGATGGTGGTGTTTCGGAGGGCGGCCTGCTTAAGCGATTCGAAACCGCGGTCGGTGATGTGATTGGACGAGAGGTCCACTGTGTGCAGCGTCTTGGTGGTCATGAGGAAGGCGGCAATCATAAAGGCACCCTCGTCAAAGGCCTGTACATCGCTAATGTTGAGTCGTGTGACGGACTTGTTCCAGCGCAGACCAGACGTGAGCACGGCCAGTCCGGTCGACATGAGTTCGTTGCCACCAAGGTCCAGCTCCTGAATAGAATAGTTGTGGCGCAGTGATTGGGACAAAGCTTCGAGACTGCGCTGTGTGAGTGCGGTCCTCTTGAGTGACAATTTGGTCAGGTTGAAGTAGTACTGTGAGATGAGTGTATCGAACTCAGAGTGTATCTTCTTTCGACGCATCGTGCTAACGGGTGTCTGTTTGTGTGTGGTAGTCATGTGACGATTGTGATAGTTCTCGTTGTTGGCCACGATTGTGGCACAGATGCAGAGCACCAACTTCTCGGGTATGTGATGGTTGTCCAGGTTGAGGGTGATGTGATCGCACTCTAGTGGAACCAGCTTCATCTTGGACCTAATCGCAGCCAAGATATTCTTGATGGCATCCTCTGGCTGACGTGCCAATGATGACAATGATCTCTGCATCCTCTTCACCGGGTCAGTATTGTCTGCTGACTGACTCTGTAGATCACACATGAATGGTTGAAAGCGATGCATCAAGTCGTTTGGACTTTCGAATATCTTCTTTAAGTTATACCAAAATACATAAGCATCTATGTTATGAAGGTTTGTTGTTCATAGTCAGTTAGACATATGGATGGACAGAGATAGAGATAGAGATAGAGGGAGAGAGATAGAAGCCTACCTTGGTTGGTTGGGTCCCCACTTGACTTCTCCAATACATTTCCCATTGATTATTATTGTTATTGTTGTTGATTATATATGTATGAATATATGTGTGTATGTGTATGTATTATGTGTATGTTATCGATACAGTCTAATTATCTGTCTTGTGTTTGAGAAAGTGTTGTGAGTAAGTTCAGCCTACTACCGACCTTCCAACCTCTGTTTTTGGTTTGTCCGCTTTGAGTTCAGATAAAGTGTTTGGAACCCCCATTCAAACAAAAGACGAATGTAAATATCAACTTTTCGAAAAATAATTATTCATTGGGTATGAAAAGGTAAATGATATTTATTTATTATTTAATTATTTATATATATTGGATCTATTTCCATTTCCTTGTGAGCAGTCTGTTCTTCTTGAGCTTGGATGTGATGTAGGTCAAACCAGCCAACAACAATGTGGTGCCAATGAGAGCAAAGTGATCAAAACTCTCTGTTAGGACATCGTATGCGCTGGAAGGTGATATCAATGCACAGAACAAGTCAATGCCATTGGCCACAACAAGTGATGTTGACTCTTTGAATGTTCCCTGTGTTGATATCGATTGTAACATTGGAATAGTAGTGTTGTACGTGATATATAAGAAGTGAGGGAAGTTGAGATTGGGTGAGTATGGGATAAGGCCCTCCTCTTGATCAAATGGTGACGCCTCAGATGGGTAAGGTCTTCTTGAATCAATCCATTTCCTATTGTATGTGTGTATGAGGTTAATAAGTGATCATGATCATCATTGGAACTGATTGGTTGAGTGATCACTTACTTATCAATTGGTAATATCTGTCCAGATGCAAGACCAACCAGAACAAACTTTGAAGTGATACCCTTCTTTGATATGGACTCTGACAGTGTTTGAATGATGAATGGGAAAACGAATGTCTTTTGAAGGATGATCAAGTCTTGGTTCGAATCATATGATGAGAATACAGTCCTATTGTGATTGAATGAGTGAGTGAGTGAGCCACTAAAGTGACCTGATAAATAGTATACTACTTACTTCTTCCAATCGACTGAACCTTCAAATATATCGATACTGGCAATGATTTGTTTGTGTAGTGATACATCAAAGAAGGAGTAGATGACACTGTTCTCAATGTGGACGATTGATACCTTGCCACCAGCATTGCGATTGACGAATTGCTTGATGATCTCACCAGACACTGAGTCGATGAGATAGATCGAGAGGAACTGTGTCTTGCTGTCCATGCAGGCCACCGATATCAAGTTCTTGTTGATATACTTTGGCAACAGGTTACGATTGCCCAGGACAAAGGCGGGCGATCCAATCACCTCGTGGGGATTTGAGCTGGCAATTGTGACGATCCTCTGACTGGCTCCAAAGTTGACGACCCAGTTCTCGTTGGTCTTGAAGCCACCTCCCTTGCCATCGGCTATGCTCTCGATCGAGTAGCCTCTGATCACGCTTGAGGCCTTGTCGGCCAGGTAGAAGTGGACGTGCTTCAACAGCTCCCAGTTTGAGCGTATGGCCGATGTCCATGGTCGTACCATGGCCATTGGTGGTTGTCCTTGGGGATAGTTGATCACGGCCATGAACAGGTTCTCGGGTAGCGCTGCCTTTGTCGTGTCATTGGAGGCAGAGGCCTCGTCCAACGATAAAAGATGTCTGTAAGGGATGACAGAGGAGTGAAGTATTTCCTGTTGATAGGCCTTGTTTGAGGTCTCTGCGCCCTTCAATATATCGACTGTGCTGACAAACGATCTCTTGTCCACGCCAGAGTATACGACCACTGCCTCCAAGTCTGGGAGATGTCTACCAGTGATAAACAGTTGGATAGAGTGTCCAACACTGGATGTTGGATAGTAGAGAGACCAGGTGATGGCACCTCTCTCACTAGTGTGCAGACAGAATACCTTGCCAGCCTTTGTGGCGACCAGCAACAACTTGTCAACGTCTCTGTTCCAGGTGGCTGTGAACCTTGCATCGCGGTCGGCATCGGTCTGGGCGGTCGACGATGGTTCGCTTCGGATCAGGGACATTAACTGAGTCTCCAAACGACGGTAGATATGGTTGAGCATCGAATCCTTTGCAGTCTCCTCAAACTCATACTCCAACTGTGACAGTGTTGAGGCGTCGACCGGTGCATCCAGTATCTCGGACTGGACGATGGCAGCCAATGACTCCTCTCTGGTCCAGAGCAACTGTGCACCCTTGTAGGCTGTGACAGACCAATCAGCAGTGACAACCACCGAGTACTTATCATTGACGAACAATAGTCTTGGCTCGCCATTTGACTTGGCGTTGAGTGTTGTGGCTGTTGTGGTCTTGGTCGATGGTTCGTTGATTGTATAGTTGTCTCCTGATGTCGCCGCGGCGGAGCACAGAGCATAGGTTGAGGTTGATGATGCCGCTGCACCATTGTACGATCCGATCGAGATCACCTTGTCATTGTCAACAAGTTGATAGAGCTCCACTACATTGTTCACTCTGATGGCAAACCGATTGTCACTGTATGTTGATATCAGTTCAACGTCACCATCATCAACTGCAGTCGTGGTGGACACTGTGTGACTGACGAGGTTGATTGATTCCCCAGCCACCGAACCAACGTGTAGGGTATGTGTCTTGCCAGATGTACTCAACAATACCAACAGACTATCGGAGAGAAGGAATTTAGAGCTGACGTGGCCATTGTTGGTGTTCAAGGAGGTTGACCTCTCGATGGCGCCGGCACTGACGATCAGGTCGTTCTTTGTCACAGAGTATAGCTTGCCATTGTTGTACGACAGCATCACCAGGTCGTTGTTGGCACCCTTTAGTCGTGACACGGTCTGTACCGATCCAGTCTTGGGCGATAGTTTGTAATGACGCTGTTGACAAATAACGTGTACGTCAAGGTCCTTGTCGCTAAAGGACGCCTGGGTACACTGGACATTGGCACCATCCTCATTCGTCAGGGTATTTGTCCATAGCAACGATCCCTTGGCCATGCTCCACAGCCTAACCACATTGCCACCAGACACTGTTATGAATGAGTTTGATGTCTTGTCCAATGTCACAGACTCCAATGACCTCTCCTGTGCTGGTAAGATCTGTCTCCATACTATATATAAGTAGTTGAGGTGAGTCAGTTTAGTGGCAGCAACTTGAGACTGACATCAAACATACACAATGAACCAGTCTCCAAATGTAATAAACTCAGAACCTGGGTATTGACACCTGATTCCAATGTTGAAGGTACAGTCGATTGAATGAGTATAGATGGTTGATTTAGTGATTTGACAATATGAGCAGCCTTTACTAATCCAATATTTGTTAGTCTCCTGTGTTGTGTTGTTATCACATTGATTGGTTATGTTAGTATGTATGTATGCTTGATAAGATATAGAGAGATAAGATAGACATACCAGTCTCTGACACCTATCTGCTCCTCGAATATAGCATATGCATGTTGATTTGCAATGCACAACAGCATCAACAATATTGATGCTATAACAGCATTGTTTGACAACTTCATCTTAATGTATGTGTTATTTTTTATGTGTTGTAATACTTGAAGATCAAGTTGAACTTGAATTGAGAGAAGTCTGATGACTGGTGATCATCACCCACCATGTTTGAACGAAATGGAACTTCCTCCAAGACTTTGATTTAATTTTGAAAAACAGCCCAGGAGCACATGAACAAGATACGCGTCAAGTCAGAGTGATCACACTCAAAAATAAGAGAGAGCCGACAACAATCAATCATTACTTTACAAACAAAACATATATATTTATATAAACAGATACAATGGCAGGACAATACTGGAGATTCGCAGGACTTTCATACCTTGAGTACATTAACATCTCGGGCTCACACCTCCGCAACTGCTTGAAGGAGCCATTCAGAACCTCTGCCAAGACCAGAGAGGCTATGCAATCAACTTTCACCACCTACCACAACGGAAAGGAGGCCAACACCAGTATGTATAGTCAATCATATCATCATCTACATACTATCATTGATGATAATAATATACTTACTTGTTGACGACACACCAAACTACCACATCACAGTCAACCTTCAGATGCCAGACCTTGTTGCCAACCAGAAGAAGTAAACACTTTTAATACTTTAGCGACATTGTATAACAACAGCTCATATCATCGCTGCGATCATCTAATAAATGAACCAACATCAACTATAACAATAATAACAACTACGACTATGACAGCAACAGTTAATGATTGGCGACGACCAACAGCAGCAACAGAAACATATCGATGTCTTTGAAGGACCTGCAGATTTACTGAATACTACTACTACTATTCAGTGGTTGCGACAATGAAGACAGCTATCATGCAGGTATGTAGATGAATATTATACAGAGCAACTTCGATCGACAACAAATGAAGTTTTTAGGCAGATGGGTATGATGGCTTGGGTTGACTGTGCACCTTGATAGAGGCCTCTTGAGAGTGATTGAGCTGCTTCTGTATGTCCTGTTTGTAGGGTGATGCTGTCTCTACGTCCTTGGCATTTGACTTGTTGCTCGGTTCATTGAACGATGATGCGCATGTCGCAAACACAATGTAGAACATCATCATTCCGATGAATACCCAATTGATTATTCCACATGTTCTCAACAGATGATGTAAGGACTCATCATATTTCTGGATATCCGATGATTGATTGCGTAATGTTAGGAGCTAGTTTGTTATCTATCTTTGATTGTTCTATTCATACAGTTTTGGATACTGGTTCCTTGATCAACTCGGACATTACAAATAAGGCAATTGAAAATATAAAGAATATTATTAAACTAATATATAGACATTTCCTATGAGCACAACTAAGGTTGGAGTATAAGCATATAAGTTAGGTTAGTTATCCTTGATTATTAATATAAATTGTGATTGAAATACATACTTTGGTCTGTTTCCAACTTTATAAAAAATGAATGAGAATATTATGTTTCCAACATAGATAATGACATATAGTGATACAAAGAACTTTCCAATCAAACATGAGTTACGTCCATGTAATACCAGGTTAACTATACTCAATATTAGTATAACTCCATTCAATATTATACTAATAAATGGAAGCCATGGAAATGTTCTTAAACTATTACCATATGTATATTAGTATTGAGATTATATTATATATTTAATTATATTACTTACCAAGAGTTGGATGATGTCATTTAGGATTTAATTAATTTAATTAGGATAAATTGGAAAGGGAAAAGAAGTTGATAATATCTGCAGACACGTTCAATTTGAATTGGAGTCCTGCATTGGAAACTGAATCATGATCGTATATTGACGAGCATACTAGTTGTAAATGATCGTTCTAGAGATGGCCGGCTTTACATTATCGAGTGTACTGTGTCCCCTCAAAGGAAGAAGCACATCTCTTTATTTGTTGATTGATTGATTGTTTGAGTTTAACCAAACAACACTAAATCAATAAGAATGCTACTCTACCATTATCATATGATTGTTGGTAGAGGTGATAGTGAGTGGAGTGAGCATGATCCTTGACTCTTTGATGATTGGTGATTGCTTGACTTTGGATAACTTGACTGCCGATCAAGACGATGAGATGAAGAATGGATTGTCAAGCTGCATTGTGATTTGAATGAAATTGATGGTCAAGGGATGGATGATTAAATCATCGTAATACTAATCGTGATGTAGTGTATATGTGAGAGTGGGTTGTGGTGAATGATTGTCGGCATGATTGATTGGTAGGGTGGACATTTCCCTTGGTGTGTGGGTGAGGGTGATGATGTGGGGATTGTGGAATACGGGCATTGATCATTTCTGGGTGATACTACTCCAATATCATCATGGAGATAGCACTGCACAACTCTGGATCATATTCATTCCTCTTGGTGTCGCGGATAACCGAGTGTTTGTAACTCTCTGAATCTGGATTCGGCACTTTCTTCTCAAGAACCCTCTTGGCATGTGGTACCCTGGACTACACAATATTAATATTGATCATTATAAATAGTTAATTATAAAGTCATTGTATCCGGATATTTATGAATATAGGATTCAACTTACTGGACTATATCTCACCATACCGGACCACATCGACCTGAACTCATCTCTGATCGAGTGTGACAGGTGATTCAACTTGGTGAGTCGGCAGAATACTGAATATACAGTCCTCAGTACCTGTTCGTTGGGAATCTCGAGATTGTCCTCGAACCACTCTCTCCTGAACCACTCACGAACCATTGGCTTCTTGAATTGTGTTGCAATCTTGATATTAATAATATCCTGTTGAGTGAGTGATCTCAATCTCTGATTTGATTATCAATTAGTATCAATATACCATCTCTTTAATATTAAAAGCTACTTACTTGTTCAGAGATAATTCTCAACTCTGATAAAGGTATTGAAGTCTTGGGTGGAGAATGTACATTCTTGTTTGTAATTGTTGATTGTTGAGGCCATGTATCTGGGGTGAAGAGAACAAAGACCTTCTTTGGCTCATATGGTGTCTTTGGTGTTGATGGAGTCTTTGCTATTCTAGGTGTCTTACTATATTGCTCAGTTGAAGGTGTTGTATATATTCTATTTATTGATGGTGTTGTTGATATTGAAGTGGTTGAACTAGTAGTAGCAGAAGTTGATTTAGATGATGCTACTCCATCATTAATATTAATACATTCTCTTGGCTCCATATTTAAAATTATACAAAAATACTTATATTTGTGATTGAGATATATAATCTAAATCTTGTAATTGAGATCAATGTCAATGGTGGTGAAGTTCACACACATACACACTAACCCCACTACCCCCATTATTATAATAATTTTCCGTCGACAGTAATAATAAAATAACAATAATAAAGATAATAATAAACAAGTTTATTGTTGTTGTGAACCACTAGACTTTGATTCCTTCTCAATCTTCTTGAGCTGCTCTGATACCTGCTGCTGTTGCTGCAACAGTTGTGCCTTCTTCTGTTCGTTGACTGACATGACCTGCTGAGTGTCCTCCACCTCCTTCTGAATCTCCTTCCTAAAGTTGTAGAACTGGTGATGTGTGCGTCTCAGGTTGTCCCACAACGACTTGAGATGCACCAACTTGTTAAACTCTGCACTCTCTGTGATGGGCAACTGACCAAGATGGTGTTGGTCACGACCCACATCCTTCTTGCCGATCAACACCATTCCGCTGGCCTCGATAAGCTCGATCTCCTTCAGACAGAGGATGGTAGGACATGGACGCTTGGCCTTTACGCAAAAGTTTCTGTAGTTGTAGCCATCCACCAATGACTCAAACACCATTGCGTCCTTGAACAGCATCCATCCAATCGTTCTCCTGAGCTTCTCGTACTGCGCCTTGAACTGCAGTCTATTGACCAGATAGCCGAGGAAACCATTGGTTGGTGCACCACTCATTGGGTAGAGTGGCAGCAGACCGCTCTGTGACTGGCTGCTATCTTGGCGTTGATCCCTGTTGTGCTCGACAAACGGGTTGATAAGGTCTAGTGCAACAAAGTAGATTGGGTTGTTGTGGTTCTTGTACATGTTAAAGTACTGATCCAAATCCTTGGAGCTCTGCACGAGCACCGTCTCCATCTTCTTGCCAATCATTCTGCCAACGAGTTGCGCCTCCTCGTTGGACTCGATGTAGATCAACTCCATGACCAATCCGAGGATGCCACTCTTCTCCAGTCCGACCGACTTAGCCTTATCAGAGAGTTCTCTGGCGATAGAATTGTTGGGCGTTGATGCACGTCGTCGATTGCTGCCACTCATCTTGTCCAGCACGCCCTGTATCTCGTTGATTGTTTTGATCACATCGTCTCTCTGGTTGGCACGCTGAGAGTCAAAGTTGGGGTCGTCCTTCTTGAGTTGGTCCTGCACCTCGTCGATCTGCTTCTTGTACTGCGACTTCTTGTTGTTGAGGTTGAAGATGTTCTGACTGAGTGTCTCGATCACGGTCTGCACCTCACCCAGATCCTTGTTGATCGACAGTCGCTTTGCCTCGAGCTCCACCTTCTTGTCAAGGTCCTCCTTGGAGTTGCGATAGACAAACTGCCTGGACAATATCATTGGTGGCGTGTGGTTGGTCTTGAAGGTAAGATTGTACACCTGGGACAGTCCCACCGACTCCTTGAGACTGAGCAATGGGAACACAGCCTCGCCCTCTGCGTTGAACTTCTTGGCCTCGGGTTGCATCAACGATGGCATCTGGAAGTATGATGATTGCGATAGTTGTTCGGCCAACTCTATCGATGGACGAACCTCACCAGTAACAATAACCCTGTTATCGTGCTGGTCGGTCACGAACAGTCTGAGGTCATGAGCCAACTGGGATGAAGTGTGTGGGGCGATGTTTGTGCTTGCATCCAGCTTGACTGGGTCGTCTGGAACAACGACCAATGTCTCGTCCAGCTCCACTTTGTTGGCACCACCGGTGGAGTAGATAAACTTGAGCGTGTAGGTGTTTGCCTTCCTTGGGGCCTTGATATCTTCAAACAGGTAAACAGAGCCGTCATTCTCGGTGCCTGTGCAATCAAAGCTCTTCATATGCAGTACGGCCTTGACTGTGCTCTCCATGACCTTTAGCGCCATGCCCTCAGCGTTCAACACTGATATCTTGATTGGTGGGATGGTGAGCAAAGGCTTGCTCATGATTGGTGTGGGGTTGTAGAGACGGATCGATGCGCTTCCCTTGATGATAAAGATGACGGTGGCCTCTGTCAGGTTCATGTTCTTGGCAGTGACACGCATCTCGTATGTGCCCTCGGCGCCAACGATGTCCATGTTCTTGATGGAGGCGTGTCCGTTCTTGACCACGGCCTTGTTCTTAATGGCAAAGGGAGGTGCTCCTGTTAGGCCGACCCACTCACATTGGATCTCGATACCATTGGTCGTGGTGACGTTGCCAAGTGAGTCGCAGAGAGACACCTTGATCTCCTCCAGATAGTCGCCTCTGGCACACGACACTGACAGCTTGGAGAGGTTGTTGACGCGAACCTGGGATGCAGAACCTTCGATCATGATCAACTTCAAAGGATACTCAGTGATGGTGTTGTTCTTGTCCTTGACGGTCAGAGTCACTGGACCAAAGCCAACAATGGTCAGATGGCACAGGTAGAGGTTCTTCTCGTTGTTGAACGGACTGATCTTGGAGTTGCTTATGTAGCACTTGGCCGATGGGTCCTCTGATGTCAGCTCAAAGACAGGCTCGATCTGCATGTCCGATCGGGACTCCTCCGGACTAACAATGTTGCCACGCTTGTCGTGCAGTCGCACCTCGATCGTAACCTCAGAGTCACATCTGACCTTGTTCAACACGGTGCCCTTGGATGGCTGAGCAAAGAAGGTGCTTGGTGCTCCACCTGTCGTCTCGAGGGAAAACTCTTTCTTAAGGACCACCTCCTTCTCGCTCTTGTTCTGCGCTAGATTCCATGGAACGGTGATGTTGACCCAATAGCCTGTCTTCCTTGTGGACTTGTCAGACATGAGAGGTGGCAGGACAAGCATGTTCAGACTGTCCATAGCGATCTCCTTTGTGGCCTTTGGATCCCACGAGACCGACACCTTGGCCTTGAGGCCCGACAGTTCAAAGGGACTCTTGCCGCCACCTCCTGCACTGTAAACCTTGACGCCAAAGTTTATCGAGGCACCAGAGAGCACCTTGAAAGTGTCTTCGCCCAGTGTCACCACGGTACCATCCATAATGTTGAGTCTAAGCGATGCTGGCTTGAATGATGGCGTGACCTTGACCTTCTTCTCGACAGTGACCAACTCCTTCTCTCCCTTGTAGAAGGAAAACTGAACGGGTACAAGGGAGAATGCTGCCGCCTTTGTCTTTCCCTTGGCGTTGGGCGTGTCAATGTCCATTGGTGTGTCCCTCTGGTGGATCTGCAGTGCTGAAGTATCGGCAAATATGAAACCTCCGTCTTGATTAGCAGCAACCTTGATGTGATCTTCCTCCAACGATGTGGAGGATGCCATTATGTACTCGTGTAGCTCTTGAGGCTTTGGTGCAGCGCCACGACGTGTCTTCTTCTGTGCTGCAGTCTTTTGCTGTGACGCCTGGGTCGTATTGCTGTAGGTCAAAATGCTGGGGTTGTAGATGTTGCCACACCTGTCCTTCAGGTAGATCTCAAAGCCCTTCATGGTCATCAGGTTCATGACCTCCTGCTCGAATGGATCATCCGGGAAGGACATCTGTGTTGGTGTGCCGGCAATGATTCTGATTGGCTCCAGCTCGCATGTCATATCTCCCCACTTGGCCCTGATGACGCACACCGAGTCATCATCGAGGCTGGCATCAATTACCTGTAGGCCCTTGATCTCGATTCCTCTATCGTCAGACGTGATGGCTGGATTCTTTGAGAGCTTGGCCTCCTTCCTCTGCTCTGGCTCTGACTCACTGTAGACCACGGCAGTGAGCACAATCTTGTCCTTTGGTGTCAGGGAGACGGGTACGTTGTTGCCCTGAGCATCCAACACTGACAAGAGGATGGGTGGCAGGTCAGCGTCGAGTGGCACCGCTGCATTGGTCATGAGCTTCTCCAGTTGATAGACTCCGGTGATATCGGTTGGATCACCATGGATGGCGGCACAATAGTGTGTGGCCTCCTTGACATTTGGGAAGCTGCAAGTAAACTTGAAGATGTAGGCGCCAGTCTTTTGGAAGAGGTTGACCCCGCCCATAGTGTAGGACACTGCTCCCGTCTTGTAGAATTGGTCGCCACCTGCTGAGCTTGCAGTGTAGACCACTTCGTTGTTTGGCATGTAGATCACCTGCAGTGTGATCTTGATGGACTCGGCCTCGATGATGGCCTTGGTCACGGGTCTTGGAGGAGTGTTTCGATCATACAGCATGGCTGACAAGTAGCTGATCTTCTCGCCCGATTTATACTCCTTCTTTGGATAGGGCACTCGGTCGCCCTCGTAGATCTTGAGATTCTTGGGCAACAGGTTGCGCTGCTCCTCCAATAACTTGGTGTACTCTTCCTTTGCAATCTTTCCATAGATCTTGCTGCCTGGGACTGTCTCTAGTGGCAGTGGCTTGTAGTTGACCCTGTCCACAGTGAAGAGGAACTCTGACGTCCTAGAGTCGGGTGTGCCGACGAAATGCATCTCCTTGATGAGTGCACAGCTGAGCTTGCGTATACCCAGCTTTACAGCGTCGCCCTTCTGGAAGGTGAAACCTCCAACAGACACTGTCTTGCAGAATGTCTTGTTGGACTCAGTGTCGTAGAGCTCCACCTCGAACTGGAAGTCTTGATCGTAACTCTTGTGACATCTGAGCAGCCACGACTTCCAATCCTTGGTGTTTGCCCGGGTGCCAGACTTGTCGAGGCTCTGGAAGATGGCGTGCTCCTTGATAATGTTGGTCTTGTTCTGATTGACGGGGAAGTCGGACGTCAAATAGATTGCGCCCTTGACACGCTGGATCCATTTCTCGTCCAACTTCTCCTTGTCCACTTTGCCACCAGTCATGAAGGCCAGACGTTCAATATGTGCGTCGGGTATCAGTCTGCCATTCCAGAACACCTCCAGGCCAGGCTTACGTAGGGATAATGGGAAGGTGTCGGCCGGCTCAGTGGGGTGTTCGTTCAGTATGCGATAGGGGATGGGCAGTGTCTCACGCTCGGCGATATAGGGGAAGTAACGGAGCTTGCAAACAACGTCAATGTTCTCCACTCTAAGTGAAAACTGCTTGAGTCGTTTGCCAAACTCTAGATAGAGGTCCTCCATCGAGTCATCAACAGATGCCAGGTCAAAGTGATTGAGTGATATCTTGTAGTCATTGGTATGTGGCGCTGACTTCTTCTTTGAGCGATGAGCTGGTTGCTCGGGCTGCTCCGCCGTCTGTTGAGACTGATCCAGTGGTTGGGACACTGATTGGACTGGTTGCTGGGATTGTTTCTGTTGAGCGTCTGTTTCTGTTGGGGATTCCACATCCTCCTCAGCGGACGAATGCATTTCAAATTCCTCATCATCCTCGTCCAATGACACATGGCTGAGATCCAGTGGATGTAGATAATAGAAGTAGATGTGTGCGAGGTCTCTCTTGATGCTAGAAATCGACTGAACAAAGTTCGACTGCGATGTCGACTGAAGTTTGGCCAATGAGACGCCAAAGACATGCACCTCTGTGAAGTGATCCAAGTCCAACTCCTTCTTGGTGGCCTGACGCACCTTGATAGGGATCTTCCAATCCTGGTCGTGTGTGGAGTTCAGAATGTCCAACGAGATGGTGGCCTCGTTTGTAAAGAGACTGCCAGACACCTTGGTGATAACCTGTACCTTGGTTCCAAGGTAGAACGCAGCCTTCTTGGCACCAACACCGAAACGAGATATCATTCCAGTGATTGTAGCGCCACTCGCGGTATGATCATGACCGTCCACATCAGCCTGTGACATACCCATAGTGCCCCAACGATGAAGGTCGTTCTTGGTCATTCCACATCCATTATCATAGAATCTGATTGACTGGAGTGAGTGTGATAATTGTTAGATTGATGGTCTACATCACGTGTCAATGGGTGCGGTATACTCTGATCACTTACTGTCGTGCCATTGACTGGCTCCTTGATCTCAATCTTTATAATCTTCTTGCCCATTGGATTGCCTCTTACTGCCTGAATGGAGTTATCAATAAACTCTGCTAGAGCGTTCGATGTACTATTGGTGTGATCGAATGAAGGTTAGTCAGAGTATAGAGATGGAATGAATGAATACATACGTGTAGTCAGATGTACCTGCTTTGAGCAGGATGTTCTTGGAGGGTGTGATGTCGACCATCATCTCCTCTGGGTTCTCGAGAGGGTCCTCTCCATCAGTGTAGAGTATGATGATAGAGTTGTTGGTTGTGAGGAACACTTGATATTGTTCATCGTTGGTGATCTCATTGTTGGCGAGATCAGAGAATCGCAGTGGTGCCTTTTGCTTTAGTAGATTGAGTGATGACACCTGTTTCTTGAGTTCAGAGTATGTCTTTGGCGTGTCTATCATGTGACGATCACCCTTTCTTGATACATTAACTATAACATATGATCATCATAGATTGTTAGTTAGACAATTTATTAAATCAATCAATCAATCCAACATGTAATGATGATACATACGCTTGTCAGGTATCTTTGAGTGATGAGTAGAGTGCCTTTGTTTCTTGTGTTGTATGATGACGGGCTCAATGTCATGAAAGTCATTTGAGCTTTGGTCAGAGTCATCACTTGCTTGAGAACTTGGTTGTTTTCTCTTCTTTACAGATGATGATGACTCCTTTGTTTTGCCCTTGTCACTATCATTCGCACTCTTTGCCTGTTGTTGTGGTTGTTGTTGTTGTTGTTGTTGTTGTTGTGATGAGGGCTTGCTTGATGGTGCTGTTTTCTTCATTATGTTTTGTTTCGTATTACTACTCATATGAACAGACGACTATCGTCTTTTGTCGTTTATCTGTGCGAAACAGAAACAGATAAATTGGATTTCTGTGAATGTTCATTTTTTACAAGTACCCGCGCTCAATTTACACCTGGGAATTAAAATAAAAAATAAATAATAATAATAGTTGTTTTTTTTCAATGATTGGCGGAGGTGGTTTATTACTAAACAAAAGTTCGGCCAGTCACTTCTTCTTGGCTGGGGCTGCTGCTGCACCGGCTGCTCCAGCTGCAGGCTTCTTGTCTCCTGGCTTTCCAGCAACCTTCTTGGTGACGGCCTTGACAACACCGACGGCAACGGTCTGTCTCATATCACGCACGGCGAAACGACCGAGTGGTGGGTACTCGGTGAAGGTCTCAACACACATTGGCTTGGAGGGAGTGAGCTCAACCATGGCCGAGTCACCATTCTTCAAGACAATGTCACCAGCTCCCTCCTTGGGCATGATGGCGCCGGAACGACGGTCCACCTTGTCCAGGATCTTGCTGAACTTGCAAGCAATGTGGGCGGTGTGACAGTCGAGCACTGGTGCGTAACCGGCGTGGATCTGGCCTGGGTGGTTCATGATGATGACCTGGGCCGTGAAGGTCTCAGTCTCGAAGGGTGGGTCATTCTTTGAGTCACCAGCAACCATACCTCTCTTGATGTCCTTGACGGAAAGGTTGCGGACGTTGAAACCAACGTTGTCACCTGGAGTGGCCTGAGGAAGCTGCTCGTGGTGCATCTCCACGGACTTGACGTCGGTGGTGAGTCCAGATGGGGCAAAGGTGACGAGCATACCTGGCTTCAACACACCGGTCTCGACACGACCGACTGGGACGGTTCCGATACCACCGATCTTGTAGACATCCTGGAGTGGGATACGGAGTGGCTTGTCGGATGGTCTCTTTGGCTCAACGATGCTGTCCAGGGCCTCGAGAAGAGTTGGACCCTTGTACCAGGCCATGTTGGGGGACCTCTCCAACATGTTGTCACCGTTCCAGCCAGAGATTGGCACGAATGGGACCTTCTCAGGGTTGTAGCCAATCTTCTTGATGAAGGAGCCGGTCTCCTTGACAATCTCATTGTAACGAGCCTCAGAGTAGCTGGTGGACTTCTCATCCATCTTGTTGACGGCGACGATCATCTGGCGAACACCAAGAGTGAAGGCCAGGAGAGCATGCTCACGGGTCTGGCCATTCTTGGCGATACCTGCCTCAAACTCACCGGTTGGCGAGGCAATGACGAGCACGGCACAGTCAGCCTGGGAGGTACCGGTGATCATGTTCTTGATAAAGTCACGGTGACCTGGGGCATCAATGATGGTGAAGTAGTACTTGGCAGTCTCAAACTTCCACAGGGCGATATCAATGGTGATACCTCTCTCACGCTCGGCCTTCAACTTGTCCATGACCCAAGCGTACTTGAAGGACTGCTTGCCAATCTCAGCGGCCTCCTTCTCGTACTTCTCAATGACACGCTTGTCAATGCCACCGCACTTGTAGATCAAGTGACCCGTTGTAGTGGACTTTCCGGCATCCACATGGCCAATTACGACGATGTTAATGTGAGTCTTCTCCTTTCCCATTGTTGTTGCTCAAGAGTGAGTAAGTAGATGAATGGATGGAATAATTATTATTATTATTATTATTATTATTTGTTAGTTTGATAATTGATGGTTGTTGTTATGTTTGCTATTGCCATTGTATTTATAGTTGATGGTATAGGTACCATTTAATAATAAATATAGAGATAATAGAGGTAGAAAGGAAGAATGATTATATGGGAAAAAGAATAGAAGTATGTATAGTGCTTTAACTAAAGAGATGTGAGTGAGGTGAGTGACGTCGATGATGCTTTAGCTAATGGTGGAACGTCTCGATTACATTGGCAAAAGGGTGGCACGACATAGCAACAAATAGATGGCGATGAATATTGTTAAGGAATAGTGTTGACAATAGCTGGGTGGTGAGTTGATGGGTTGATTGTCAAAGCAAAGTCAAAGGAAAGTCCATTCATTCTATTGTATGAAGGGTCATCAACGGATGAGCAACTATCTAAAAGTTGAGACAAAACAAAGAAAGAGACACAGATACTTTCATTGTCTGGTTTGGCAGGGTTTGAGAGAGAATGTTGTGGTTGAGCATTGGAGTTTGGAGGGTCTTGGTGGACATCAAATAGATGTGTGTATATATTTATTAGACTAATATGGAAATATTCATATGAACACCTGTGGTAATAGATAGATGATGGAGATTGATATATTAGATTGGTGATTGTAAAGATGGATGCCGAGGTAGATTTAGTCCCTCAACACTATGGACAGAGATTAGGATGCCGCCAGGACATCCTGAAGAGGATAGAGTTGTTAACAAGGAAGTCTCATTGATAATGATGATGGTGATGAAGTGTCTTTGGCACACTATGGATGGACAGAGATGAGAATGCTGCCATCAACATTGGTCATTTTTGATGGAGCCCTCGAGACACAACCTAATTTACAATACAAAAGGATCGAGTTGTTCACAAAGAAGGCACAGGACAATGAGACAAAGACTACTCACAATAAATGATACCAGATCATCCGACCATTATCACACCTGTGAATTTTAGTCCGAATCACATTAATGACTACCAAGACATTACAACTTGATATGTTGGATTGGTGATGATGATCAAGGTTTGATGGATGGATATGTCCATGATGATAAAGTGTCTTTGCGCATGTGGTGGTGTTAAGAAACACCATTTGTTAAATCTTGCAAGCGAGATATGTCGTAATCGAACGGTGGACGGGTCACGGCGCTTATGAGTTGAAACCATAGAGGGTACGACCTTGCTTCTTGAGGGCATAGACGACGTCCATGGCAGTGACGGTACGTCTGTTGGCGTGCTCAGTGTAGGCAACAGAGTCACGGACAACGTTCTCCAAAAAGTTACGGAGCACGTTACGGATCTCCTCATAGATTGGGAAAGAGATACGCTTGACACCTCCTCTTCTCGCCAGACGACGGATGGCTGGCTTTGTAATTCCGTGGATGTAGTCCTTCAACACCTTTCTGTGTCTCTTGGCACCGACTTTACCTCCGACTTTTCCTCCAGTCTTTCCTCTTCCAGATGGGGCACCGGTTGACATTCTTCACTGATTAAGTATGAGTCTGAGTATTTGAGTTGGTGATGGTGATGATGTTAGATATTGATTGGCAATAATTGACAATGATAGTGGATGTTGAATGGTAATTTACTTACAATTAAAATAAGAAAGTGTATAAAGATACAGAAAGTTATATGCGTAGTGTAATTGTAGGATATATTATTTATATCTCTTTGATTGATTCGTTGTATTTAGTTTGAAACCACTTCGAAGTGGTTTTATGCATTCCAATCCAGTGTGTGAACTCAAAAATCCGCAAATTGTATGAAACACTGTGCATGTTTGAAAAAAAACTCTGTATTTTACATTCACACATTATTCTACACACATTCATTCAAAATTTGAATTTGTTGTCCGTTACATCCAGGAGTGGGGGGTGTGGGTGTTCCCAACCAAGTTGATCATTGAGCGTATGGAATGTTGAAGAACGAGTACTTTGACAACTTGCTCTGTGAACTCTTCCAAACTATAATAGCCACTTGTTTCTCAATATCAAAGAATCGTAGATGGTACTCTTTTGAAAGGAAGATGGCCTTGATGTGATAGGTGTCTGCACATGGTATGTTCTTGGCGATCAGTGCAAAGTAACTCTTGATGTTGGCATCGTGTCCAGCAATAGTCAATTGAAGTCGACGGATGTTGATCTTTACAGGTGAGTGTAGACTGATCCTCTGATAGATGTAGGTTGCATTGGTCTGGACGAAATTAATCGACTCGCCACTCAGCTGTCCAAGATAGGCACCCTGTCCAGCAAGGTCATGAAGAGTGAATGACTTTAGACCCTTTGGGAGTGACACCTGGTCCACAGGTGGTGTAAACATTCGGCCAACGGTCAACTCGGCAAGTGTGTCAGACAGTGCTCCAGCTGGTATCGATTGATTAAAGTTGGTGCCAAACGTCAACTTCTTCAACGATGCTGGGTAGGCATTTGGCAGCATCTCGTGGTTGTAACTCTCGCCAAAGGTAAGCTCTGTAAGGGTCGAGGGTAAGCAACCTGGCACCAGCATAAGATTGTAGAACAAACCAAATACCAATGTCTGGAGTCCCTCTGGAAGTGTACCAGGTATGATGGCCTGGAAGAAGTTCTTGCCCATTGTTAGATTCTCCAGTGATCGAGGTAGGATGTCAGGTAGCAATGGTTGATTGTATTGATCGCCAAAGGTCAATATCTTGACACCCTCTGGAATGGCATTGGGCTGTAGTATCTGGTCATAGTTGTTTCCAAACACTAGTCGCTTCAGTGACTGTGGCAGACTGTATGGCTCGATCATTCGGTTGAACAGCTTGCTCAACTTCAAATCAGAGATGGTGTTTGGTAGTACACCTGGTTCGATCACTCGATTGAATCTGTGATCAAGACTCAATGCCTTTAGGCCGGGAGGCAGCACATCAGCGGCGATTGGTTGGTTGTATTGGTAGCCAAGCAGGAGCACGGTCAACGAATCAGGCAGGGAACCAGGCAAGAAGACTTGATTAAACTCAAACTCGAATGACAGTGTCTTGAGTGATTGATGGAATGTGTTTGGTGCGATCTGATGATTAAACGAGTATCCAAAGTAGACCTCAACGAGACCCTTTGGCATTGTGTTTGGCTCGATTGGTCGATCGAATCCAATACTGAACTTTAGGGTTGTTATGGAGTCAGGAAGAGTTCCAGGGATCAATGGTTGATTGAAACTATGTCCAAAATGAAGACTTGTCAAGCTGTTGGGCAAGTCACCTGGTACAAGTTGTCGATTGAAGTTCCCATTGAGTGTCAATGACTTTAGACCTGGTGGCAATGATCCAGTTATTGTTTGATTAAAGTCGATACCAAATGTTAACTTGGTCAAGCTCGTTGGTAACACGTTGGGTTCAATCTGTTTGTTGAAGTATACACCAAATGTCAACTCTGTCATTGCACTTGGAAGTACACCCTGACTGATTGGTTCGTTGTATCGCCGACTTAGTGTCAGTTTCTGTATGTTGTTTGGCAAGAGACCGGGCAACAGTTCATGCCAATAGTCCATTCCAAAGGTGAGTTCGGTCAGTGTGTCTGGTAGAGTGCCTCTCTCCAACTCCTTATCAAAGCACTTAGCCAGGGTAAGTGATGTTATTGACTTGGGCAGGCTACCAGGCTTTAGTGGATGATTGAAGCAGTGACCCATTGACAGTTTACGTAGTGTTGGGGGACATGATACCAGGACGAATGGTTTGTCATAGTCAGCAGCCAACTCCAAGTGTACCAATGATTCGTATAATGATTCATCGATTACAATTGGTGATGTCTTGCTCCAGAGTAAATGTGAAGTGTTCACATTATGTCTGGATGATGTGAAATGATACAAGTGCTTGCATGTTATACCCAATGAAACACAGTCTATCTGTTCATTTCCCAAGTATTCATATATATTCCTTAGTAATATATATGAGAATGTATCCAACATGTTGTTGTTATTATTATTATTATTATGAGTTATAATTATCTTTATCTCTCTCTTACTCAATCATTCATTTCAAGATAAAGTTGGGAACTTGGAGTTTTGTCACTTTCGCACTTTGTGAAGTTGGTGATGACCAAGGGTGTGTGTCATCTGATGTTCATCTTCATTCATTCACAACACTTCATAACAATATAATATAGAATATAACAATATGGTTAGAGTTGGAAAGTTGACATTGACAATATATTCGGTGTTCATGGGCACCAACTTGTTGGCAACAGCACCATTGGACTTCTCGACAAAGTCATTCGTTGAGAGTCACAACAAGTCGTTCAAACAGGTGCCACATGATAGAAAGCAGTACTACATCAACCGAGCTAAAGAGTTGGGCTATGAGGACACCATCAACTTTGAAAAGTACGATGTCTACACGGCACCAGACGACACTTCCATCTACTCATTTGGTGATGAGAATGCTGCCATTGCCATCGTCTCTCCTGCATGGCCATTAGGTGAACGCGTCAAACCAATCATAGATACATACATAGCGTCAGGTGTCAAGACCACATTCAAGAATGACATTGCTTCAGTCGAGAAGTTAACATTCAATGACTTGGATAGTATGTTGGTGAAGTAGTTGTTGTTGATGTAGGATCATGATACTAATACGCATGTCCTAATCACGCACGCACAAACACAGAGGAACCATCAATTCGCAATCAATTAATAGAAGAGTACGGAATAGTACCGATTACAAAGGATGAGGAGGATGCTAGTATTGCAGTGCTCAACTCATCGATTAGACTACACACATCCAAAGAGAGGACAATATCCAATGTCAAGGTGTTCTTGGGAACATTCATTCCAATGCTGCTGGCATCGAGGTTTGCTCTGCAAGCCAGTTTCCCCATTGGACTGTCACATCTCATCGTGCCATTCATGGCGGTGGAGGCCAACAGCTACATGCGCGACAAGTCCCAGACCGAGTTGGTGTTGCGCGACGTCTACTCCAAGGCTGGCGCCACCCCATTGATCTCCTACAAGAGACATCTAAAGGCGCAGATGCATCTGAACAAGGTGACCAAGATCTATTCACTGCCCAGTGGCGACTCCTACGTCTATCCCTACAAGACAGACAAGATCAACATCATCGATAACATACTCAAAGAGAAGTCAATCTTTACTACTGACTTTGGTGATAATGATAAGCAATAACAACAACAAATAATAATAATAATAATAATGATATATTAGGTACCTTCTTTTGTGATCAGTTAGCAAGCAGTAACACAGTTCTGATTTATTGTTATTGAATGGTGGTCATGGGACCATGAATGTTCCAAGGAGATTTGGGATGGCTCGGACTTGCCACACCTGACGGTGACGTTATGCTCGAAAAAAAAATCAAAAGGTAGGTTGTTGGTAAAACTGATCAAAGTGATTGTATGATTGCCAATGTGGGTGTGTTTTTGAATAGTCCTTGACATAATCTGATTGTTCTTTGATAAGTCTGTCCTCCTTCAAATATATTCAAACAAATAATTATCTATCAATCTATCTCTTTATTATTATAACATTCATACCATATATATATATACGATACTAATATAATAATAATATATATATATATATTATATAATTTAAATCAACATCTTTAACAACAAAGTATTAATCTAGCAATAGTATAAATAACAATACAATGGGAAAAGATGTAGAGAGACAACCTCTCCTCGCACCAGACGAGGATAGTGCAATCGGAATCGATAAGTCGTTGAATAACAGCGATGCGTCATGTAGTCCAATCAAAAACAAGAGCAGATGGTGGACGTGTGGATTCGACATCAAACTGCCCACCCTGACACGTGAGTCAATGATCATCCTGCTCTACTGCACTCTCTACGTTGTCTCTGGTGTAATCAACAGTGTCTTGTTGAAGTTGACAATGAATTCATTCTCAAACTATGGTTTCTTCCTCAAGTAAGATATATATTTAGTCAAGTCATGTGATTGATTGATTGATCACACTCACTCACACACACATACAATCAATCAAACAAATATTTTTAGTCAATTGACCAACTATGGTTATATCCCAGTGTTTGGATCAGTGGTGGCTTATAAGATAGTGTTCACCAATGATATCCCCGCAGAGACACGTGCCTTCCCCAAGTACAAGTTCTTGATCATGGGTGCTTTGGACGCCGTGTCGGGTTACTTTGTCATCATCGGAGGTATCAGCACGTCGGGACCACTGCAGCAGCTGCTCAACCAGGCGATCATCCCCATCACTATGATTGGCTCGTTCTTCTTCCTGAAGACTCGCTACTCTTGGGTGCAGCTGCTCGGCGCCACCGTCATCATTGGCGGTGTGTTTGTTGCGTTGGTGCCCTCGCTGTTTGGTAAGGGAGAGAACTCTGGCAACAAGCCATTCTGGAACCTATTCTATCTGATCTCCATGATTCCGATGGCTGCCTCCAACGTCTACAAGGACATTGGTTTCCAGGCCGTCGACGACATGGATGTGTGGTACCTCCAGTTCTGGGACAACACGTTCCAGGGCATCACAGGCACATTCCTGTTCCCAATCAACGACATTTTGCCACCACCCGCCACAGTCAAGTTCTCCCAGGTTATCCCATCGCTTAGAGACGGTGCCTACTGTCTAAGTGGAATCAACTCCATCACCAACATCACCAACCCAGGTTGTGCATTCGACCCTCCAGCTCACAGCATCCCATGTGACAACTGCCACAACGCCTACATCATTATCATGTGTTACATGGCCATCAACATCATCTACAACGTCTTTATTCTTTTGGTCATTAAGGTATGTCCATTCAAATTGACTTTCAATCAATCAAATATTAACATCGCCAAACAAACATAATCCAAACCAATATAGCACGCAGGAGCAACAGTTTACTCTATTGCCAACACATTGAGACTCCCAATTGCCAACATTGTGTTCTCGCTCAGATTCATTGTGCCAGAGTCGATCTACCAGGCATTCTCAATGTACACACTAGGAGGACTGATTGTAATTCTAACGGGTCTGATCATGTATCGTGTCGGCTCCGTACTGAAGAGCAAGGAGGCTGGCGGCGAGGAGAAGGAGACTAGGGTCATCCCAGGCATGGAGCCATTCACCATTGAGGTCATCAAGCGGCCTGCCATCCTTCCCAAGACCACAGAGTACCATAGGAACCAATTCTTTGGCAAGCTAGGCATCAACGTACCAGGCGACAAGTACATCCGTTTGGATCAACAGAATAATATTTAAGTTTTTGAAGCGCTGCAATCAATCATCATACATACATAACAAACAACCAACTCTTTACAATTTACAACAACAACAACAACAACAACAAGAAGATATTGGCCCAACAGCAACAACAAACTTTGGTCTGGCTGGGCCACGACCATCCATCCACCACTTTACTACTACGAACACGAGACGCCACACCATGTAATCAATCAAATGCCCGCTTTAGCGTTGAGGATATACTATCCTTCCATCCAACTCCCCTCCATCCCCTACTTCCCTACTACTACTTTGAATAACAACTATAAATACAACTATTAATCAAACTCTTCTGAGTTACGAACAGCAACAGACACGTTCTTTGATTGAAGAGGTGGTGTCGATGGGTTGATCATGTCGGGGTTGGCCTTGAGGTACTCAACAACGACAAAGGCTGTCTGAATGTTGCCACGGTAGAGTGAGTGAGTCGTCTTCATTACTGCTGAAGCCGTTAAAAAATTCAAATTTGAATGAATCATTGTGTATTCTTCCTTTTTGTTTGATAGAGTTACAGATAAAGTACAAAGATATATATATATATAATCAATCAAACATGTCAAGATTCAATGTACCCTACATGTCTACACAACAAGCTGTCCAACAATTCCAACTATATAACTGTATGATCGTCTACATTCAATCAATCAAATCAAACAATCAATCAAATATTTGATCTAACATCATTGCCATACGTACATCGAATCAGACTTTAGTAGAACAGATATACCATGCTATTCAAATAGATTGAATAAGAGACTGATCGAAGATACATCAAACAAACGACTGATCTCATACTTGTGTGCTCAAGACCGCAACTCGGTCATGTTTGCGATCAACTCATTGTTGTCGCGAGCATATCAGGGCAAGCTGACACTGGTCACCAATGCACAGTATATAGAGAGGGGACAGTACTCGACTTGTTCACTGCTCGACGCTATAATATCGACTATCGTCACCTTTGTCGAGGACCCTGCAACATCGACCTACACAATGCGAATCAGCAACAACATAGAGATCGTCAGCAAGGTGATTGCGATATTGAGGAACGCCATCCTCCTCGCGCCCAATGACTCGACCATCGCCTCACATCCAACTGCACTCACTGCCCTTGTGCAGGTGATGCACTCTCACCTAAAGTATCGTCAGGGCTTGGTGGCTGGCGATCAGACCGTGCTCAGCATGTATGACGCCGCCATTGACAACACGCCACGCTACATCCTGGAGATCTTCTCAAAGATTGCAAAGAAGTTGCCGATGAAGGTACTCGATGAGCAGCAGCAGCAACAACAGCAACAGCAGGCACAGGTACAGGGTACATTTGCACAGAGCGACATTCAGTTCATGCTGTTTGACAATGCCAAACTACCGACACTGATCAGCACGCCACCTTACTTGGCACGTGTGATACTCGAGACACTGGACATGTCACTATTCACCTTTGACAATGACGATGCATTGCTCGCAGGCATGGAGGCGCTGGAGCTCATCCTCAGATCAAAGTCATCGCGTGAGCAGGCCGATATTGTCTTGATGCGTCCAATCTGTGACCCACTATTCGATATGATCGTCATCTCGCCAATTCAAACCAACACCGTACTTGCCTCTGATCCAATATCATCACCATATAATGTAGATACATACAACAACAATAGTAACACTCAACAACAACAACCTCAACAGAATGGTAACAACAACGAGTTGTTATCGATAACACCAACGCTGTCGACAGCGACCATTACACCAGCGCCTCAGTCACCACCCCAAACATTGCAACTCAAGAGCACACCAATCACCTTTGGAAATGGCAGCAACTTGATATTGAGACTGATCGAGTTGCTTGGTCACTCAACCAACGATGTTCAGCTGATGGCCCTGAACATCCTACTGCAGCTGTCGAAGCTGTCACAAAAGTCGAGGATCGTCATTGCACACTGCCCGGGTCTGGTGCGCCACCTATGCAATCTGCTCTCGTTCAAGACTGGTGAGCACAACCTGGAGATGGGCAAGAAGTCCGCCATGTTCCTCTCGTACGCCTCCAAGGAGCCACTGAACATCCCCGTCCTCTTGCCGTTCGAGCCACTGCTCGCTCAGATTGTCCTAAGTGACAACCCTCACACTGATATCATTGCCAACATACTGATCAAGCTTGAGAACAACAACAACAGTAGCAAGTGAAAGAAATAAAGCCTCTCGAGAAATGTCAACAAAGTGTGAACTTGTGGACCGACAAGGTCATTCGATGTTTGACTCGTTCGATCATTTACGTGATCATGTTACGATTGAAGAAGGTTATTACTACAGGGTCGTCATCGACATGGACGACTACACTCAATATATATAGATACTATACATCAGCATCATCACAACAACAACAACAACCAATAGTATATAATGGACTGAGCGTACCTCAGGAGCTAAGATCACTACAGGCAGCAGATCGTCGCAAGTACCTGTTACAATGCTCAGACAAACAGCTCGCACAGGATATTGTCGATATGAGTCAGCAGTTGGCAAAGAACACTGCACCGCATCATGCTCGTCTGTCCTCATTCTTGAATGTACCGCAACAAGAGGTCACAGCCTCACCATTCACTTTGAGAGCGGCAGCACTCGCTTTCAACTCTGGCGTCACATTCAATCATCATGAACTGCGTAAAGTGATCACTCCAATGGACGACTATGAGCGACTGAAACGCAAGGAACAGGCCGAACGTATTACAGAGAAGCTATCACAACAGTTGCATACGGGAAAGAAACAGCAGACACCTCAGGTCAACAACAAGAAGGGCGCGTCATCAAACAAAGGAATGAGCGAGTCGACCGAGCAGCAGATCGTGCAACGTGCCGAGCAGGACGAGACCACTTGTAGTGCATTGATGAAGACGGCACCCAAGTGGATGTTGGGCGAGCTGGAGATGCCAAAGTACAGCGCCTTTCACCAGGAGGACCAGATGGCCACCTACAACCCTAGCCACACATCAAAGTGGACCCCACACGAGTTGATACATCGTTGGTGCAAGTTCTATTGGAGTGATGGACAGACCAAGTGGGAGATGTACCTGGGCGCCAAGCTCAACGAGCTGATCCCTGTTGTTCACTGGCATGCTTTGGACGAGGTGCTGCGAGTCAAGTCCCCTCAACAATGGATGCAGATGGACTCGACACAACAGTTACAGGCGGCTGAGCAAGCGGCAGCCATGATCAAAGGAGCGATCACATACTTTGAGTCAGAGCTGGAGCTCTTAGATCAGGAGATATTCAAAGGACTCAACTCACTCACAAAGCATGGCATCAACAATGAGTATCATCATGAGGCCACCACCAAGGACGATGCAGTGTTACCATGGGACCAGCTCAACTCTGTCACAGACACAATGCTCTATGTCAAGAGTCACTATGGAAGGATGCAATGTGAGCCATTCATGGCGGTGCTCACATCACTCGAAGAAGACACTGACTATATAGCGTCAATTGGAGAGTATCGCAAGTTCATCGAGCAGCGCTTGGACCAGCTACTCTTCCATCCGGTGGCAGTCAGCGACAAGTCTGCCGTTGCCAATCTGGAGCATCGCACAAAGGTAGACCTGTTGCTACGCGAGGCCAACAGACAGTTCCAGGTGTACTATCAATATGGAATGACTGGTGACAAGGAGGCAGCCAGTGATCTGTCCAAGCTTCAGCATCTCTGTAGGACATTCAAGCGAGTGATTACATCGGACTTTATGCAAGAGGTCAGACACTATCTGAATCCTGCAATGATTGCCAATGGACTACCCAGTCTGGTACCCAAGTCAGAGACACTCACAGTTAGACAGGTGTATGAAGGTCTAATCTCTTGTGTACCCGCCACATCAACGATGCTTGAGTACTGTATCGAGAGAGGACTGTTGGAGATACCAGGTGTCAAGACAATGGATGGCCTGGTTGAGCAATTCACACGATCAATATACTTCTATCAGCGACTACCACTATACACACGCCTCCAGCAGTTCTTGGATGCACAGAGCATCAAAGTACCAATCATATTTAAACTTCTAATCGACTTGGAAGAGGTATGTACAGTCCACCCATCCATCAATCAATCAATCAATCAATGATAGACTGACAATGGACCATCCACCACATACTTAGATGATAGTCGTTCAAACAAAGAAACTGACAGATCATTGGATTGAAGAGCTGTCGGTGTATGTTGATGAAGAGTTGACAGGTGAGGAGATGGAGTCATTCACAATACTGCCATCTAGGTCATTCCAAATGATAAAGACCAATCACAATCAACTGTCAGAGGTGCATCGTGTGTTCTCAGAGGATATAGATGCAAAGGTACAAGAGATGGAGGCTACAATCAACAATAAGAAGATTTTGGAGCGTGAGTTGGCCAAGTACCATGAGGGCATCGAGCAGTTGGTTCAAAAGTCATTCGATCCAAAGCAATACCAGCACGAGACCATGTACCTCGTGGGCATATTCGAGGGCCAGATGTACGCCCTTGAGATGCCGATGGCCTGGGAGAACATATGGAATGTGTTGCAAAAGAACAACAATGGTCTAAAGTATGCTGATCTCCGAAGGGCAGCCTCCGCTGATCAATCAAAACTCGATGAGAAGTCCCTCATTGCCACCCTGTTGGACTTGAATCAGTATGGTGCTATTGGATTATTCCCAAAGATTGAATAAAGTACCAAATATATTATTGTTATTATTGAGGCATCTGCTTCGTCAATGGTTGTTTGAAGCTGAGTATGGCGTAGTTCCTAGGTGAGATGGTCTCTTCAAAGATTGGTACGATGAATGATCGCAGCGTGGATGTTTGGCCGGTGACTTTCTCGGTATGTTGGCGTGACTCATCCAGGAATAACCAACGATCCATGACGATGTATGACTCGAGTACGGGCGCAATCAAACCTCGTAGTAGTAGGAACAATGATATCTTCTTTTGGTCATTCTCATACTGATGGTAAATCTCCATTAGTTGGTCCAATGTTGGCAATGACCTGTTGTCATGCACTCCACCACCATCCTTTCGTTGTTTGTCCAATTGTGATGTCATTCGTTTCAGTGCACTCTGTGCATATAGTTCAAACGTTGCAGAGTTGGCACGAGAGATACAACGAATGGTGAATGAGTGATCTGCGCCATACAATCGAATGAGTGCTGTCTCAAAGATCACACGGAAGAAGTGTACCTTCATGCTGTACTTGAACTCGTTGAGTGAATATAGTTGATCATCTGATCGTGTGCCATATGAGAAGTCGGACGCCTCGCAGCTGAGCTTTAGTGCGGCAGGCCCCAGCTCCACCAGACCTCGTGCGCTCTCTGACAGGAACTGGTATGAATGACCTGGTATCCTGTAGTAGCAACAACCAACATCGACCAGACAATTGACTCTGTTGCATTGTACATAGTTTGCAATCATGGTGGAGGCCAATGTACCGCAGGTGTGCAATCCAATCATCATTATCGACTGGTATTGCTTGGATGAATCGTGTTTGGCCAGCAGATTGATAAAGTCATCATTCTTCATCTCTGGCGATATCATTGCGACACACATCTTTGGACCACTGATATCCATCTCATCCAACAATGCCTTCCTCTTTTCCAACTTTTCCATCTTCTTCCTATCTGCCAACTCTTGTTGTTGCTCAGGTGTAAGTCTTATCTTTATCTTTTTCTTTGTTATTGTTGTGGTCTCGTCGTCTCCCTCCACTATCTCCTCCTGAACGACATCTTTGTTGTTGTTGTTGGTAGTAGTTGTACTTGACACCACATTTAGCGCCTTCATCCTTGCCGATACTCTCTCCACCTCTATCTGATTCTGTCGTTTGATTGCACCACCAATGAATGATTCTGAACAGTCGATAGCAGTAAGGCTGTGATGATATTGATGTGAGAGCACTTGAGTGAGGTATCCCTCGCCTGAACCAATGTCAACGATCTCGTCTGGTTTCATGATGATTGCGACACTGTCCACCAACTCTGCCATTCTCTTGATCTCGTGTATCTTTTTCTCTGACATCTTTAGCTTGAGTGATGGCAGAGCAAAGTCTGGCATCTTCCAACGTTGTTCATCTCTTTTCACAGTCTTTGGCATCCATAGTCGTTTGGCCTCAGTGACAAAGGTCCTAAGTGATTGTGGCCATGTGTCCTTAACAACATCGGCCGACGCGAACCAAAGACACTCTGTATCGGTCATTGATAGTAGAGGCTCATGCCACTCGACTGGCACCAATGACCATACATCATTGAGAAAGAAGTCAATTGTTCTCTCCCTATACAGCCAACTATATTGATTGATAAATAATGCCAACTGTTGAATATAATGTACAGGAGTATCATCCTCTTTTAAGAAGGCATCAGGTGCATTCCAGTGCTTCTGAGTATAACTACCTCCATTCAAGTAGTCGTCAAGAAGTTCATCCATTGTTGTTGTGTGTTTGTATCTGTTTCTATGTGAGTGTGTTTCTGTTTTCGTTCAATGTCCTTCTGAGGATGAAGATCTGAATTCTGAAATTGTACTGTTTGTTTCACCAATTTCATTCATTCATCTTTGTTATTATTACATTACATGTTGTATTATTATACATATTTAAATCAATGAGCAATCATCCTCATATAGTTCACAATTGGAAAGTAAAGACTTTCAATACATTCGTATGTATCTTGATAATGTTACAAATAATCAACATTCCCTAACAACAACACTTGACGACAACAGACATTTTGTGATCACTGTGCAGGACTTCTATGGGGCTTGTGCTCACAAGGCTTCCAATGTGTTGATTGTAACTTCAAATCACACTCTAGATGCACATCACAGGTCACTGTACAATGTAGAGTGCAACAGGATCGTCCAAACCCTGGAGATGGTAGTTCATCGTTTGAACCAAACGACACAATCGCCAATGTAGATCTGTCGATTAGAATAGCACCACATCGATTCAATCTCTCATCCAAGGGTCTCAAGAAGTTCTGTAACTACTGTCGTGAGACTACTTTTACATCTTCCGATACATGCTACACATGCATCGACTGTCGCTACGTGGCTCACGACGCCTGCAGAGACAAGACCCCATCCAATTGTCGTATCACATATCATCGCATCATCGACTCGCACACATTATCAAATGCTGATCGCAATCGCGATGAATTCAATCATCACCATTGGATTCAGGGCAACCTGAAGGAGGTCAAGCCTTGCATTCATTGCAATGAGAAGGTGGACACGTCCTTCTCTCTGGCGCACTTCAAATGTGCATGGTGTCGCAGACATGTGCACAGCAGCTGCATCGACAAGCAGCAGATCCAGTGTGACTTTGGTGACCTCGCAGAGTTAATCATCCCACCATCGTGCATCTCCCTGTTGGACACATCCAGCTACAACAACCACGACAAGGAGCATGTCGGTCCAGTGCAGTGGAGACTTGAGGCCCCACTTCCAGCCAAGGCCCTACTCATCTTTGTCAACTCCAAGTCTGGTGGACAGCTGGGCAAGACCTTCATGCGCAAGTTCGCTTCCCTTATCAACCCAATGCAACTGATTGATCTGATACATGACGGTCCAGACCATGTCATTCAGATAGTCCAGCGATACCTAGAGGAGAACCCAACTGAGATGGAAAAGATACGATTCTTGGTGTGTGGTGGCGATGGTACTGTTGGATGGCTACTACAGGCCCTCAAGAAGTACAACATGCCACCCATACCAATTGCCATTATCCCACTTGGAACAGGCAATGACATGTCTAGATCACTTGGATGGGGACCAGGCTACAGTGGACAGCCACTGACATCTGTCCTGAAGGATATCTCCGATTCAAAGATGACAAAGTTGGATACGTATGTGATCTCGCTGACTGATTTAGAGTTTGACATCAATCTAATTTGATTACCCCCAACTTAGATGGACAGTTGAGATCAATGAGGTAGAGAAGGAGTCTAGATCAATCGTGATGAACAACTATTTTAGCATCGGACTGGATGCTGACATTGCCCTTGGATTCCATGAGGCAAGGAACGCAAATCCACATCTTTTCAAGGGTAGAGTTATCAACAAGCTGTGGTACGGCAAGATAGGTCTGGAGGAGTTCATGACCAAGAAGTTCCCCCTGATGAATGAACTACTCGAGATCATCATCGATGGCAAACCACTGCAGTTGGATAAGAACATCCAAGGAATCATGATCATAAATGTCAACAACTATGCAGGTGGCGCACGTCTGTGGAAACGAGTCAAGGGTGCGTTCAAAGAACAAAAGATTGACGATKGGCAAACTAGAGGTCGTGGGCGTGTCGAACCTCCCTCATCTCGGCTCCATCATCAGTGGTGTCATGTCTCCGTTCAAACTGGCACAAGGCTCGCACATTGTTTTGAAGCACAGAACAAAGAAGCATCCAACTACCGCCATGCAAGTGGATGGCGAGCCATTTGGCATAGTCTCCAGCGACATTACCATTTCTTTCTTGGGACAGGTGTCAATGCTGTCACACAGAAAATTCGAGACCAAGTCCTCACCAATTGTAGACAGCATTCCAGTCAGTCCAGTAGGATCACCCAGCTCTGACATCCAATTGGTATCATCACCACCACCCAGTGCCGTCCAATCGACATCAACAACCGAGACGGTCTATGTTGTGACCCCAACGATAAATGTTGATAACGTATCAACATCATCAGAATCAAACACTAGTACACAAGGATCAGTGGTCAGTGTCTCATCATTGTCTAATGAACCAGAAGTGACCATCACCACAACAACTGGTAACACCATCACAACAATGAACCAAATATCAACTGAGGAGCTGGTTGACTGACCAGACTGTACAATAGGAACTAAGAGATGATAATTATTATTATAATGTAGATAATAGATGATTGTGCCAGCCTGTATTAATTGGGTACACACTTGTAATTATTTAATTATTACCACCAAATACCATAGTATTTGATTGTCTGTATTCTTTGAGCAGGAGTCGGTATTGATAAGGGAATGAACTATCTGATAATTGATTACCGAAAGAGTTGAGTAAATGAGATATAATGTTCTTGCCAACTATATAAAAGAGAGAATGAATGTTAGTGATCACTGTACTGATTGCAGTAGTTGTTCACACTTACCATATTTCAACAGTCTAAAGTGAGGTCTGACTGTTGATAGGATTCCAATGCAAGTTGGAGGTATTTCCGATGTGCCAAGGAGTCTTCGAAGGAATATTGTATCAGGTATCACTGATGACTCGGTCAAAGTGGTGGTTGAAGTGTTCTTGAGCTCAAGTCGGTCGAGTATTGCCATCAATTCAACCAGTGGACTGAGGAATCTCTGAAGAATGTGATACTGATGAATGAGGTTGACATGTTCACGTGACTCTCTATTCGATGTGTCCAATGAGGACATGACAAAGGCAGAGAGCGCTTCGATGGCCCAAACAATTGGCTGTGTGTTGGACATGCACTGTCTGATCTCGCACTCATAGATGTCAAACTCAACGGAAATGCCAAGGAGTTTGTGTAGTCCATGAAGCAAAGTTGTGGTAATGTCCGTCGCCTCCTTCTGGTTCTGCTGTTGCTGCTGCTGTTGTTGGTAATGTTCTGGTGGACATTGAAGTTTGTTGATGACATCTGTCATCATACGCTCATACTCTTGAACAATCTTGATGATGGATGGAGACTCTGCCATTTGCTTCATCTCATTGAAGAGATAGGAACGTCTACCCTCTGAGTACTGGCTGAGATGAAGGAAGTCTCTCCATGCGTGGTGTTGAACCAATGGATCAGATGAACCAAGTCCTTGCAATAAGAACACATTGTTATTCTCAATGTTTATCTTAGTGAACTTGTCGGTTATAAACTTGATATTCTATTTGGTCAAGTGAATGAATGAGTCAGTATTCAACAACAAAGTTGATCCAAAAGGTGCAATTGATGATTATTACCTTGGTAAAGAATATCTCATAGAGGTGTACTCTAAGGAAGTGTTGGTAGAACAGTACCAACGAGTAGAGCCAAACCTTTGATGCGAATGATATGATTCGAAGTGGGAATGTCCTAAATAGAGTTCTAGAGATGTATGACATTAGTGTCATTGTGTATACACATTCAATCCATCAGTACTACTTACAGGAGTATGATACCATAGAAGAATGTGGCTATGGCAAGGTAGAATGAAGTGTAAAAGGCAGTCCAGAAGTTGGAGTATATGGCAGACTTGACCTGTTGCTTCAATGAATGCTGTTGGAGTTTGGGGAATGACAGAATGTACTCAGAGTACGAGTAGGTCCTGTAGAGTATCGCACCAATGATCGATAGAGATACGATGAGGAAACAGTAAAAGAATGGATTGCTATATACTTCGCATTGGGCAATACTAGATTGTTGTTATCAGATTGTTAGTTATGCATATGACTAACCTATACATGGCGGCAGTGATGACACTCACCCATTTCCATTAGGAAGATCGACACAATTGATTACAAGACGTGGCCAAAGAGAGAATGAGTTGGTTCTCAGACTAAGTAGGGAGTAGAGGAGGAATGGCTGACTTGTGAATATCACTGCGATATACATTATGTGATAGATGGAGAGTATGGAGAACATCTCATTGAAGGATGCTGGTACTTGACGATAGACACCAACTGTTTTGCTATAGCAATAGTTGATACCAAGTTGAATCATCGTTAGAACTATGTTTAGTAATATATTGTAGTCTATAGATAGAGTGAGTGAAGAGATTAATAATCATGTGCTACGTGACAATCGTGATGTGATCCAGTCGATTGAATGACCATGATAACGTACTGCTCGAGAGTATAAGTGACAAGATGGTCATCTGTATAAAGTATATTAAGGAGTACCATGAACAGTATGATAAGAATGTCCACTTCCTCCATTCATCTATCCTCTGTTCAAAGTCAGAGGTTAGTTTACCAACAACAGAGTGAAAGTCAACATATTGATTACTGGACTTTGTAAACTGTTGTTGTTGCTGTTGTTGTAGTTGCTGTTGTATCATGATATAAATATATGTATGTATGTATGTATGTAATGAAAGAAAAGACAATAATAATCACTCAATCTTGGAAGTCATCAAACTATCAGGTACCTAACTTCGTCTTCAAGGCGCCAATTTGACTCGTTCAAAACTCAAATTGAACTTCAAACATTCTTTAATCGTGTCCAAGCCCATTCTACAAAGTTGGCTGTGCAGGCTCTGTTGGTTTTGGTGGATATACCTTGTTAAAGTCCTTCTTATGTCTGGAGACAACTAGGAGTGGCTGAACACTTGGCGTTTCGTTAAAGGCAATGTCAAAGACGTCATTGTAGTAGTCGACCAGATAGACGGTGAAACCTTCCTTCACATAGTCAGGTATGTCCTCTAGCTCCTTCTTGTTGTCCTTTGGCAGGATGATCTTTTTGACACCCTCACGCTTGGCTGCAATCATCTTCTCTGTGATACCTCCAATGGCAATCACCTTACCAGTCAGTGTGATCTCACCAGTCATTGCCACACCAGGTTGTATTGGCTTGTTCAGTGCCAAAGACAGCAACGATGTGGTCATGGTGACACCAGCCGATGGTCCATCCTTTGGAGTGGCTCCCTCTGGTGAATGAATGTGTACGGCATTCTAAAGTTAAGAAAGGAATATTAGTAAACCATCCCAATGAAAGAGGGAATGATGATGATTTTCCTTACATTCTCAAAGAATTTGCTTGATGGGTCCACCTGAGCCAGGTATTGCTTGACGTAGGTGAAGGCTATATCTATACTCTCCTTCATGACCTCACCCAATGAGCCAGTAGTCTTTAGACCTGGTGCCTGTTGGAACCTGTCCACAACACTCTCCACATAGAGCGGCATGCCTCCATTCTCTGTCCAGCCAAGACCCAATGCAATGCCAGGTTGAGGTGTCTGATAGTACTTCTTGATCCTGTACTTTGGCAGACCCGCATACTCATCCAAATTGCTTGGAGTGATATTGATCACAGATGGCTCCTCAGTGACCATCTTGTAGGCCACCTTCCTGAATATCTTCTCGATTGTCTTCTTGAGATTCCTCACACCAGACTCCCTGCACCAGTATTCACACAGGTGCTGCACTGCCTCTGTTGATATATTGACTCGGTCCTAATCGTCGTGTAGGTGTAAGAATGAATGAGTTGATAAGATACAATGATGTACATACCTCACCAATACCAGTCTCAGCACGGATTGATGGTATCAAATACTTCTCGGTGATCTTGATCTGTTCTGTTTGGATGTAACCATTGAGCTTCATCACCTCCATTCTGTCGAGTAGTGGCGCTGGTATCGTGTGTGTTAGGTTGGCAGTACAGATGAACAACACCTTGGATAGATCGTATGGTATGTCCAGATAATGATCCAGGTAGTTCTTGTTCTGTTGAGGATCAAACACCTCCAACAAACTTGAGTATGGATCCTCATTGAATCCTCTTGCTACCTTGTCAATCTCTATATATATATAATCAATGTTAGAATCAATCTCCAAGGTCTTTGTAGAATATTAATAAACATACCATCAATCAATATTACAGGGTTTGAAGTCTTTGTTAGTTTGAGTGCCTGTATGATCTTTCCAGGCATGGCACCAACAAATGTTCTTCGATGTCCTTTGATCTCAGCCACGTCACTAATGCCACCCACCGAGAATCGATAAAATTGTCTACCGAGGGCTGTCGCGATTGATTTGCCAATCGAAGTCTTTCCAGTGCCTGGTGGTCCAACAAGTAGAATGATCTTGCCACCAACTGATCCACGAAGTTTACCAACGGCAATGAAGCTCTGTATCATCTCCTTGATATCATCCAGACCGTAGTGATCGTTGTCAAGAACAGTCTTTATCGTTGGGATGTCAAAGTTATCGATCGAGGTAATGTTCCATGGCAATGACGTGATCCACTCGAGATAGTTCCTCGTGACGTTGTACTCTGCTGACGTTGGCTCGATGCTTGCCAAACGCTCCATCTCATCGTTGAACACCTTGTTGGTCTCCTCTGGCACCTTGAGCTGTGACCACCTGGCCTTGAACTTCTTCTTGAGCGTCTCCTTCTCGTCCTGGTCCAACTCCAACTCTCGTCGCACCAGCTTCATCTGCTCGCTCAAAAAGAACTTCTTCTGTTGCTTCACTGCCTTGTCCTCGATGTGCTTCTCCATGAGTGCATTGAACTCGTTCAGTTGTAGTTGCTTGACCACAAGGGAGAGTACACGCTCCAGACGTTTCTCAATGTCAATTGAGCCAATGATCTCTTGGCTCTCCACTGGCGTGGCAGACTCTGAGCAGATGGATGCGATAAAGTCGGCCAACTTGCCTGGCTCCTCCATAAAGCGGAAACGAGACACACCAAAGAGCATCTGGAACTGCGAAGAGAACTGCGAGTCGGGATACATTGATGAGAGTTGTTTCACCTTCTTGACCAACTGGAGTGTGAGCGCACGCACTTTGACCGGGTCTGACTGGGGATCCATGACGTCGGGCAGATAGGTAATTGATGCTCGTGGCAGCTCGTAGGGTATGGGCTGAGGTGAGAGTATGACTGCGTCTGGAACAGGTGGTGGTTGATTGTCGATTATTGGTACTGCATTCTCACCATTGTTGGGAATCGTAACAATTGGTTGAGGTATGGATTGTGTCACTGGATCAGTGGGGAATGCTGATGTAGTTGTCTCTGTTGTTGTTGTTGTTGTTTTTGTTGTTGTCTCTGTAGTAGTTGTGGTTGTTGAATCAGTTGTCGTCGTCGTATTCTCTATTGATGTTGTGTCTGATGATGTAGGGATGTCTGTGGGAGTTGCAATGACAGGTGATAGCAATTCATCTAGTCTTATCCTAGCAGCACCAATGAGGTATGGCTTCTGAGCGGATGACTCAACGGAGACGAGCACTCCAATAGGGTTAAGCTGTGACATTGAGGTGAGCTTGAACTGCTTGGTGTCTTTGCCCAGCGTCTCCATCTCTGTTTGATTAACAAAGAACAGACCAATCTCCTTAGGTTGTCCCATTCGCTTGTATTCGTCCAAATCGAATGGAAGCAGTGCTGATAGTGAGCCAGGGTATATCTGTGTCTCAAACACAGGGTAGATGACAATCTCTCTTGGCACTGGTACCCATTTGGTACCTCCGCTTCTATCATCCACCTGTACAAAGTGAGGTGTAGCTGATGATGTCTGAGGTCGTTGGGACGATGAGACAGTCTCCTTCTGTTGTCCAGTACTGCTTGCATTTGGCTCTTCAACTTGTTGATCCTTATTGTTGTTGTTGCTAGGTGTTGTTGAATCACCATCTTCATTGTTATTGTTGTTATTGTTATTAGTTGAGTAGTATCTATTTATATTGTTATGTTTACTATAGTTTTTTAGTAACAAACATCTACTGCTGTTGTTGTTGTTGTTGATCCTCCTGTATAATGGACTGTTTGCTAATAGTGTTGCAGAGGCATATCTCACTTGTGAACCAGAGGTAGCAACCGTGTTTATTGCTGCCAATGGCAATGAAGATAGTCTTCTCAACATCTCTCTCTCTCTTTCTCTCTTTATCTCACTTGATTATAACTTCTCACAATGACAAGAGAACACTATTCTGGAGTGGTGATGGTGTGTTTGAGAAGTTCACACTTGATCATGAAGTTCAACATTGAATCAATCACAACCCGTTCCATTTATTTGTATGATTATGATGGTAGATCCATACCATAGTTGTTGGTGCATACAACGTCAGTGTTATCATTGGATTGATCAAACTTTGTCTGTGATACACCAACTAGATCATTCTCTTCGATCAGGATCGTGTTGCTCTTCTGACAGATGTAGAATCCAGCACGAGAACTCATCATCGTGTTGCTCTTGACCGTGATGTTGTTGGTGCCTGAACAGATGCATGCAGTACCTTGGGGCAGGTCAATGTTGTTCTCATGCACATCTATACCATTGGAGTACCACAACTGGAGACCACAGCTCGATGTCTCTGCACTCTTGCCCAAGATCACATTGCCTTTGACCTTTCCAAGGTTGGTGTTGCAGAAGAAGATACAATTGGCAAAGTCACCATCCAATGTGTTGTCCTCTACTGTGGTCTCATTGCCCCCACCAGTCTCATGTGATGGTTTGATGATGATACCATATGGTGATGATCCAATGATTGTCTATACATTTGATTGATTGGTAAGTGTTTGTTGATCAATTGAAAGATAAATAGATGATACTAACATTGTTCTTAATATGACCTCTGTTGACACCATAGAACTGAATGGCACAAGCTTCAGACTGACCAGCTCTACCAGTGATATGTATTCTGTTGTTGGCTACTGTAATCTCAGTGCCCCTTTCAATGATGGAGGCGATCGATGATCCCTCAATATCATTATTGGTCAACGTACAGTTCTCTCCAGCTAAAGTGTAATGTTCATTTGTTAGTTAGATGTTATTACCTAGGTTCTATCCTAAATGGTACTACTACATACTCTCTGTTGTCAATGGATAGTCCCAATCACCTCTCAGAGTATTGTTTGTTGAATGTAATGTTCGTGGACACTACATATCCCTCTGGACCAGAGTTGATACCATTGCGAGGAGTGGAGCCCGGCTTGGCAGAGATAAAGTTGTTGGCTACAGTCACATTGGAGCAACCAAAGAATCCTACTCCATCACCGTAGGAAATACTGCCACCGGGTGTACCTATCACATTGGTGATCTGGTTGCCAAGTACCTTGATGTTGGTGTAGGCCAGGTTGTTGTCTGGTTTGTTGCTCATCTTGAGTTTGCCAAACACCAGACCCTGGTTGAAGTTGTCAATGTTGCAGCTCTTCATGATGAATCCATTGCCCTCAAGAAGAACCGCAGAGGCACTCAGAGAGTTAATGACGAGGTTGCTCATGTTGACAGTGTCCAACACAATATTGTTTCCATTCAATACGAATAGGTACTCCTTCCAGTTGATAAAGCCAACAGAAATTGGGGGATTGACCCAACCAGCGAAGTTGGCTACGAACTTGGCATCACTTGATCCAATGATTTGGACATTGTCCTTGGTAACACATAGCGGACGAGTAATCAAGTATGTACCCTAATATACTATGGTTAGTATTTTGTTTGTTTACTCCAAAAGGAGGTAGAGTACTTACTGGTGGTATCCTGACTTGAGGGGTAGGGAAAGTAGTAATATAGAGCTCAACGGCATTTGTATCATCATGGACTCCATCACCATAGGCACCGGGAATTGGACTGATTGGATCCTTGAAGGAACTGTGTCCAACTTTGGGTGATGTGGTGTGTTGTTGGCTTGGAGATGTTGGTGTGTAATGGTGGTGAATATGATGTGTCACAACAGTTGGTGACATTGGAGGAGAGTATACATGAGGTGGACTGAAATATTGAGGTTGTTGTTGTTGTTGAGGAGGGGATACATAATGTTGTTGTTGTTGTAGTTGTTGTTGTTGTTGATTACCGTATTGAGCATAGTTTGGTCTGGGTTGAGGAGGTAGAGCTCTATCAGGTGATTGATTGTTGTTAATGTTTGGATACAAGTTGGATGGTCTTTGTTGGCTTGGGTTTCCATTGTATTGATTTCCAATATTAGGGTATAGTCCAGGTTGATTGGAGTATTGTTGTGGTAGTTGTTGTTGCTGAGCAGGTGGAGGATAGTATCCTGGTTGAGGTTTGGATGGTCTTGGAGGAGGTACAGGTGGAGCTTGTTGTTGTTGTTGTTGATAGTAAGGAGGAGGTTGTCTTTGTTGTTGTTGCTTTCTTCTTTGGTCCTCATCATCATCGAATATTTTATTAAAGAATTGTTTCATCTTGGTAATATTCTATTACAATATACTATAAATTCTAATACAAATATTTAATAATTATATCTCTTGTAAATAAGAATAATAATAATAAGTATATATCCAACCTACTTACTTATTATGACTGACTGGACCTACTACTACGCTCAGACGACTGAACACCACACTTTTAAGTAGTAGTCCATTGTCCAATTAATATTGTGGGGGTATTGGTTGGTTGGGTTGGTGCTGGGGTTGAGGGGTTGGTTGAACCAGGGTCGACACACAGTTGTTGTTTTGCTCATACCACGAGGATGAATGACGTTCAGAGGAACCCGGCGCTGCAATGGGTGGGTGATAGAACGTAATTTAGGATTGGTTGGTTTAGATAGATAGTTGTGAGTTGTATAGATTGATTGGTCATCTCGAATCTACAATCAGTGTTTATGTTATTAGAATGATGTAGAAAAATACTGTGCCTTTACAAAGTGTGAGAGTGATCCTTGTTCAATCAACTTTCTAATCACAACTAAAAGAATCTGATCAATTCAAAACAATTCAAACACGACTTTGGGATCAGGTCGACGTCATCGGTGTTTGAAGGTAATAACCACCTCTGTAATTAATTAAATTAAGAATATCATACAACCTACAGACAGATAAACGACGATGGGACACGCACACACTAAACTTACAAAGACAGAGATACAACAACTCTGTACTATCTCATCGTTCAACAAAGATGAACTGACCAATCTGTTTGAACAATTCAAGAAGTTCGACACTGACTCTAATGGTGTACTGGATCGCAATGGTATCTATCTATTGATCATCAATCACCATGTTCATTTACTGGCTGACTGACTGACTGGCTGACTGACTGACTGACTAACTGGATGAATGTAACACCATACAGAGTTTGTCTCCTACTTTGAGTCGCACCATCCTCATATTAGCTCAGACCAGCTGAGTATCATCTTCAACCTGTTTGACACTGATGCTGTATGTAGTTGTTGTCATGTATCAAATCGATCCAACTAAACTAACACGCTGTCTCTCTCTATCACTCAGAGTGGATCAATCGACTTTAAGGAGTTGGTAGTGTCAATGTCAATCATTGGTAAAGGAACACCAGAGGAGAAGCTAGGTTTCATGGTATTTATCTATCATTATGAATGAGAGTGTCCAATGAGTTTATATCTAACCATCGATCCAAATCAATAACATGTACTAGTTCGACGTGTATGACAAAGACAAGAGTGGCACTCTCGAGGCAAGTGAGATCGATGACCTCTCACAAACTATGGTCAGTGTTGGCAAGGAGATTGGAACACTGGACGGCGATATCAAAACCTTTGTCGACAAGCTTCTCCAAAAGGTGGACGTCAACCATGACCTCTGTATCACACGTGATGAGTGGATATCACAAGGATCAAAGTGTCCATCTATTCTAACTTTGCTTGGTCTCTAATTGTGAATGAATGAATGAATACACATCAAAGTGCCATCACTTTTTTCGTTGTGCTTGTGACCAAACAGAATCAGAAGTTGATCGTCTTTTTGCCTTGTTGACAACAACTTTTCTATCTATCTCGTCTCTTTACATAAATAACATATATAATAACAATCATGTTTGGTTTACAATCATTGTATAATGGTCTATGCAACAGACTGTTTGTAAATTCAAATGTATGTCTATTGTATTGAAGAAGCAGCAGAATCTAGAGCGATTGCAGCTGAAGGGCATTGTGTCTAACATCAAGTGACGACACAACGATGATCAAACAGAACATAGTATCGAATCAAATCAGAACACTGTACAAACACAAGTCAAAGTCAGCATGCAAGAAGAGATTCCAATTGACCAAGATAGGACACGTCAAGTTCCATCCAAGGTCTAACCCTGGAAAGGTCTACTACGTTCAAGGCACAGCAGTCAACAAGACATTCAAACAAGTTCTATTCTCTCAATCATACACTAAGCCTGCATTTATATCAAACAGTCAATGTTCATTTGAAGTCACAGATGTTGTTCAACATTAGATTACCTAAATATATATATAGATAGAGCGAATAGATAGCACTGCAATAAACAACGACAAGATAACAAAGTGTTGCAGTACAAACAGATGCGATCAGTTTTGGTAGACCATTCCATCAAACTGACTTCTAGGATAGGAATATATATTCACTCACACAAATAGATGGAATGATTGATTGCTTGGCCGTCATCGTCGTCGTTTATTATCTTCTGAACCATGGTTACACACCTTCATGTGACTCTACTGAGTACTCTACCACATCGTTGTATTTGAACTCGTAGGAGAATACAGACTTTGGCAGGTTGAGTCTACCAACGATATCCTTGAACTTGTTTAGGTTGTTGTGATACACTATCCTGGTTGGGAATCGGTCATAGAGAAGGAATCCTCGGAGTACCTTAAATGTAGCTTTGAAAAAGAATGTTGGATGTATCACGTGTAGGTCTGTCAGTTGTTTAGAGTATCTATATAGAAGTAAATAACCTTGGTTAGTATATGTTGTATATGTATTTGTATATATACCTTTACATACTTATGTTCAACAATGAGTAACAGTTTCTTTAGCCATGCCATCTCTGGTAGTGGTACTGATGACATGTTGGAATGGAAATACATAATGGAGAACTCTCGTTGTGCCAGACCTTCAAAGATTCTGATAAAGTAGAGCAACACACTGTCCAGGTCATCCCTTGATGGGTCCATATGTGAACCAATGACAACGACGATCGGTGAACCATCTGAAGATGCCACCTGATAGATAAAGTTCAATCTGGCAATGTTGGACAGGTCCGTAGTTCTAGACCTATCCAAACAATCTTCATACATTGATTGTATCCTCTCTTGTTCAACTTGTTCAACTGCGGTAGTGTTATTCACCAATAGAGAGTAAGTTACATGTCCTTGTTATCTCTATTATCTCTCCGCAATCAATCCTAGTACATACCAGTTCTATTCTCGATCTTCTTCTTCTTGATAATATCCGGATCTTCTTTCTTTCTTTGAGGAGAATGTCCTCGATGCTATTGGTGATGTGTTGACAGTGAGCGTGAGAGTAGCCTCTTGTTCACCTTCCTTATAGTGATCATCAAAGTTGCGGAAGAGAGCAGTGCTCAGTGTAGTGTCTTGAGCACGTAACCTTCTCTCCTCAATCTCTTTCTCACCAAACTTGTTGCCACAGTCCTTTGGCAGTGTACGTTGTGCCAGCTGCAGCTCTGCCTCTGTTCGTGGGAAGTAGAGAGGCATCAACTTCTTGTAGGACTCTATATCAATCTCGCTCTCTAGACAGAGGATGACGTTTTTGAGGTGCTGTCCATGCTTCTCCAAATGTCTTCTGATTGTTCTGAGTGCTACGTGTGTGCCCAACTCTGAGGGGAACTGTCTGCTCGACGTGTGGATGCATGAAAAGGCCATAGTGGAGAGGTTGTGCTCGCTGGACAATCCCAACGCGGCACGATAGCAAGAGTTGAGGGCATTCTCCGAGGCGGACAGGTACTTCTGATTAAAGGTTGGACAACAGGTGTGAACGACGTAGCGGGTCTTGAGGTTGCCACCACTGGTCATCAACACCTCACCAATACGACACTCGCCACCAGCCTGTGAGATCTCGTTCGGTATCTCTGGTCCACCGAGACCAAAGATATATTGAGCAACGCCATTGCGCTCAGAGAGCGACGAGTTGTTGGCATAGACGATGGCGGCCGTATCCAGTCTCCAAACCTCTCCAATCCACATGGTGATCTTGGCATTGATCTCTGGATCGATTGAGAACGGTGATGTCTTGTGTACTATCGGTGTTGAATCCATATCGAATGGATTGATCTCTTCGAAMCGGTGTCACATTGTTCCAAGTGGTCAGAGTCTTGTACGATCTAGACCATGTGTTGCTTGATGCTGTTGCATGGACATCCATAGTATTGACTGATTGTTGACTTATATAAATATTTAAATATATTGATTATGTATGTTTGTTTGATTGAAAGAAGTAAGTAATAGTGTGTGACAATGATCGAGATGACTGATCAGCGACCTGTCGCCCTCAACCTTGAATGGTAACCATTGGACCTGATATTTTTTTTTACTTTGATTTTTGCTGTTTTTTGTGCAAAGGAAAACTGATCAAACGATTCTTGCCTTTTTTTATTATTATTATTACTTTGGGACGACATAGATTTCAAACAATGTCATAAGATGGAATTCAAACTAGTTCATTAGCCTATCCAACTTTCTCATTACACTGTTTAGATTGCAAAGTGAGTGATCGGCTCTGTCATTCAGGTTGTCTAATATCTTTCCTTGTGATGTCAACTCTGTTGTCATTGTCATTCCAATCTTTCCTAAGTACTTTATACTCTCAGAGAGTTCATCCAGAGATTGGTCTTGTTCCCTCATCATTTGTTGTTGTAGTTGTAGATTATTGCGCAGGAAATCATTGTTGTCCTCTTCTACTATTTGTTTCATTACTTGATGTTGTTGATTGTTACGGTGTTGTTTTTGATCCACAGGCATCAGAGATGAACGTTTATCTTGTTCAATCTTGGTTATAGTTTGTGGTGACTTTATATCATTTGAGACCTGCTCAACAGTGATCGTTGCCTGACGAATGAATCTCTTCCTTGCATCCAGTTCTGATGCAGACACGTTGAATCTACTGGGGTTTGCCAGTACAACATCAATTGTCTTCTTTAGATCCTCTATATCTTCATTTATATGTTTTATAACAACATTAATCTCTGTTTGGCACCATTGAAACTCTTTGGATTGATATGTGTTGCTATGTTTCAACAGGGTACTCCATCTTTGATGGAGACTTGCCAATCCCTCAATTGATATCTGTGTCTGTTCTTGGACAATGTTAAATGGGTCTTTCATTTAATTTGTGATATATATTTAAATATAAAAGTATAATATTGTTTATATGATAATGTATTTAATACTGGCTTGATGTGTATGTCCATCTTCGTCTATTTATCTATCTGTCTCCAACAATTCAATGAATTATTTTCAAACACTCACCAGGCTGGTCAAAGATTAGCAACTTTCAAGTGAGAATGCACATCACACACCCAAAGTTGGACCATGAACCATGTTATTTATTATTAATGTAGTTTGTTGTTTGTTTGATGGATGCTGCCTGCTATAACCTATGTTAATGTCATTCTGCTATACTACGACTACCAAACAAACTCTCCATTGGCCTTGTGGAAGAGAGCATCTCTGCCGTTCAGATGCATAATGCCATCCTTAAATGTGCACTTTCGCTTGTTCTTGATCCTGGACACCTTCTCGTATTGGCACAATACAAAGTGTTCGATAATAGGGTCTGGGTCATTGTCTTCGTCATCATCCAAATCACTGTTCAGAGAGTCCTGCTGTTGACCTGCATTTGCCTCTGGTATATGCTCCTCCAACTGTCATTGACAACATCATGATGCGTTAGAATACTACAATCTTGTCATCTAATTCCTCTACCTATAAACATACCAGTTCATCATCGAGATCATCATCATCGTTGCCATCCATCTGAGGAATCTTTATGCTAAAACTACAATCATAACTCTGTTGCTCTTTGACACGCTGTGCAATCAGACTATCTATATGCTCTTTGGTCATGCCATTGTCGACACAGGACAATGCCACCTCATCGCTGGAACCATCATTCTGTGGTAGGTTCATCAGATGCATCAATGAGTGAGAGGAGCCTGGTTTGGGGAGCTCCAGACCATGGGGTGGATGGTCTCTGTTTGGCATAAACTGTTGTGGCTTGCCGAATCCAGACACACCTGGTGCACCTATTGTTGTAGTTGGTGGTGTCGCATTGAATTGTCTAAGAGTGTTTAAGGTTGATCGGACATGATCATGCTGTAATAATGTGTAATGGTAATGTGATGTTAGTGTTGGGTTGAAAAGAGAGAGGGAGTGAGAGAGATGAGTCGTATACATACAGCTAAATCATTGCTCTGTCTGTTGTTGTTATTGATGGCAGGGGGTGATGATGTAGTTGGTGATGTGTTTGATGTTGTAGTTGATGTCTTTGATGAGTTGTCTTTGCTGCTGCTGCTACTGGTAGTAGTGGTGGTAGTGCTGCTTGGTTGATCGCTTGTTGTCTCTGTGCTCGGCGTCTGTTGGTGCTGATGGGGTAGGAGGTGGACCAGATACGGCACCTGATTGCATCAACCTTGATTCCCACATCTATAAATGATTCAAGTAAGTAAGATTAACTATCATCTAATGGTTGTGATATCAACATCAATCAATCAATCAAACAAACAATTTGATCAAGACATACATGTTGCAACTCTAGGATGACAGTATCTTCCAAACCCTCATTCGCAAACTCTGCTCTTATATTTCTAATTACATCATCAATGATGTATCTGTATACTGATGTAACACTCATATCTATATATATATATATTATCTCTATTTAAATAGTGTAACAACTACAAGTATTTATAAAAGATTGAGGTGAATGTTTGATCACCTGCTGTGAAGAACCCCCCAAAGCTAAAAGTTGATTAAATTTGATGTTCCTCAAAGGAGGTATTTAAAGTAATATATTAAGTTATTAATGTGATATGATCAGAGTAGTAGGCTTTCCAGTGTGCTTGAATGTCAATGACTTAAAGTTGAACAGGGTAAAGCTTATATCAATGGCCCATATCACCAAAAATACAGAGCACAATGGTATACGATTGCTCATTGCCAGGCCATAAGATGCCCACAGTGGTCCGATAATCCTTCCTAATGATCCCATCAGCATCTAGAAAGAAATGAATGATTATTGGATAGTTAGTATATACATATATGAATCAGTAATACGATCATAAATAACATACCATGAAACCAGTTTGGAAACCTTGTTGTTTGTCTCCAAATATTCTGTTTAGCAACTTGGAGTAGAGTGAATAGATTGATGTGTTTTGAGTGGGTATTCCAACGACGGTGACTGCCACACTGAGACAGAATCGCCAGAACTGAACCTTGCGATCAGCTGGTCCACCAAAGTTGATAAACAATTGGACGAGACCGGCACCAAGGAATACCTGGCCAAACAGTACCATGTACTTGTCCTGCACGCCAAACTTGCTGCTGGCAAACACTGTGACAAAGATAAACACGATGATCTCTGACGATATCACACTGTACATGATCGAGTTGGACAATGTGCCAAAGTGATACTGCTCCTGAGTGATTGGTGTGATCATTGTCTCTAGTGCTCCAAATACAAAGTTCTGGACAAAGTTGATGATGAAGCATGTTATCAGTGATCGATTGAGTAACATCTTAAAGTTCTGCCAGAATGTTGATTTYCTCTTCAACCACCTCCACCTTTTCAGTGTCCTCTTCTTCATCGTCATTCTGGTCTTCATTTCCATCGTGTGTATCCATGATTGGACCGACTTGGTCACCAGACCTTGTGTGCTCATCTACTTCGTCATCGTGTTGCTCAGATAGAAGTGGGGCCTCTTGTTCCTCGGCATCCTTTACCTCCTTGGACTTCTTGGAGGGTGGCTCCTTGAACCATGCGAATGATATCAGACAACAGGTCAGAAGGAAGGCAAGGAAGTAGCCGGGACAGTTCAATGGGTCGACAACAATGACGAAGCTCTTGATTTGAATTTTGAACTTGATCACCGATAGCAACAGGTTGAACGCTGGACCAGCCACGAGACCAATGGCATTGATGGCATTGATCTGTCCCATGTACTTGGTTCTCTGCTCTCGAGAAGTGACGGCTGCAATGTACGTGTTGGTCAGAGCCATGTTGGAGCTGCCCACACCAGTCACCACACGACCCAGAACGATCATGATCGGATTGACTGCCGTGGCATAGATGATGTTGCCAGTGATGGCAATGAGCAGGTTTACACAGATAGCCTCGCGGATAGTTCTTCGATCGGACCAGATTCCAACCAATGGCAAAAAGATGAGTTGGGCCAAACTGAAGCCTGAGAGTGCCCATCCCAAGTATTGCTCGCTGCTTGCATCAGCGTTGCTGCTGCTGCCACTGTTTCCACCATGTGATGGTGTCTTGCTCTGAATATAGTCGTTGATCGATGGCATCACAATTCCATACTCTACATTGGCAATGAATCCGACTGCCATGATACTGATCAGACTTATCATGTGCAATGGACGTGCCTTGTGGCTCTTGTTGAGTCCCGCCAGCGTAGCAATTGAGGTCGAGTTGCTCAGCACATTGACCTGGGGTGAGCCAACATGTGGAGGCAGATTGGCATAAGAGTCCATGATGAGTGGTGGGTTTGACTCATCATCAGAGTCATCTCTATATTGTTCGATGATGACATAACCATTGTCATCATCAGTGTCATTAATTGACATGTTCTTATACTTGTCCTTCATTTTTATTTATATAAATATTATTATATGTATTTGGTTTTAGTCATTGAACAAGTACAATAGGACTTAGGAGATTGAGAGAAAAGTGACCAAAAAACGTCGTCTACGTGCAAATATTGATGTGGGGGTTGTTGGGTGAAAACGCTTGAGACGTCGAGACCAGGGCAATCAAACCCCCACCCAACACTGATGCTGGACCCAGTTTTTTTGATTCCAAACCCAAAACAAGTGCACTTGAATTGTCGTGTTACTTTCATTCCTAAGCGTAATCAAAGACCCTTTCGAACCTTTATGAGCCATTGATTAAATAATGACTTGAACTCACCTGCTAGGTGATCTGATCGCTGTTCAACTCTCAGTATCTCCAGTCTATCATTAGTGCTCTCGATTAACAGTCTGCATGACCCCATCAACACTTGGATGTTGTCTATGGAGTGACTCATCAATTGATTCTTGAGTGATAGTAGTGTTTGTCGCTTCTCATCTCTATATTCAAGTGCCAGTGATGGTCGTGACTGTCCATCCAGTACCTTTTCACATTGCCACAGTAGTCTTAGAGCAAAGTAGAGATTGATTGATACTTCGTCCAACTGTTGTTTCGTGACTGTACTGTGATCAATATTGTCTACATTGTCAAGTGTGTACCCTTTAGGCTTCTTCTTGCCCTGATGCAACTTCTTCATTCCCAGAGTGTCTCGTGCTTTGAGGTATTCATTCTGACCGACGCCCCAGTATGACTGTGCCAGATGTCTGCCAGTGATCAGTCTTCTGATTGGTTCCTTGATCGCCATCCAAGCATCTGTTTCATAGAGTGTATCTGATGTGGCTTTGTCTTGTTCAGTCAAGAAGCATTCCAACAGTCGATAGTTGCCACGCATGATACATTCGATGGCATTGGACACCTCATATAGTATTATACCCTTTGTAGTGATGTCCTTGGTTGGTTGGGGTTGAGGTTTGGGTGGAGTGGACAAGTCTCTGGCCACCCATTCCTTTGACAATGTGACACCATTCATCTGTTCCACCTTGATGGGTGGAGGGAACAGTGACACTACCTGATCAGTAGGTGCTGCATAGATTCCAATCCAGTCATGTATACTGCTACTGCTGTTATCATCGGCGTTGTTGTTGTTCAGATTGTACAAATGACTACCAACTTTGGACATGAAGAGAAGTGTACCATTGACACCAGATGACTGTAGTAGTTGATTGGCCAACATCAATGGTTGAGGTGTTGTAGTGGTTGTTGTATTTGGTCGATAAGTGAATCGTTCTGATGTGTCCGAGTCTATTGATTGCCTTCTAATTAAAACCAGCCAGTTGCTGACCTTCTCAATGTCACTCGTATCCTTTAGATGATAGTTAGGACTCTGTCTTTGTCGTGTCCATGTCTCCTCAAGACTTTGGAAACGTGGTTGGATCAACTTTAGTATTTGTTGATCATCAATATCACCTCGTCTCACTTGCAACAAGAGGTCACGCTCAGGACCATCTTCGAACCAGACCAAAGGTGTACCATTGTCCAACAATCTCTCCACTTCTATCATCAGTCTCAAGGCATGATATGCTCTCTTGTTCAACTTGTATTCATCGTCTCTCTGCTCCTGATGTTGTAGTACACGTTGTAACTTGTTTTTCTCCACCATTCTTTGTTGTTTAGCACTCATTGGTTTGGACTTGATGTTTGACTGATCAACTGAACTATCTACTACTTCTCGACTGTTTATAATGTCAGTTACATCACCAACCAATGCTTTGATGGTGGAGTAGTAATGATCGATCACTACATTTGAGAGTATTGCCTGTCGACATTGTAGCAGTGCCTTCCAATGATCAGAGAGGTAGCATAGTCTTGTGGTGAACAATGACTCTACCTGTTTAGGATTGCCCAACAGCAACAGTTTGGCATAGTGTCTCAGCTCATAGATGCTAATGTCAGGCTTTAAATGATGAACAATCTCCTTGGGACCATCGATCGAGAGAACAGAGTTGATGGATGCCTGTCGCACAGCAGTAAAGTCTTGATCGCTGGTCTCAATGTCCAAGTTGAATGATCTGCTTCCAGCCAATGCAATATAGATAGCACTCTCTCTTATTGACTTGTCATCAACATGATCAAACGAATCCAATTCATCAGAGTGATGTTTCATTGCATTGATAAACATCTAAATGGAAATAGAGGTATTTGGTCAATCATACATTAGTATCCAGTAGTTCATGATAATGGATATGAACAACATACATCCAACAATGAACATTCGTCTACTCTTTCGAGTATCGATTCGTTATACTCGTTTAGGCTGTACATGAATGTATATAAATAACAACAGGTCGCAATTCGAATTCAAGACCTTAACCATCGTGAATTTATCTCAACCAAACACACCACAATATTGGTGTGTTGAGAGAGAGGGTGAGTGACTATTATTATGGGTGTCCAGTTGGTAAGATGTGGTGTAGCTAGATGAAGAGTAATGGTGATGATCATCATCATAATCTATTACCATCATTCTTCATACATATAATAAATACTTATAATTATAACAATATGTTGGAACAAAACTATTTCATTAATCAACAATCAAATTCCAATCATCACCAACACAAGGCAGAACAGAATCAACAACATCAACAACAACAACATCAACAGCAACAGAGTTCATTTCAACAACATCAACAACAACTACAATTACATCAACCAATTAATAATAATAAGGATGAAATAGAACTATATAACTTCTTGACAGATGAGGAAGAGACTAAAACCATTAGATTGATATGCAATCATCTATCATTGGGTCAGTTTGAACTGGCAAGATCACTGATACTTCAGATACAGCAGAGACAGCAGAAGCAGAATGTCACTACATCACTCAATATCACACGTAGACTATCATCGATACTGCATCACACCATAAAGAATGGACCACCCAGTACTTGGCTCACTTCACAGACTGTTTGCTCCTCTGCTCATCTCTCTTGGTTGTGTTCAATCGAGTTTTATCAACTCAACAAGGTAACTACAAATTACCATCTATCCAATGGACTTATTACTACCTACTAACTGTTAGGCTCATTGATTAGGAGGGCTTTACACAAAGCATCACAGAGAGAATATCAATATTATTACAGTTTGCCATACTGTTGTACTCGATTCTCAATGATATCAGCAGCAGTCCAGATGATCGATCAGTATTACCAATTATCCAAGAGCTAAGGGAGTACCAATATATATTACTCCATCAACAACAACAACATGACAACAATACAGGGTCACCCAACGACAATATTGTTAATGACAACAACAGTGATATATTACACGCCAACAAGCTCTCACCAAACACAGTAGCAGCACTCAAGAAGGCACTCACATCAAATCCACAACTGGCTCAATACTTGATCACTCAATTATCTGATCCATTCTTTAGTCTGGAGCATCGTGGACGAACTCTATTGCGTTTTGAATATCCAGTAGCATCACAACTGGAACTCATCACCGCCGAGGTTATCTCTCATTTGATCAATCAGAATCAGTACAATGAGGCCTACACTCTACTACGTGTGATCGATACCTGTGACAACTATGAGATCGCAACCAACATTGCCGACGAAAGTCCAACAGGTGATGACCTAGATGGCACCAAGCGTACAACTGTATTGACAAGACTCATTCAACGTGTTGCCAATCTTAATGTAGACTCTATCGACTTTGGTGATGCTGACCATAATGATGACACCACCATTGGCAATTGCAACCTGTCTGGTGACAGACTCACACTGGACAAGATACCCTTTCAATCCAAGTTGGACAATAGCATTGTTGACTTCAAGAAGACCACCAACCTATCCAGGATGCGTATATTCGAGTCATTGTTGTCCAACCGTACTCTCTATCCCCTTCAGGAGTATGCCAGCTTTGAGGACGAGATACTCAGCACCGAGACAACAGAGCAACAGTATCCAAGTGACTTGGAGCCGAGCGGTGTCAGTCAGACTGAATTCCCTCAAGTGTTTGCCATTCTGAGACAGTATGAGAGCTTGAAGCAACACCAACCTGATCAGCATGACTCACTGCAGCACAAGATCACCAATGACTTTTGGTATTGGTTCTACCACTTCCTTCGTGTGAACAATCAACACTTTCTCGAGTACACTCTGCAAGAGGCCGTAAGGTTGGTCAAGGAACGACGATTCGATGATGCAATGATTCTGGTCAAGCCGTTGGCACCAATGTTGCCCTTGGTTATTCTGTTGTGTTGGGATCACTTTGGTGATGATTTCTCTTCACGTCAGGCTCTCACCCAGCTTATGGCCACCACATCAGGAGTAAAGGTTGACGATTCCCTACTGCACTCCAATCAACAGCTTGCCTACCTCGTAGAGATGGCTGAATGGTGTTGCGGCAAGATGATGGCAGTGCCAAACTCACCAGGTGGCAATCGTCTGATCGTTGGCAAGCATCAATTCGATATCAATCACTCTCGAGACTTGACTAGCAGCTCAGACAGTGACGACAGTTCGAGCAATGATCAACAAGCAACACCGCTGGCTCAAAACATCTCCAATGTCGTTATCAATCAACTGTCACATCAATCATTCATCAATGTCATCAAGGACTGTCTACCCTTCATTTCGTCCAAGGATATATTGGCACTGGTCGAACGTGATCCCGACTACCCCTCAAACAACAATCCGGACGCACTTCCATCCTTGGCTCTCGATAAGCTCAACGATATGAATCTCATCAGAGGCTTCTATGTGATGAAGAACATCCTACGATTCTTCCAATACCGTACTCGCGAATCAACCATCGACAAGATTGAGTTTGATGAGGTATTGGACGATGTGTTCCAGCTGCTCACCGGAATATCTCAACCAAACGTGGCCATTGGATTAGTAGAGTCTCTTTATCTTTCTATATTCCTATCAAGCAGTGATATGAAGCAGCATGACCAGACACCTATATCATCATCGACCACAACATTTCAACAAGATAGTAATGATGGACCATCCTTCGTGTATCATTCTCAACAACATTCGAACCCTTTCAATCAACCGACACAATTGGAGCAAGAGACATTGACCACCTTTGATAACTCCTATCTCCTTCAGTTGGAGTTGAAGCAGGATCACACCACCTATTACATCAACTCAAACATGATGTTGCCTCTGATCTCCACACTGTCCAAGATCATCGGGTTCATCAGCAACCAATACCCAGAGGCCACTCATCGCGATCGTATACAAGTACTAGAATCCAATCTCGTGAATCTCAAGCATCGTACCTCAGTTGCCAATTGGGTAATGACCAAGGTATGTTGATGATTATCAATGTTGTTGTATGATGAAGCAGCAGATTACTAATACGATTACCTACTAGCTTCCAAACATATCATTCATGAGATTGGTCCTGATGCCAGTTCACTCACTTCTCTCAATATGCATGCGTACCCATTATCCTCAATTCGATGATATTCTACGTCACTTCCAAGACATACCCAGTGACATCCAGACAGATGTTAGCCAGTATCACTCCATCCCCATATTGACTGATAAGCTTGCCTCATTGTCCAAGCAAAAGAGCAGTGCTGCCGATGTTGACACAGTGGTTGACTCTCAGGACCTGTTCTCAACACTCTTTGATGTTGTCATTGGATCTAGATTGGGCGATGAAGGACTGATCACCAGAGTGATTTCACTTGCCAACAACGAGTCATCACGTGATCTATCGACCGCTCGATCATTGATCGAATTGGTTCAAGTGCTTCACATCAACTATTTGGACAAGTCAATGGTACAGCTGCTTACAATGTCTGTCTCAACAGGGAATCAAGTCCCCATCGATGCCAATCAACTTTCTACATTGATAGACCGCAAGAGACTACTAGTACTCTCAATCAACAACCTTGTACAGAGTATCTCTAACAGCAACAACAACAACAACAACAACCCAATGGACAATGTGTACAATGTCATTAACAATAGCGATTATTGTGGAGGACATCATCAGTACCAACTTCTATCCACTACGCTCAAGTACATCCTGAATGTGAATAGAATTATCATGGATATGTCACCATTGGATAGCTTTGCCAAAGACAACCACAACAACAATACCAAGTACTTTGACTTAATGACACGATTCACTAATGTCAGTGGTGGTCCATCACAGATACTGGAGCATATAGTGTTTGTAGAGAAGAACTTCCCCAAAGCAGAGCGCATGGCAAAGTTTATTCAAGTGGACTTGGCCACATTCATCACATCATCCATTTCGCACACTTCACCCAAGGGACCACATGCCTCACTGTTCCAATCGACGACACCCGAGTCATCGGCCATGGACTCACCACTATACTACATCAACACAAAGCATCCCAACACTCGGTCCTTCTCAAAGCTACCCAACATTAACAACGAGGCAAACTTTGCCAATGGGCACAACTCCTCCTCCTCCTCTGCTACATACCTACTCACATCGGACCTAGTAGAGTATCTTGGCCACTCTTCAAAGCTGTTGTCATGCATTGTCTGCATGCTACAATCACCAGAGATCAACGACATTGAACCATTCCTTCGCTATGCACACGAGCAAGCCCAGTTGCTTCCTTCAAACTCCCTTCTAAACTGGATCAATGAGATACTCAAGGCCTATTCATTCTACTACCAACACTTCCAACCCAGCTCAGTTCCAGAGTTTCTTCCCCAACTTGAGCCCTATGAGTCCTCAGTCAAGCAGATGCCCGACAGTGCCACCCAGTTCAACCTGATTCAGAACTGTGAGTCAGTCCAGCAACAGCAGACATTCTTCTTCAAGATAATTCAGCACTTTGTCGACAATGGACAGTTGAGTGATGCTATCAACATTGCTGACGAGGCTCTCGAAGAAGGTGCCCCGGATTGGCTACTCAGGCTGATGGTCATGAAAGACAATACCCAGGGCTACAAGTACATTCGACGCATGAAGGACAGAGAGAAGGTACTTGGACTTGTGATGGAGTTCAACCACAACTGGGATGTGGCCACTGCCATCGATATGTTTGTCATCTGTCGCTCATTCATCAGCGCTGGCGAGCTAACAGTGAGTTCGCAACAGTTGGCAGAGATCACACATCTCCTCCAGTGTCTTCTCATTTATCAAGACATTCTCATTGCTGACAAGGCACAACGATGGCGATCCTGGCAGGAGATCAAGGACCTTTGTCGTCGTGATCCAACACGTCTGATCAGATCCCTTCTGGACAGCAAGCACTACGAGTTGGCTAGGAATGTACGAGATATATTCTCTGTTGCAAACATCCGCAATGAGATTGAAGAGAGCTACCTGTTCTATCTGTTGGTCGAGAAGGATGACACCAGTCTTGCACTGCAGACTCTATCATCGTTGGGCGTGGAGTCAATAGGTATCGCAACGATCATGATACCAAAAATTCGTAGCATCTCTCTCAAGCTGTTCCTGGTTCAGTTCCTCTTGAGCAACATGCGCAATGCTCTATCTGACAGCAAACTACAGGAACTTATCAATCAAGAGACTGGTTATAAGGTGTTGCTGGTGCTCCCCGCTGAGATGCAGAAGGAATACGAGTTCTATGTCAAGTATCCACACATTATACTAGAGATGTTGATTATGAACGAGAAGATACCGCTGGCATCCAAGCTACTTGGTGAGATAAAGGAGCTCAGGAACGATGAGATGTTGTCATTCTATGCGAGGAAGGCACTATCTTTTGCAAGGTACATGGCAAAGAATGATCTCTTGGTGGTCGACGATTATCTAAAGACATCGGGTGATGGCGTGGTATCACAACAACATGACAAGGACAAGGAGACATCAGCCAAGCCAATCAGTAGACCAACTATAGTTGTTGGTGGAGACTATAGATTCACAAAGATAGGATCACCTACTCAGGTGAAGGAAAGCCAATCCAGAACACAAAAGTGGTTACTCACTGGACATGACTCTGTCAAGGATGAGAAGACGCGTCACAACCACTTCTTTGTCCGATCACCAAGTATCAGCTTGGCCAAAAGTCTGTTTGACCTCTGTGAGTCCAAGAAGAAGGTGTACAACACATGTCTAGACCTGTACAACTATCTCTCAACCATCCTGTCATCGTCCTACTCGGATGACAACTTGTTGATCATTAATCTGATCCAACAACTATTGATGTACACCAAGCTACAGTTGCTCAGAGATCCCAAGTCGGGTGGTCCAACCTTTGTTGCCATCTGTGACACCCTGTTGGGCAAGGTAGAACTCTTTCAATCATTGGTGATTTCCAAGTGCACGGGCTCAATGACACTGGCCGACCTCTCTGATATGCAAAAGGCTAGACATCTACGTGATATGCTCATTCAAGAGGACCGTCTACGGTTGGCCATAGACGTTGCCACCAAGTGCAACATCCCTGCTGATCCAGCATGGGTCACGTGGGGAATCACACTCATTCAGCAGGGTCAGTACAATGAGGCCCGAGAGAAATTCAAGTATTGTCTCTCATCGGCAGGTGACCGACGTGTGATGTCACCCTCGACCACTCTATCACCGGACAATGTTGATAGCAGTGTAATACTCAATCAGATAATCCAACTATTAGAGACACCTCCAACTGCCAATCACATCAACCTTGGAGCACTGTACAAACATCTTATATCAACGATGCCCACACAGCAACAGGCCAACACCAAGACCGCCAACACCACAACAACAAAGATAGATGACAAGTTCTATGATTTGTTACAACCATTGTAAGTGGTACTCTGGTAAATCCTTGTAGTTTTTAACCTTACTAACACTCAATCACACCTAATAGTGTAAACGCTGGCAATGTATCACCCAACAACAACAATGAGAAATCAGCATTGTTGTCGTCGTCAAGTAACTCAATAGTCAAAGACAAACTCTATGACTCTATTCGAATTGAAGAGGCTATATACTACTTGAAGAAGTATGGCAATGGCAGGATGCATGTCAACTTCTTGATGCGACATGGAATGTTGGAGATGGCTTGTCAGACAGTCCTGAGTGACAACATATCAGCCTCTGTGTTCTTTGACGAGATTGTCATGAATGCCATAACACATGGAACACTACCAGAACTCTTCGTTGCAATCAAATCGATCGATCCCACGCTCCATTCATTCCAGGAGCATCTGATGTCCTCATGCAAGATCATGAACGAGAAGAAGTGGTACTCAATGTTGTTGGGCTTCCAACTCAAGATGGGCGACAACATCAGAGCAGGACTGACATGTGTCAAGATGTTCCTAGAGTCTTATGATGCTCCCTACACGGTCCGACTGCATCATTTGGAGGAGGCATTGAGACACTTCCATGATGGTCACACTCAAAAGGGTGTTCTGCCAGAGATTGAGATCAAGAAGTATCTACAAAAGATAACGACACAGATCGAGGTGTCCAAGTTCCTCTACTCCCAGAAGAACATATCGGGCAGTGGTGTACACAAGCTCAGTGTGTTTGGTTCGACCAAAGAGAAGATGGATTTGGCAGAGGTTATCACAGTGCACAACAACTTTGACCTCGGCTTCAAGATATCAATGGAGTACAAGCTGCCACTGACCACAGTTTACACCAGTGCCCTATCGACTATGGCCAGAAAGAAGAACATTGCCAAGACAGAGGAGGTGTTGAACAATCTGAGGAACTTTATCGATCCCTCCGACTGGGATGCCATCGCAATGACCATCATAGAGATACTATGTGTAGAGCTGAAGGAGTTGAAGAGTGCAGAGAAGTTCATCCCTAAACTCCACTCACCCAGGAATAGTATCAGAGTGAGCATCATGTGCAACAAGTTGAAATCAGCATATCTCAGTGCTGTTCAGCTACAGGATAAGGACCTGATCGTGATGGTGATGGAAGAGGCTCAACGTACCAATCAACTCGTCATTTACAAATGGTGCCAAGAGGTTTTGGGTGGCGGTGCTCAGGCGATCTGAGCCTAAATCAATACAAAACAAGGCTTACCGACCCTTTTTTTAAAATCTGTTCAAGGTTGATCAAACTCTCTTCGTTGGCGTTTGTAATTGATGGTGTAAGTTTGTAAAATGGCCTCGTATATGTAATAATTATCACTATCTAAAAAGTAATTAAATCCTAGTCAATTATTACTTTTCCATATCGAATTTTATATTACAAATAGAATTATCTAAACAAAAATGGCTGCTGTAGCTGCTTTTATGTCTGACTTTGTTTCTGCTATCCAGGCTATCGCTCATCCCACCGACTGGAATGCCAAAGAGATGAACACCATTATGCCCCAATCCTGGAATGACGGACATTCAAGAGGACAAACCAGATTTGTCCTTATCACACCTTCTGATGGTTATGAGCGTTCAATCAAGATTGATGTTGGTCTAAATCACTACAATGTTACTTGCGGTGGAAAGTCTGGTACCAACCGTCTATTGCAAAAGGGAGGTTCAGTCCACTGGAGCCAAGTGATAGTTGACAACAGTACAGGCCCCGATGTAGTCCTTACTTTTAGTAGAGACGGTGTAATTGGTATTCCTCCGGTTCCCTACTCCCAAAAGATTGGAACCATCAATGCCAAGGCGTTGGGTATTGCCGGAAAGACTATCTTTGTCTTTTGGCCTAACCTTGGAACACCAGACTACTTCAACAATCCAGACCACAGACTTACTCCATACTCTATGGGCTTCAAGACTTTATAATAAACTTGAACAACTACAAACTGTTGTGTTGTTTATTCAAAGACTTTGCAATCAACCGAGCAACATTCTTGCTTGCCAACACCTCTGTCTCCATGGTTGAGCAGGCATGCTCAAAGGCATTGACATAGTACAACTCGTTGTCAAGTTTGATTGGTGGGAACACAGAGGTAGGCCTAAGCACTGGATATGCTTTCCATTCATGTTTAACATGAAGCGTATGGTTGATAAATAGGCTTGAAAAAACACTATCATCAATTGAATTCCTTGAGAATACTTTGTATACCTGTCGTCCATCTTCACATTTTCCCTATGAATAAATATCAGATGTTAATATATACCTTGAATAAAACAATATGTCAAAGATTTCTATCTACGTACAGCTGGGTTCTTTGCCGCTACAAAGAAAGGAATACTGGAGTTGTGTGAGGTCAGGACATTTTGGATATTGGCACCTATTGGTTGATTGATATAGTTTTGATTGATAGAGTTGGCGCCAATCAGATAGGTGTGAACAGTTTGGAATTGGAAAGAGGGAATCCTGTCGGCCAGAGTAGGGTCCATGTTCTCCAAATGAATCTTTGACAATTCCAGTGGTGCTGCGATGATCACAGTGTCAAACTCATACGTCTGTTGTCCATTGCTGTCGTCAACTCCAATCTCAAAGATGCTTGATGGAGAATTCTCATTATTGTCTGATGCTTGGTCAACCTTTTTGATATACTTTACATTTCTCTGTAATACAGCTGCCTTTGACCTCTAAGTAAAATGGAGATATTGTTGTTGTCAATACGGATTGAAGATGGAGGAGTGTACAATAGTACTATATGACTCACCTCTAAGAGTGTCTTAGAAAGTAGATAGTTTCCACCCTTGATACTGTAGAGTCCATCCTCAGAGCCAACAAGAGCAATCATAGCAGCGAATGCAGCTATTTTGTCATAGTCTTGGTTGTAGTTGACTCTGATGGCAGCTGACAGAATATTTTCCACGAATGGCTTGCCAATGCCCGCTGTAGTGAAGTACTCCTCGGCAGTCACACTAGTTATATTGGGTAGACCAATACGAGTAAAGAACTCCTCAACACTATTGAATGGCTCATTATCCTTATAGCTTGAAAGGAATCTCTCCACAACATTGTTACGTAGTCCTATAAGGAATATTATTAGACATATCTGTTAGTTATTACTAAAATAATATGATCAAACTCTGTCGTCTTACCATTAAAAGTTATTGGGTCTAAATGATAAGTGTAGAGTAACTTTAGGACGTCAATGAATGAAAACAATGAACTCTGTTGGAATACAATATCATGACCATTCCATATGGCGAATGTCTCACCGTCCTCGACACGCACAGTCTCCAAATGAAGTTCCTTCACCAGGTTATTAATATGGTCGTTGACTGGATGGATGATACTGCCGCCAAGCTCTGCACTCTTGCCTGCACACACGTTGACTGAACGAGTGCGTCCTCCAACGCTTTCCTTCTCAAACAGGGTGATCTCAGCATCGGTACCAAGGAGTTTGTGCAGGAAGTAGGCACTGCTTGTTCCACCTACTCCACCACCAACGATTGCAATCCTCCTCGACTTTAGATCACCTTGCTTTAGGAAACGTCTCACTCTTGCGTCATGATCATCATGTGGATGTTGATGAACATGCAAGTTAGGTGTTATCGGTTTGATATCATCTTGATTGACAGCTCCAACTACTAGACAATGACTACAAATGATAACTACCACTACGACTACTAATGATAATAGATTCTTTATCGTAAACATTATTATTTATCTCTATCTGTATTTCTACTGAATGATTGTTTATTTGATTTAGCTTCAATCATGGTTGGGCGCATGGAACAGTTTTATAAAACTGTATTTGTGTTTCATTACAGGATGAGGTGTTGTTGAATGACTGAATCAATCAGTTGTGACTGCCTTGGCAAGGTTTTTCTATTGTTGAGGAAGAGAGAGAGAGATATTAGTAACTTGGTTATAATAATAAAGATAGATATAGTTGTGGGACAACTTACGGGTCTGTCTGGATCAATTCCCTTGAGGATTGCAATTTCATAGGCAATAAGTTGAAGAGGGATAGCTGCCAACAATGATGTAAGCACGCCATTGCTTGGGATGACGACAACCTCGTCACCAACGTGCTTGGCCAACGAGGCATTGTTGGTGATGACGATGGTGTAGGCACCACGTGCCTTGACCTCTTCACCGGCCACTCTCATCAATTGGGCATGAGCATCGTCCAGAATGATCAGTACGATGGGTGTTCCATTCTCAATGAGTGCGAATGGTCCGTGCTTGAGTGCACCACCAGAGTATCCTTCGGCATGGATGTAGGTGATCTCCTTGATCTTGAGGGCACCCTCGTAGGCGATGGGCTCAGAAAGTCCCTTGCCAAGTACAAACATGCTCTGCTTCTGGTAGATCTTCTTGGCAATATTCTGACAGCGGTCACGGACACGCAGCACCATGCCCATGTTGGTTGGTAGACGATGGAGTGCCTCAATGAGGTGGCGACGCTTGCCCTCCTCCAGGCCACGGTTCTGGGCGAACCAGTTGGCAATCAGAGAGAGTACAGTGACCTGAGAGGTGAAGGCCTTGGTGGATGCCACGGCATGCTCACGTCCTGCATTAAGGTAGACACCACAGATGGCACCACGGGCAATAAGAGATCCGACGGCATTAACCACAGAGAAACATGGAGTGTTGCATTCACCTGCCAGGTTCATTACACGATGAACGTCCTTGGTCTCACCACTCTGTGAGATCATCAGAATGCCAGCTGCGCTATGTGGTAGATTCTCACGTGATACCTCGGCCGAGTCATAGCTTTGAACAGTGTCAAATGCTCCAAGATATCTCATAATCTTGGCTCCAAGCTGTGCTGCAAAATAGGAAGTACCACAGCCAGTGATGATGAGATTCTTGATGGGCAGAAGAAGCTCCTTGGCCTCCTCCAGACCACCGAGCTTAACGCGAGATTCGTCAGAGATACGTCCACCATAGTTAAGGGCACGCGAGATAGACATTGGTTGCTCCATAATCTCCTTGATCGTCCAGTGTGGATAGGGCTCTGGGGAGAGTTGGATATTCTCATGGGCGGCCAATTCGATACGTGATATGTCCAGTGAGTGACCATCGGCACGAAGAACGGCAATCTCACCATTCTCCATGGAGATGAACTCCTTTGTGTGTCTGGCAAAGGCACCGGCCTCAGAGGCAATGAACATGCGGTCCTTGCCAATACCGATTAACAGTGGACTTCCATTCTTTAGAGCAATGAGTTGATCAGGTGCATCCTTGCTGACGACTGCCACTCCCCATGTACCCTGCAGTCTCTTTTGAGTCTCTTTGACAGCCTCAATCACTGGGAAGCCTTGATCTATATAAATACCAATCTAGATGGTGTCGTTTGATGGATCAGTCAGTAAAGAGGGAACACTGGACAATGTATCTATTCAAAAACAAAACAAACAAACATACCAACTGAGCAATAACTTCAGTATCAGTCTCTGATCTGAACACGATTCCCTTCTTCTCCAACTCCTCTCTCAAAGCAGAAGAGTTCTCAATGACACCGTTGTGTACAACTGCCACACGGTTCTTATCGTCGTGATGTGGATGCGCATTCTTGTCAGTCTTGCCACCATGAGTGGCCCATCTTGTGTGAGCAATACCAATTACATGTCCTTTATGCAACTATTTTGAATGGTAAGTATTGGTATATATATCAAACCATCTTTCCACCTTTGGTACATACATGGGTAACTGACTTTAGACGTGAGATAGCATCACTGGTCGTATTTAAACTGGCATACTTTGATGTGACCAACTCGTTGTTGGCTGAGATTGTTGTTACACCGGCAGAGTCATATCCACGATTCTCCAGAATGGACAGACCTTCAATCAAATAGTTGATTGCCTCCTCCTTTCCAACGAATCCAATGATGCCACAAGTATCAACACTCTCCAACATATTCTGCTGGTGGTGCAAATGTCCTTGTGTCACCTGCAATCTGCGCAAAGTTGTCAATGATTGTTCCATTCTCTATGAATATTATTATTGCTCAAGAGGAAGTATATATTGTTTGTTTGTAGTGAGGATAGGGAAAATGTGAATGAAGAATGGTGAAGTTGTTTGTTTGGTCAGGAGGTGATCAAATGCAAATGTGTGAATGTGTGTGTGATATATGTATGTGTGTGTGTGTGTGTGTGTTAGTTTATATATGTATGGATATATGTGACTATGTATGAATGTATGATTGTTCAGAATGAATAGTGTAAGTGGAGGTGTAAGATCACTTCTCAGGCGGTGATCATAATAGAATTTATTTTTGTGTAAACAAACACGTGGTTGAGGGGGATGACCTGAAGATTGGCGACTGTTTTGTGTGAATCGTTCGGGTGGGTCACCGGGTCATGAGTCAATGCCTGAGTGAATCATTCATTCAATATTTGAATCTCTTTTTGAATCTGTCTAATGCTTCGTCATCCGTTGCCTTGTTGCTGTTTGCTTTGGATTCTCTATATGTACTGACTGTTGTCATCAAGACCAAAGGTATAAAAAAGGTTAGGTACCTGCTCATTTAGATAGACAGACAATGAGTCAACTCACATCGGTTATGTAGCTGTATTGATGGGGCTGATTGGGTCGTATCCTGCTGTTGGTGCCTTGCCTGCTTCTTATCTTTTGATGGAAATCTATTTCTGCAATGAATTGAAAGGGGTCGGTGAGTCAGAAGGAGGGACGACATTTAGAGATATATGCCATGGTTTGTATCATACTCATTGATTGATTGTCTGGCTTCTTCAGTTTCTATGATATTCTTGACCTTAAATGTCTGTGGCAGTGCGACCTCTGAGATGCCAGCCACCCAGTTTGTCTTGTCCTCTTCCTTTTTTCTGCCACCATACACTTTGAGATAGTCTGGTGTCTGATACAATGTATCTTTTAAAGATTGATGCTCTATAATAGCCTGTTGTTTTCCATCCACCTCTTGTTGTTGTTGTTTTTGATTATCGTTTTGTTCTTGTTGCAGTGCAACACCACTTAAGCCTGGTCTGAGTACACTGTTGATCATTGCTGTTCTCTGAGCCTGTAACTCCTCCTTCGTCTTTTTCATTTCTTCCTGTATATACTTCTCCCTAAAGCGAGAAAGAGAGATTGTCAGACGTCAGTTCTGCCTACTGTATTGAGGTCTTTACCTACATATGATGGTTCACATCAGTTCTCTCACGATGCTCAGTGAATGAATCGTCCAGTTTGCTACCAAGCTCTCTTAGATGTGCCTTTAGGTGAGGGCCCTCTGCCAATACACCTACATTGACACCTTTACCTTTTGCTCTCATCTTTTGTTTCTCTTTCGTAGCTTCAAGTATATCCAGCAGTGAGATGTTATTATTATTATTATCCTCCTTTTGTTGTATGTCACTCTCAATTGGTACTACTGGATCGTCCTGTTGTTGCTTCTCTTGATCATTATTATTATCATCATTGGTTGTCTTCTTCCTATATGATCTCTTCTTTGTCTGTTGTTTTTGTGTTTGGATCACCGTCGTCTCGACAGTTGATGATGTATCTATCTGTTTGTTGTCATTGGTGTTGTTTCTAGAAGTAGTTACTTGTTGTTGTTGTTGTTGTTGATCATCATCGTCAATGTTATTATTATTATTGTTGTTGTTGACTACTTCTTCACTCATTCTTTTGTCTATTGAATTGTATTTTAGTTGTTGCAATTGAAGATTTTGTTAGTTTTATATCTGTCTGTTGTTTGTTTATTATTTATCAATTATATATATATAAATATATTTGTTGCAGTTGAAATTCAGTGAATTGATCTCAATCAATCGCTACTGCTACTGTCATCATCGGCATCATCATCATTATTGTTCAATTGATGACGCATGTCTGATCTCTCCTCGAGAAGCACATGGTGTGGGACATCCTTGGCCTCACGACTCTTAATGAAACAGAAGATGGCCACTCCAATGAACATGGTGCTCAGTGTGCACACTGCGATGATGATGGCAATCACTCGAGTGGACAAGCCCTGGTTGAAAATGCTTGGACTCTCCTTGGTGGCGTTGTAACACACCTGTGCCCACTGTGGTCCTGCCAGAGTGTTGTGGAACTGAAGGAACTCCCAAGTCTCAAAGTACTTCTTCTTGTCGTTGTTCTCCTCGTGGCTAATGCCCATTGGTACACGTTGGCTCTGGGCGTTGGATGGGAACTGCCAGCCATATGGATACCAGAACATGGAGACAAAGTTGTCAGTGCCACTGCCATCGGTGGTCCAGTTCTCTGCTGGGATACCGCTGAGATAGGAGTACATTGGGTTGAGCTTGGCGGACTTTAGGTAGGATGTCTGATTGTAGATCACTCTGGACAATATGGTTCCTTCACCTAGAGGGTTCAGCTTGAGTGGAGTGTTCACCAGATGGAAGGGATTGCCGTTGAGTGAGTAGAAGCTCATTCCAATGCCCATGTTGTGCAGGTAGCAGAAGGTGAAGTTGTTCGAGGTACCATCGGGATAGTACACCTTGAAGAACTCGGCCAACGTGTTGACGTCGTACTCCCATTGTATCAATGTCCTTCTGGAAGAGTAGGCGTGATCGGCAGAGTAACTCTTTTGATTGATCTCAACAAGGGCAGAGAAGGAAGAGGCCAACAGTGGTTGGTGTGTCTCCTTCAACAGTGGTGGAAGTGTGAACGTTCTCTCTGGCAGGTAGTTGGTGAGAGGCACAGCAGAGTCATTGCTGGCAACACAGTTGGAGGTTTGGGGTGTTGGAAGGGAGCTGAGGTTCTGGGCCACGGGGTTGAAGGAGATCCACTCCAGTGAGATGGTGAATGTGTTGATCAGTACGTCAGCGTCCATCACAAAGTACTCAGTCTCCACTCTGAAGGGCACCCAACCAGAATCAGCCACACGCCAATAGTACTTGTAGTTGGCATTGGCCAACATGGTCTTGTTGTGTGCCACATCAAAGTAGGGAAGGCCCTTGGTAGTGGTGGACCAGATTGATGTGTTGTAGTTCTGATAGATGATATGGTTGCCGTACAAGGTCATTGGTCCCATCTTTGGGTGTGGTTGAAGATAGTTGACGGATGGCGCACTGGAAGGTTGGAGTGATCCAGTCAGAGAGCTGATGTTGTAGGTGGTGCATGACGACGTAGCGGCACCATTCATGATACTGAATGTGTTGTCAGTGTAGTTGACCAAACCAATATCACTTGGCCCGGCAAACTTGCCCACCGTGTAGTAGAAGCCCTGGACGGCATCAAAGCTCTCGTTGTAGTAGTAGGAGGCACCAACATCTCCATAGTTTGCAAACACTGTTGCGTTGTACTGTGCTGGGATTTTTGGATAGCAGGATTGACCATCCAGGCTGTAGTAGGACTTGGGTACGCTCTCTGGGGTGAACAGGTAAAAGTCCCAACGATCCACACCAGTTTCATTATCAGCCTGGTAGGTGGACTCAATGGCTAAGGGGATTCTCGAATCAGAGTTGATTCCGTAGCTTCCTGGGAACTTCCAGCCTGGTGCTACCATCTTCATGATGACAGTGTAGTTGTAGGGCAAGGTAATTCCATCGGGACTGGCATTGATGGTGGCATTGTATATGTCAACATCGATGGAGCGGTGGGTGGAGCGGCCGACCAAAGTCCATGGTAGAGCTGGCAGGTGTTGCTGGGCCAATATACGGTAGATGGGGAAACGTCTAGGATCATTGGTGAATGGGTTGGACACTGGAGAGATGCACTGAAGCGAGAAGGAGTTGATGGAGAAGTTGGACAGGGTGTCAGCATCAAGGATGGTGATGGTATCTCCGCCAGATTCGTTGTCTTGCTCAATTGTTTGGTAACGTGCATCCATGCTCCAGAAAATAGAGTTGACAGGACGGTGGTTCATCTCCTCCTCAAGCAACAAACTGAATGCTGGCGAGATATTGTCCACTGTGGTTGGTGATTGGCCGAGGTTCTTGGACTTTGGCAAGAGGAATGGATTGGTAAAGTCTGAGGCTGTGCAGTGGCTTGGCGGAGTGAAGATGGAGCTCTGCTGGTCGGTGGTGGTCACCCAGTCGATCCAGTCGATGGAGAATAGACTGCTGATCGGTTGATCTTCGGAAGAGGTTACTGACGAGATGAAGATACGAATAGGGACTTTGGCAGCGCTATCTAGGTACACGTATTTGGTATTGTTGTTGGTGGTGGTCACATCCTTGGTCTGCATGAACAACAACTTTGAATCGAGGGCCAGTTGCTTAAGTTCGTTGGGATTGTCAACAACAAAGATACAGGTGGACTTGGTGATGTCGGTGGCGTTGGAGAAGGTGCACGACACCTGATCCATGTTGGTGATCGTACATATGGCAGAGATATTGGCAGTGTCATCAGTGGGCAACAATTTGGCACCTGGGAAACATGTAGTGTTGAACTGGTTGGCAGCGGTAACATTAACTTTTCCATTGATGCTCACACCAGATATGATGGATGAACTAGTTGATGTCACTTTAGTGGTTGTGAACAATGTACAATTAATTCCACGATCAATGGTTGTATAGTCTATAGTGAGTGAATTAGATATATTTGGTTAGTCAATCGAGTGTTGGACCAACAGCTGTTTGGTACGGCTTACTTTGGAAGGAGGGGATGTTGTCCGAGGACTCAGTAAGATTGAGTAGTATTGGAATGAGGAGATAGGAAGGGTTAAAGAGAGCCTCGTTGATCGAGTTGAATTGATTGCAGATCCTGTCATCTCTTGCGTTGTACTGGTAGATGACCTGACGTGACAGATCGACAATGGTGACATTGCCAGACTCGAACCTTGTCATGTTGATCTTGGCGTTGGTGTATTCCTTGTGGGCCACAGTGAAACCATTTTCATAGTTGTTGTAGGAGATAAATGTCGAGTAGGTTGTTGGAAATGATCGTGGAAAGTTGGGTGTCTCACTTCCAAAAGTCACAACACCCATCACAATAACAACATAACAAACTAGACTAACAATAATAGTTGCTGTCTTTGCCATTGTTGTAAAAGAACAAACTCAAATTATATATTTTGTAATAATGGAGTATTATATATATATAAAGTAAGTTATAAGATGTATATATAGTATATTTATATTCTGGATGATTGAAATTACAATTGAACAACTTGTGGTATACTATATATTCGTAGTAAGGTAGGAAGAGTACTCTGCCACCTGACTGTTAGAGTATCCTTGGTGACTGCCTGCCTGCCTGTCTGACTGCCTGCCTGCCTACCACAGAGAATTAAACAGAAGGCCTTTAAGAGGTGGTGACATGATTGTTGTTGATGTTGGAGTAGCTCAACCCTGATGCTGTGAGGCCAATACAAGTCTCCTAGGAGACTGGAGGTGTGCGAAAAACTCACACATAGTATATATGTATGTATGTGTGTGTGTGTGTATGTGTGGTGTGTGTGTGTGTGTGTATGTGTATGTGTATGTGCACTGGTGTATGTGTGTATGTGAGATGACCTTTACTTCGATCAATATCTGTTGTTGGTGGCTGGTACCCAACAAGTTGACTTTGATTTTCTAATCGGAAAAAAAAACTAGACGATCATCAAGGTTATTTTATTTGAAAAAATGTAAAATAATCAAAAAAAATCAGTCTTTTTGAATATAGAATAGGTATTATGTATGTTTCAAACAAAACAAAAAAGAGTAGCATTGAGTACATATTTTACTTATTTTTCTAAAAGCTGTAATAATAATAATAACAAATAATCAGTTGTAATAGTAGTAGTAGGATTCACACACATTTCAAAACAATGTCGTGGCTCAACAACGTACCAAACAAACAAACATCACCAACCTTCCTTCAAAAGAAGAAGACGAATTCAATTATCATTGGATCACCTCTTTCTAGAGGTACCATCGAGACCAACAACACCGAACTTTTAGTTGGTTTCTCTCAGCAGCAGCAGCAACAACACCCAATGGAGTATTTTTTGGAATCTTTATTGGACGAGTTGCCATCTGTTGACACCGAACAGCAGCTGGACTTTGGCTCAATGCTGGACAGGAAGTTGTATCTTGATGTTCTGTACCAAGCAATCGTGGACAGTTCTTTATCCGTCGATTTGTTGGACCAACAATTGAGTATGATGATGCCAACAACACCATCTTATCATTATCAACCCAAACAACATCAACATCAACAACAACAACCACAACAATTGAGAGATGCACCACTCATCAGAATGTCAGAGGAATCAATCATACACGCATCCAATGACATCAAAGAGACAACACCAATCAAGGCCCCACTCGATCGTCTCAGCATTGAGCTCATCACACCAGTGGTCGCAAACGAGTCAACGATTAATGATGTCTCCAGCTCAGTCAGCAATGTTGTTGCCATCCAACCACAAGTACCGATTCCGTCATCCTCATCAAAGAATATTCCACCACTGTCCTCATCTCCCTCCTCATCAGCGTTCAGACCCATTGCCGTTCAAACAAAGAGGGCTGCCTCCCCTCACGCCATGTCACCGACCATAAGCGGCAGGTCGACACCTTCACCAAAGATGCTCCCTTCCTCTGTCAATCCAAGGTCCTCTCCGTCCCTACTGAGTTTGTCCAGTGGTGGTGGTGGTGCACCACACAACCGAGTTGAGGCCAGTCCATCGCCACCACCACTCCCTGGTGTCGTCAATAGACGTCTGGAGCAATTGGAGAGCGAGTTGGCACCACCATCGCATCTCCACACAAAATTGCATCAACTACGTTCATCAGCAGGAAGCTCATCAAGTATCTTGGATGTAAATCAATTCAACATGGACATTGAGAGAGCATTGTTGGATATTGAGTCATCTTGTAAACTAGATGATGAATCACAACAACCAGAGGGAACAGCCGTAGCTTTGGATCAGTATGATGATGTAGTTGTTGATGATGCCGAATATCATTACAATGAACAAGATACAAAGCAACAACAACAACAACAAACAATTATAACAAACATTCAACAGGAGAAACCAAAGCGGATGGCCTCACCTGTTACACCACCCCCAGAATCTGTACCAACACATCATCACTCTCCTCCTACACGAGTGGAATCAAAAGAGTTCACTTTGGAGGATCTCATATCAAGGTACTCACGCGGTCATCAACTGCCAGTAGCGACCAACAACAAATCACAACCAATGACAATAGAGGCAACATTGGAGGATGTTCAAATCAACACAAAGATTGGTGGTGCATCAGGAGTCAACGGAACACTGGGCCATTGTCTCACTGGAATGGCATGGTCAAAGCCTGTCATCTTCAAGATGATGAATGTTGGCAGTGGACTGACCGTTGCAATGGTCAAACAGATCAAAGATGAAGTCACCAAACTCAAGGAGCTCCGTCACGAGAACATACTACCTATTTTTGGAGTATATCACGATGCAACAAACATCTATTTGATCACACCATTTGTGGAGGCTGTCAGTCTGGACCACATCCTGCTCACTGAGGAATTCAAGATCAGTCATGACTTTATTACACGTGTCGCCAGTGGCATAGCAAAGGCTATGTGCTTCTTACATCAGCACAACATCACACATCGTTCACTCTCTCCAGCGAACGTGCTGGTGGATAAGACTGGTGGAGTAGTTCTTCGTGACTATGCCTTCACCTCGATCAAAGACAATGTATATCAATCATCTTGTGCAGATTATATTGCACCAGAGATAATCAGCAGTCATTGCGCCAAGTACAACCAAACATGCGATCAATACTCCTTTGCTCTGATAATGTGGCAACTATTCCAGCGACAGCAACCTTTTGGAGGCAACCCTACCAACATTGTCGATATGTTGGCCGCTGGTTTCCGTCCATCCATACCAGCCAACTTTCCCTCGGTCTTTGACAAACTGATTCGCGCCTGTTGGCACCAAGACACAACAGCCAGACCAAACTTCTTCACGATTGCAAAGATCCTCAACCAGCCTACCAACAGACTTTTCAGTGTTATCACCAAAGAGACACAACCAACAACCCAGCGTATCATTCAATCACCACAGACAACTCAACCAACTCTGGTCAACGTTGTATCACCACCACCGTCAACGTCTCCTCCAGTCACTTCTCCATTGGCAACTGTTTCCTCACCAATTGCCAAGTCATCAACGCCGTTGCAATCTGTATCATCGCCAGCAACACCATTAGCAGCCACACAGAAGGCAGCTGCCAAATCAACTACCCAAGCTGCGACAACCTCTGCAGTAGTCGCCAATGACAGATCGAAGCGACAATTCCACCAGACTGGCGAGCTGCAGGAGAAGATGAGACTGGTGCTCGAAAAGATATCAAAAATGTTGGACGATATTTCCAATTTGGAACAACCTCTCCAAGCATTGGAGAAGCTCTCAAGTGAACATGACAACCTAAAGCATATGACATCCACTCGTCTGGTGCATCAGATTCTCAAACTTCTCGGAAATGGAAGCGAGGCTCATCACGAACTCAACTCACTTCTACGTGTCCTGTGCCAAATGTGCATCAATGACGAGCTATCCAATGATTTCGTTGCCCAAGGTGGACTGATCAAAGTGATCCGTCTGATGAACTCAACCAATGTTTCTATATCGATACAAGCAACCAAGCTACTTACGGCACTGGCTGATGGTAAGTTTATAGTGGACGTTCAACAACAACAACAACAACAACAATCTCTAACCTATTACCACTTCCACGAGCAGAACAGAACTTGGAGCAAATTCGAACAGTTGGTGGCCTGAAGGTTTTGTTCATTACTCTCCAATCAAGCAACGAGTTTCTACAAATGCAAGCGGTATGGGCAGCGTCACGAGTACTCATCGAGGAGAATAACCAGAGCTACTTTATCCAATGTGGAGGTGTCCAGATGTTGTTAAATATGCTCAACTCTACCAACCAGGGCCTCTCTATCCGTGCCTTATTGGCATTGTGCTGTTTAATTACTAATGGTAATTATGAATTATATATATATATATTGTTCATCTAACTAACTAAACATACACACATTCAAACAGATCAATGTCAGAAACAGTTATTGGAAGCTGGTATACTGAGCAAGCTTATGGGATTGCTTATCTCTAGTTCCAAACTTTTGAGACTTCATGCTCTAAAGATCATTCAGAACATTGGAAATGACGCCAGATTTAGATCGTTGTTGTTGGCAGAGAACAAGATCACTCAGATAGCTGATCTATTGTCCACATGCTCCAACAATGATGAATCAAAGAGTGTCCTAGACTGTTTGGTCATTCTGTTGAAGGAGGAAACCATACTTGAGCAATTCTATAATTGCATTGGAGCAATTGAGAACATCCTTTCACTCTTTATCAGGAACCAATCAACTGATCTCTTGCTTTCAACATTGAGCGTTCTATACATAGTCATTGAACATGGTAAGTCAGTCGGCATGACTCTGGTCATGGTCCACAAGTGGAGATTCTAATACTTGTTATACTCCATATTTTAGAACCCTCACGTCTAAAGTCGAGAAGAATCATTCCATTCCTTGTGGACTTGGTGTCACAGAAGGACACTGATGCCTCTGTAGTCATTCAATCACTTCACTGTCTGACCTCATTCTCAACACATGCAAGTTGTACATCGATCATCCAAAAGACCAACATTGTTTTTGTTGTAAGCAGTCTACTGTTTAATAGTGTTGACGATAAGGTCAAGGTACACTGTCTTCAGTTAATATCATCTTTGGCAAAGATTGGCAACACATTTGCCATCTCTCTCGCTCAGAGCTCTATTCCCAACACCTTGGTACAACTGCTTACAGCAACAAAGGAGGATTCAATCGTTAGACAGCAAGTAATCACTGCTATTTCATGGATGTCATCGTCCAGTAAGTGTCTTTCAGGTAATAGTGACTCGACTGATTGCAATACTGACAAACATGTTTCTTTAGTTGAATGCAGAACAATACTTGCAAAGTTGGACTCTCTATTATACCTTTTACAATTCACAGAGCAACAACAACCCAATCAAGAGATTGTAGAGAGAATACTGTGGGCATTGTCATTCTTTTCCCTCGACCAGTCTTGCCAACAACAGATCAGATCCTCAAAGATGGGCTTCCAGTTCATCGTCACCTGTCTGGGTCGTGACGAAGAGATCACCCGAACATTGGCCATCAAGACAGTTTTGATCTTGTCTGGCAAGGAGAACAGAAAGCACTTAAAGGATGCCGGTGCCATTCCATACCTCACGCGACTGGCAACATCCAACCACAGGCCTCTACAGCTTGCCTCTGCCAAGGTGTTGTCGCTATTGTTGGAGCAATAAATGACCATGATATAGATCGATTGATGATTACAAGCAGTAGTATACTGTTCAGGTTTATATCAGTATCAAAGTGCAGTTCCTCTTTCCAGATTCTGTCTTGTCTCCAGAGTGTATGGATCGAATGCTCTGGCTGCCTTTTGATTAAAGATTCTGTTCTTCTCGTTGACCCAACTGACATCTTCGTCAGGGTTGATTCCTTGCTTCTTGAAACTCTTTGACCGTGCTTGTTGACTGGAGATGGTTCGGGTATATTGTTAGCTTATTCCTCCTCTCTCGATGATTATAACACATACTGTTTCAGTAGTTCTTGTTTCATCGCATTGATATTCTGTTGTGGTACTGTTGAACTCTTTCCATAGTCAGCCTCGCTGATAACCTTGTCATCTTCACCAATCGGTTTGAAATGTTCAGAACTCTTAAATGCTTTGATGTCTTTCACTCTCTTCTTGTATGAATTGTAAACGTGTCTATCAAATTCTATTCAATATGGTATCAACTCCAATGTTAGCCCATCATCTTGTGACTGGTTGTCAACAAAGTGTCTTACAACTTACGTGAGTCCTTAATAGAACGAACGTCATTCTTTCGCTTCTTCTCTTTGCTTTCTATCTCTGATGCCATGACATTCTTGAGTGTCTCACGTTGGGGATCACCACCTGCCTTCTTTATCTCTTCCTCCTCCTGCCTCTTCTTCTCAATGTACAACTGTTTCTTTTCCTCTGACTCGCTTGTTGGTCCGTTATGTACTCGTTTGTGTTCATCAACAACGACACTGTATATATTCCTCTTTGAATCATTCTAGAATGACAAAATGGTTAGGATATCTCATTCTCTCTCTTTCTCTCAATCAATACAACACATACCATCTTCTTCTTCAAGTCCAATATCTTTTGTTGACTTGGTTTTGATTGCTGCTCTTGCTTGTCTTTAGAGAACTTGGGACCTTTTGCTTTAGCAAAGGTAGCTCTCTCATTCTCCTCTGTGTAGTCAAATGCTACAGCATTGTATCTCTTATCCTCTTGGTACTCTTCATTCTTTCGATCAAATGTGTCCAACTCCTCCTTTAACGATTCTATTGTCTCATAATCTTTATGTTCAGTGGTACTCATTTGTTTATCTATCTTTTCTGTCTATCTGTCTTTAATCAACAACAACAACAATACTATCAAATGAATGTTCTTTTTGGGTGGGTGATCATCTGACTAACATTCACGAATGAAAGTTAGTAGAGATAGGTAGTTTATGAAGTTTGAAGAAGAAAGAAAGGAATCATCGATTTACAACAACTTCACATATCTGAGGCCTGTAGCAGCTACAACACGAGTGATGGAGATTGACCTGCTACTGGTCATGTAGGTTCGATCATATTGGCGTCTACCAACATTGTCCACCTGCTTAAGGAAGAAAGATCCTGGGAATAGGGTGGAGGTACAATCAGAGGGCGTGTAGTTCTTTAGATTGTGGCGTTGCTCACGCAGGGACAGCTTGGCGGTGAACTCCTCCGGTGTGACACGTTGGCGACTCTCCAAACGGTTCTTCAGGTCGACCTTCTCTACGATCTCTTCGATTGACTTATCAACTTTGAAAGAGAATGCAGAGGCAGACAGGCCCGATCCGTAGGAAAAGGTCAGCACACGCTTGCCCACCAGTTCGTCCCTCTTCTCTGAGAACAAAGAAAGAAGTCCACTGTAGGTGGAACCACAGTAGGTGTTGCCAAGTTGTTTGGCCAAAGCAGTGGATGGAGCAACCTTGTTGGCGTAGGTCTCTTTGGTTAGGCTGAGCAGTGCCTTCTCGAGGTCAGAGTTAAAGTAGGTGTCCTCTGGCTTGAGTTGTCGGTAGGACTCTAAGGTCTTGAACTTCTCGTCGGTTGGATTCTTTAAGAAGTCATTGTACAACTATTTGTGGATATATATATATATAAGTACATGATTAATATATATATCGATCACACTTGTTACAACATGTATTATCCTCAACTTACCATTCTACCAAAGGACTTTTGAACAAGTTTGTTGTATGGAGAGTGGAACACGGCATAGTCAACCTTGGAGAGGTCAAATGGTTGACCAAACTTCTTCTCAAACTGAGATCGGTAGCGAGAGTAGCAGTTGTCAATGGCACGGAGGTAGCAGGAGATTGACAGCTTTCCATCAACTCTTGGATACTCAGACTCCATATCTGGCTTGTAAAAGTCATAGACATTCTCCATGTGCACTCCTCTTAGACCACTGTCAAAGGTGATGGGAGCGTTTGGTCCAATGAGCATGGCTACGACACCAGCACCACCAGTTGGACGTGCGGGACCCTTCTCGTAGACAGCAATGTCTCCTGCAACGACAATGGCATTTCGACCATCCCAGTAGGTGGACTCGATCCACTGCACGGCATTGTGCAGGGCAGAAGTACCTCCGTAGCAGGCGTTGATCGTGTCAATACCGTCGATGGAAGTGTTGCCACTGCTGGCAAATAGATCCATTAAGACGGTTTTGATGGACTTGGCCTTGTCGATAACGGTCTCGGTACCAACCTCGAGTCTGCCAACAGAGTGTGGATCTACGTCGTACTTGACCATCAGATTGTTGACGGCATTCAGACAGAGAGAGTAGATGTCCTCTCGGTCACCACAGAAGGCCATGTTGGTTTGTCCTAGTCCAACAGTGTACTTTCCAGCGGATACACCATCGAACTTCTCAAGGTCCTCTTGGGCAACGTATGTCTTGGGGAAGTAGACGTCAATGGCAAGAATGCCAATATTGTTTGGTTTGGTCATAATTAGGTTTACAGGTTGGTTGATGTTGTTGGAAGGGTATATATTTAAAATGACTCTTCAGAGTTTATGGGTAGAGTAATAATATTATTGCAATGAAGAAACTGGAGTATATGTCGGTATATATAATGTATATACTTTGAACATATAAGTTTATCAGTTCGGTGGATGTGATTGATATGAATGAAAAAGTAAACAGGTCCTGATCATAAATACCCTCTTTTGTCTTTAAAGATCACTAGAGTTGATCATTTACTAACTAATTATAATAATAAAAAATATCTTTTTAAAAGTTCGATACCATCTTATCATGCAAAGATGCTCAACCATGGTCGAGCCACGCAGAGGATTCCTTTTTTTTTGGTCATTAGTTAGGGCGAACTTCGACATTTCGACATATCCATTTACATTATCACTTGATCGGCTCAAACTGACCACTCCACTCAACTCCCACCGCCGTCTACAGGAATGTCAGAAGATGAGCAACAACAGCAACACCAACAGCAGCATCATCAGCAGCAGCAGCAGCAGCAGCAGCAACAACAACAACAACAACAACCAACCAAACCGAAATCCATTAGTTATGGATGAAGAGTTTGGAGAGGCGATGACTGATAGGGCCATGCAATACATGTTCCAAGTCTGCAAGATGTTGTTGGCTCACTATGCTCCAAAGTGTACACAAGAGCAACTTGCACACTTAAAGACCAATCTTAACATAGAGAGATGAATTCCTCAATGGCGTGCCTATCTATATAAGACCGAAGATGGGAAAGGTGTGTACTTCGATCCAGTCGATGTGATCAATAGGTTGATCGATTGTGCATATGAAAGCAGTACAGCCAAAGCATCACCAAGCTGACACTGCGACTGAACGAGGAACATCCGCGACTCAACTTCCCCTTGCCCAATCTTCGCACACTCATATTGGCAAAGGCGGTCGACCAATGCCCAACCTCGAGGACGTTGCGCTGGAGAACCTTTGGAAGCTGGACACCCAATGCTACGTGTTTGACAATCGTATCATTCCTCGACTCAACAGCACCTGCGAGCTGCACCTGACAAATCTACACGGGATCGATGGGTGTGACTCTCCTACACTTCTCCAATTTGGCAATGTCCACATGAAGCAATGGACTGAGTACACTCTGGAGTATCCCAGCCTGTATCTGGTTCGTCGATTCGACCAAGATAGTCTCCTCTTATGCATTAACGATCTCAATGGCGCCACGATACTTCCGTATCAATGTCCAAAGTGCTCACAGCAAGTCGAAGTCTCCTGCATCTCAGAATGGAGATATCACGATGAATCGTGTCCATCATCATGATCATCATTGCCATAGCAATAGATCACGATAACAATAACAATTACAACAACAACTGCACCTACAAAATCACCTTGAATCCAACACCAGACTTCACATTCGACTTCGACGACGACAACAATGCCACTACCATCCACCAAGCTGAACCATGGATTCACTCACTCCAACTTGTCGGTGTTTATCAACTTCCTTCTCCAACACCTGGAATGTACCATTGCGGCAGTCAGCCGGACCTTACCATCCTACTAGTTGACAAGGCGAAGCCAATGAATGATCCTTGCTCTCCATGTACTCCTCAAGTTCAATGGGGTTGACTTGTCACATTTCTTTGTTCCAGAGTTGGTCATTTTATAAACATACCAAAGAAAATAATTCTTATATCTTATTAAATTTTTCCTACCCATTTAGAAACCAATCACTCACCTCTACCACAGGGAGTCAAAGGGATAATCCAAACTCCAAAAAAGAGTAACAGTGTCCAAACAGTCAATGGTGGAAACTTTTTAAAGAATACAAATAATTTGGAGAAAAGGACCGACGTTCTTGGCTGATAGCTTATCCTCGCCTTCCCACAGCTTCTCCTTGGTGTCAAAGTACTTCCTTTTGATCAGCACTTTGTCACCTTTCCTGATATACATCGGCTGACTCCCTTTGTTGTATTGCCCTGCTTGATCGATCTGTGATTCCAGTGTGTTCTCTCGTGCAATGTCCACGACCAGATCCCATGGTTGTGCGCTGTTCTCCAACTTTGGGTTGAGCATCATGATTGGTGCCAGTGGTTGCTTGCCATATACGACTTGGAATGGTGTCAGCTTGGTGGCCTTGCTCACTGCGCTGTTCATAGCGAATTCCAAGACTGGAATCAATTGTGGCCACTCAATATCGATTGAACTGTCTTCAGGTAGCTTCCTCAACTTGTCAGCTAGATTTTTGTTCTTTGCCTCGGACGCTCCGTCCGCACACGCCCTGAACGGAACTGTCATCTTTAGCTTCGTATTGCTGTCATCTTGTTGAGTGTAGGCAGTGGAAATGCACACGTTCTCTTGTACAGTCAACTGACTATCTGTTCCTTGATCGAATTTGACAACATACGACATCACTTCATTGTGCTCATCGTAATCAGATGACTTGACTGTGCCAGGCCACCAGGTTCCAACGTCTACCTCAATCGACATCGCATAGACTTTGTCGCCATCATTGTAATAGTGTGTGTTCATCAATGTGTCCTGCAACTGTGGCACATCCTCCATCATTGGAACATGCGCATGTTCAATGGTACCGGTCTGTGTTTGCTCGCCATCACTGTTGTCCATACCACCACCACCACCACCACCACCACCGTACGACTCGTAGTGTGGCTCATCATCCATCTCGTCGCCTCCATCCGAGTCATCACTCTGGCCCTCATTGTGGGCAGCCTGTCCATGTTCATACATATCATCATTGTACGCCTCCTCGTCGTACTCCTCCTCGTTGTCGCTTGGACATGGATGGTGGGAATTGTCCGACGAGCTTGTGGTCATGCCATGTGTTGCTCTGTACTTGTCGAACACACTCGGATTTCTCACGTTCATTCTCGCTTTGTAGGTTACATTGCGAGAGTTGGTGCCATTGAGAAGGTTCTTGTATTGGCCTGTTTGATAAGACACCATCGTGATGACGTTACCGCGCTTCAGCTGCACTTGACACAACTCCGCTACGCCATAAATGGTACCGTTGGCATTGCGTTCCAATACCAACTTATTGGCGTAGTGCCTTCCTTCTGGTGCCATGTTGATGAGGCGGTCAAGCGATCCAAACAAATATATGGCTTCAGGCACGTGATGGCAGAGGCAATGAACGTAGGACGTGATGATGCTTGGACCATAGATCTCGATGGACAACTTGGCAAATATGTAAGCATGGGAATACCATACACCCCTATCGAATAATGGAAGGGATTGAGCAGCAGGAGTTGGAGTCGGATCAGCAGGAGTTGGAACAGCAGGAGTTGGATCAGCAGGAGTGGGAGTTGCTTGCGCAGCAGGTCTGTTTTGAGTTCGTATAGCTGGTGCTGTTCCAGGATCGATCATGGTCGAGAAGAAATGATGTAGCATGTGCCAGGTGTCAAGGGCACGCACTTTGTATTCATGGTACTTGATCCTCAGCACCTCAGTCTCCAATCAACAGGTCTTCAATATTGAACATATCGTTTCGACGAAGGATGATGTCAATGGCAGCTTCACTCTGGTGATTCCCAACGGGCAACGAGCG